AAGATGTCAAGGTGGAGTTTTACAGCACCATTGACCCCTGGTTCGATGGCTCTGTAGTGGATGTGCCTTTTTGCAGAGAGGGACAGAGAGACTGCAATCTGTGTGTGTGTGTGTGTGTGCCTTCTTCATATCTCCCTGCTTTTGTGCACCCATACATTTCTGTGTTTGACTGCAAGTGTGTCTGTTTTTGGAAAGTAAGTGTAGATTAGCAGATCAGATTGGATCAAAGGTTGAAATGTTGTTTCATATTACTGATGTTTAACAAAATGTATGAAGCTGGCTCGTCTAAATTGAGAGATTAAGAGAGAACTAGATAAAGGTAGTGAAGGAGGCCACAGGAGGGATAAACTGAAGTGCAACTGAGCTTTATTTGGTATCACATTTTGATACATATCATTTACTGAAGGACAAAGCATTTATTAGCATGGTTAAGCTCAATAACAGCAGTGTCTCATTTTTATATACTTGAAATTTCATCCTGCGATAATAATGCTGACCTCTTGCTCCGACCAGCGTTATAGTGAAAATATCTTGCACTCATAAGATTTGTGTTGCGTCCCACAGGATCTCGATCCTGTTGCAGCACAGTAGTCCAGGTGCTGAGCCTTTTAATCACACAGCACTAAATAGCATTTCATTCAGAGCGGCTGAAACGCCATGAAATATGAATTCATGAAATATTCATTCACAACATACCCAGAAATGTGGTACAATTTTACAGTCAATAACCTTCGTATTGGGGTAGTGAGCCAAAGCCAGTCGCTTTTTTGGTTGTGTGTGTGTATGCGCGCATGTCTGCACATATGCGTATGTGCCTGTATGCTTCAGAGTGTGCCCTGTGAAGGGCAGAGCTTCCTTTATCACAGAACTGTAAACAGCATTTCATTTTTCCGTCTTGAATTATTGATTCATGTAATGTTCAGTCCGCATGTAGCCATCAGTGTTACTGATATTGAAATACTATACCTGTAGTTCATTTAGTCAAAATCCATTGTAAAAAGAAAAATAGATTGTTTTTCTCATTAGGCCACAATAATATATGCCATACATTCCAAATCATATATGGCATTGGCTAACACAGTGACTATTTGAAGAATTACCCTGATTTCTAATAAGACTGATGGTCATTTCAACCTTTAATAGCAACTTCCCTAACAGTGGGATCTTCTAAATACTAATATGGGGAGGGATTGACTAAGCATTGGTGAACATACAAGATACTGTTTTGGCCGTCATTGGTCATGAAGTCATTTGAAAGGCTCATCAAGAAGCAGCTCCAGATGGTTTAGAGCTCATTAGACTCTTTGTTTTTACTACAAGCAGAAGAGACATTTTGAAAAGGCTGCTTTAACCTTTCTTAAGTATAGTCTTGGCAAGCTTTTATTGGTTTTACTCCCTTGTTTTGATATATCACAGTGTACTAAGGTAATGGTGTGTTCACTGATGTAACATTTGTTTAGTTATTTATTCAGATTTTCTAACATGCTGTTCTCCGATTGGTAGATGAAGCGACAACACAACACCTCAGGGGAACAAACATTGCAAAAATGCCTTTGAGATGTGGGTGTCCTGTTCTCTCACCTGTACTCTCTGTACAGGCAGGAATCTTTATGAGGATAGGCACATCCTGAAATTCACTGATGATTATGGAATCACAAGACTATTACAGGATGATGATGAGGCAAAGTACGGGCCTGTAGTTGAGGAGTTTTTACAGCCAACTGGAGTGATGTTTTTCTGCCCCGTGATGTGTCCAGATCAAAGAAAACAGCCCAATTATTATCTGTGATCCTGATGTCCAATTTACCGAGAGTAACAGGTATATGGGAGTTACACCATCGAGTTTAAAAAACGTTTTTTTTGCACTTTATATAACAAGGGCCAGCAGAGATTTTGTGTTTTAATGAGAACAGAAAATTGATGTCTTTCTCATACACATCTCCTATCAATTCAATCCTCAAAAGCTCCTCTGCGGCCTGGTTTGGAACCCAAGAGAGGCTGACAAAATGTCAATACTATGAGTGTAATAAATGGGATCATTTTAATTCAACAGACACTCCTCACTGATGTCTACAGTGTGAACAAGTCAATTTGAGCCACTCCCTTTAGGTCACATATTCAGACAACCATAAGCTAATTAGCCAGACTGGATTTCTCATTTCTTCCCCACACAGCAAACCTGCTTGAGTGTACAGAAGACTATCCACTCAATTCCTCTTCTTCTGTGGCTATTATAGATAACTCATATTAGTATTTTTTGCAGTTTAATAAGTTTAATGCATCTTACTTTTGTTTTGGAGACATTGGTAAGGGATACACCTAATGAAAATAAAGCACAGCAACAGTCAGACCTTGCAAAAGACAGTTTTTAGCATATGACAAACATCAGAATGCATATGACTATACATTCAGCATTCGATTACTATTAGCAGCCTAGCCGGAAAATCAATTCCACAATGGTCACAAAAGAGAAACAGCCAATAAGCTTTTTTTCTCCAATCTCATTATCCCCCAAAAGCTATTACCTTAGTCACTCAGATCTTTAAAGGTAGTGCATTTACACTTCTTTTATCTGTGTTTGTGTGTGTGTGGAGTTTGCATGCACACATGTGTATTCCCAAGGACAATATTCTGTGGGCATGATGGAGTATTATAGAGCAGGATGGAATGGGGCTCAATGCGCAATCGCAAACATAATATCGAAGTTGCACACACATACGCATTCACTCACACACACACACACACATACGTACGCTTTAAGAAGCCTAATCCCCTTTGTGAATCCGTCAGCCTTGTTGTTACAAACACAATAGGATTATTTGTGTGTGTGTGTGTGTGAGCGAGCGAGCGAGTGAGCGAGAGAGAGAGATGTGTGTATCCCTGTATGTGATTCTGTGGGAGAGGCTGTCTGTGGATGTGGGATTTTGTGGCTTTGTGTGTGTGTGTGTGTGTGTGTGTGTGTGTGAGTGAGAGAGAGAGAGAGTGTACAAGTATAGGAATGTTCCGGCAGTAGGCCTGTTTTCTCTCCAAAGCAATTTGTTCTCTATTCTTCTGCTAGGTGTGTGTGTGTGTGTGTGTGTGTGTGTGTGTGTGTGTGTGTGAGTGTCTGTGTGTGTTCAGACCACAAGCTTGCGTGTTAGGCAGGTTGTGATTGGTTGAGTCTGTGGTTCTCATAAAGACGATGTCATGATGGAAATTAATGCAATACATCACAAACGCATGCGCTCGGACACGCACACACACACGCACATAGACTAGCACAAAGCACACACCTTTACTTCCTGCCATGGGCCACTCCTGTAAATAATACAGGAAAGCAGGGGCATAAAGGAGAGAAAGGCTGGGGAAATAGTTGGGTATATTTCCAGAAATATCATACACAAAATTTTAAAGAGAATGGTGACACAGTGGCACCTTTATATAGAATCAAAGAAGGATCTGTCTAACTTCATGGTCAGACTGAATGTGGGGGAAAAAAAGGGGTGTCGTGAATACTTGCAAACTCGGGGGAACGAGGTATACAGAAAGAGATTAATACAAACTTGCTCCAGGCTTTGTGAACTAAGAAGTAGAAGCATTTCAAAAAATTCGCCTGACGCAGCAAACCAACAGCCAATCATCTTCAAGGAAGACTATTTAGTTGGTAGTGTATTTCAGTTGGATGATGAGCTCTTGTAGCATGACAGTGTTTCACAGCAGGGAAAGATGACCACTGGGTATTTGAGCGAGATAACGCTGCATGGTGACCACAAATATTATTGAAATTAAACTCAACATACGTGAGCTGCCAAATATATTCACTTACTCACTTAAGTTAAAAAAATAAATAAATGTGAGTTACAGATTCTGGCTCTAACTTCCTTTGAACATGCAGCTGTATAGAAAAAACACAAATGTGAACACCTGATGATAACAAACTTTAAATAAAAAGAACTTAGTGGTAACCGCTGCTGATACTCCTCCTCAGGTTATTCGGTGCAAGCAAATTAGCAGTGTTTCAACCCTCTGTACTGTATGTTATATCTCTCATTTTCTTAGTTTCTGCATGACCAATGTTATGTAAGTTCTTTGTGACAAATATTTTCTTTTTTATCTCTGAGATGTGACGATTGACTTTGTCTCATAACCAAATAGTGTTACTAACTGTCACAATATAAACCACCTTGATGCCAGTGTTTTTAGTTGTGATTAAGCTTGCTATTCTATTATACCTACCCTATTGTATGTCAGAAGTTATTGCTATACAGTGGCTGAGATATCTATGGCTCTATCTAAAATAAACTAGCTTATTAGGTTAGGTCAAGATCCATCCTTAATGATTTGGCCAGAAATATTTATTATTTTTCTTTTGTAAAAAAAACCCGTAAAAAGTCCAAAAGTAGCAATGTGTAGACTTCCCCTGCAACTCTCAGCCCCACACCCTCTACTACTACATTTACATTACATTTATTCATTTATCCAAAGCGACTTACAATTGCTAAGCATGTCAGAGGTCGCACACCTCTGGAGCAACTAGGGGTTAAGTGTCTTGCTCAGGGACACATTGGTGGATGTGTCACAATGGGGATTTGAACCCTTGTCTCTCACACCAAAGGCATGTGTGTTAGCCACTGCAACATCACCTCCCCTACTAAAGATATAAATATTTAAAAATGGGTCTCACATATGGACTTTTATTCCTAGAAAAATCTTAAAACAGCTGGGAAATGTAGTTATTAGTACATTACTCAAACAGGAGAAAAGAGTACATTTGTTGGGAACTATTTTCTGCTGCTGATTAAGACAGATTTGGTGCTCTAATGAATATTAACAGCAGCAGGACATTATGTGGAATTGACTCAAAATAAATAGTGCTCAAGTTAATGAAGAAACACGTCAACCAGACCAACTATTTGGCTTATTGGTGCACTTTAATAGTTTTTGAACAATAATAGAGGTCTGTGGCACAGAGGAATAACACTCAGATATTAATGTCTCCTTCTGAAACTGTGCCTTTACAGAAATAGACAAGGAGAGTTGTGGCGACCCTGGAACTCCCCTCTATGGAATAAGAGAAGGGGACAGCTTCTTAAATGGAGGAATCCTGAGGTTTGAGTGCCAGTTTGGCTTCGAGCTGATTGGAGAGAAAACTATCTCCTGCCAAGACAACAATCAGTGGTCAGCAAATATCCCCATATGCATATGTAAGTATTAAAATTATTCAGAGATGATTTTCAGGAATATGGCTGCAGAGGGGGAAAAACATGGCATGTGCTCTTCTGTGATGTTGATAACATTCAGTCTGACCTGTCACCATGGTGACAGTACAGAGTTTATTATGGCCTGGAGCAGATGATGACCGATGATGCTGTAGCAATGAATATTTAACAGAAAATTTCTCCTTCTCTCTATTTTTTTTTTCATTTCTCCCCACTGTCTGTTTGTCTGACGGTCTCTGTCTGCGTTTCTATACTTCTCTTCCTCCCCTAGTCCCCTGCATGTCCAACTTCACAGCTCCCTCCGGAACTGTCCTCTCCCCAGATTACCCAGAAGGCTATGGGAACAACATGAACTGTGTCTGGCTCATCCAATCAGATCCAGGCTCCAGAATCCACTTGGCATTTAATGACTTTGACCTCGAAGCACCCTACGATTCCCTAACTGTGAAAGATGGAGAGACAAATGATGCCACTGTCATTGGGAGGTTCTCTGGAGCTGAGAGTCCTTCCCATCTGACGTCCAATACCAACACACTGAGGCTGGAGTTTCAGGCTGATCACTCTATGTCAGGAAGAGGATTTAATATCACATACAGTAGTATGTCATTTTTCTATTTGATTTATTTTCTGCTTTCCTATTGAAATACAGGGACATACCAATTTATTTTGCTCTGTTGCAAAACAGGGTGAAATGTGGCCACAGTATATTGATAAGTTTGATACATGTCTATGGCAGGAAAACGAAGAACAGAAGGATCTTATTTATTTTCTTTAGCAGGAGAATAATTCTGAGTCTGAGGGGTTGTTGTTTTGTTTTGAAGCTATAAAACGGCACTTCTCATATGACAGTATATGAATTTTATGCATGACTTTCAGCCTAGACCTCTAGCGATGTATTTATCCATCCAGCAGGTGCGACCCCCCTCCCACCTCCATCCCTAGTTTGGATTTTCATTTTAGTTAGTTAGCTAATGTACTAATAGTTAGATCAGAATGGAGGCTTCAACAACACAAAGACTTGTTCTGGAAAATATAAAAGACAAACTTCATCGATCCAAGAGGGTCATGTGCTCAACACAGCAGCTAAGAATAGAGGTGTAGGTTGCAGAGGAAAGAGGAAGAGGAAAAAAATTTTTTGGGCATTGTTTGTTGTCGTACAGAGAGTCATATCCTTTTCATCTCTATGCGTCCAGTACAGAGAGGTCCAGGATGTGTTTAGCCTTGCTTAGCACAAAGACTAGAAACGAGTGGAAACAGTTAGCCTAGTTCCGTCAGATGTGAAACAATACACCTTCCAAAAACTTTCAAATTGCCTTTTTTAAACATCATACCTTGTGTCAAAATAGAAACCAAGACATTAGTGTTTTAGGAGCAGTTAACATCTCAGGAGTTCTGTCTTCATTGTGAAGTTGTCAGCTGTGCAAACTTTTGTAATTGATCAAAACCCAGGTGAGTCTTAGATGCATTGATGACTAGCTTGCCAGACAACAGGATACAACATGTACAGTAAATAGGAGTTTTGGATTTGTTGGAAGGCGTATTTGTTCATTTCTGATGGTGGCGAACTGTTTGCCCCGGCTTGCAGTCTTTGAGCTAATTTAAGCTAAACACGTCTCTATACCAGACAAACAGAAATGGAAATTGATATTGATCTTCTCATCTGACTGTGGGTTTGATGGCAGACATATTACCCAAAATGTTGAAGTGTTCTGTCCGCACATTTCCTCACAGTGTATCTGCGATTTCAGCTCACACCATTTTATTTTTTGGGTGACTGCATTTGTCATTTTTAAATCTCTTTATCATCTGATTACACTGGATTGCTTCAACTGGCAAAACACGGGCATATTTAGGTTGGATCTATACAGCCTTCTTAATCTGATGAGCCAGAACATATCTCAAAGCAGACATGCTCACATGACTTTTATCACAAGTTATATTGCTTAGATCCAACCCACGCACAGTGAAAATATATTGTAGCATGAGAAATGAGCATATGAGCAAAGATATAGAAAGTCAGAGCGGGAATATAGGACAGACAGATTACAGGAGAAATTTATAGACGTTTTCCTTGCCAGGACTGAACTCTAAAGACGTCACGTTGCAGCCATAGATCTATATGATTAGTTCTCAGAAATTTCATCAAAATGATGACCAAATGTAGCCTGTGAGTGCTCGTTAAGTATAGGTCTCATATTCTTTAATAACATTTCTTGTGTGTGTGTGTCTCTCTCTGTGAGCGTCTAGTCTCCAATATATTCCTCCTCATATCTGTGTCTCCTTGTAACTTTTTTAACGCAGCATTTGGCCATAATGAATGCCCAGACCCTGGCATTCCCATCAACGCTCGCCGCTTTGGAGACAGCTTCCAGCTTGGCAGCTCTATCTCTGTGGTCTGCGAGGATGGTTTTATCAAAACCCAAGGAACCGAGACAATCTCCTGTCAGTTAGAAAAAGGAAAAGTCATGTGGAGTGGGCCCATCCCTAAGTGTGAAGGTAAATATTGACGAGATTGCTGATTCAATTAATAACTACGGAACAATATCTCATCCAATAAACCATCATTTCTACAGCATAAAGACTTGGGAGGTGGAAATTAGAGGGAAAAATACATGAAGGTGGCCAGTAAACCCAAATATCCAAGGAAAGAACTACACTGCTGCCACAGATGCCACAGTTAAACATTGTTAGATATAATTATTAAGTATGTTATAAAAGTTAGAAAACACCATGACCCCGTCCTTCAAAAGTTAAAGTGAAGTATGTTATTGTTTATATAATTATATCCATTTCACACCATAACACTGCCATTTATCATTCATATACAATAAGAATAATTATATTAATATTTAGAAATATAATAATTTTTCAAGGTGGCATTAGCGCACAGTGTAATTAAAAGCTTGTATGGAAGAACAGAAACATAGAAATATACCTGTTAATCTAAAATGGAATATATAAGTAATTTAGTTCCAACAGGAGATATAATTAATTTCAGATACTTCAGAACATAGAACTGTTGACAGAACTGTTGATGGTAAAAGGAAAGGCTGTGTTAATTGTGTTCCGGGTCATTTAATGTCTCCAGATCCGTGGTAGCTAATGTATGTCTATAACTTCTTGGATACAAAATCCACTCACTTGTATTTAGCAAATTGACTTCAAGCACGAGGTTAAACTCTAAAAAAGATCAAATTCAAAAGAAGAGCAGAACAGAATGGCTCCTGGCTAATGTAACCTTCTGATAACGGTTACCATCTGCTTAAAAATTCTCATTTATAGTTATGAATGATGGCAATGAATATGCTGGTTCATGTTCCTTTAATTAATTTATATTTGCAATGTAGTTTGCATTTAATGGCATCTTTACAGTATGTTGAGTGCAATTAAATATTTATCTTACTTTAATAATTAAGGATAATACTGAATAAGACAGGGAACTGTATAATGATCAGTCTTTTGGTTACAGTATGTTTAATGCTGCCCTATCAATAGTTGTGTTTTAGCTTCTTTCAGCTCATTGTTTTGGGTTTATGGATTGCCATTTTCAACTTTTTTGATTCACTCTGACTTTCATCAGGGTCATTTCCAGCAGCAGCAGGCAGCTGTTCTCAATGAAAAAGATCATACAAAAACTCACTGTATGCCACGTGGTCAGCCACAAAAGGCAGACAGACAAAATGAACAACATAGTGGGGCACCTCAACAGACAGCTATTTTCCTCTGGGGTTAGTGGAGATCAAAACAGAACTTATAGAATAAATATTGGACTGGATCAGGTGGCCAGAAACACAACTCCTGAAGAATTCTAATGTTGCTCCCTGTCTTTTCGATGTGTAAATAGGCAACAGTTTGCTACCATACCATATATCAGTGTTGTGTTTACAACTTGTTGTGTTGCCACCCAAGTGGCCATAAAAGTCAAGCCTAAAAACCTACATATATATTTAATAAAGAAACTAAATCAAAAGGAATCATATTGTCTTAAGACTGATCACGTGAGGAGGAGGTCTCCAGTAGGACTGTAGCTAGTTATCCAAAGTAACTGTAAAATCATGGTCTGCTATTGTTTAATTGTGTAATCAGAGTATGCTTCTTGAATTCAGTGGTTCATCAGGAGGTTTACTGTTACAGAAAACCAACTTTCAAACAAGAATATTGACTGAATAAAAGTTTTATTCTAGTTTTGATACAAATAAAGGGCACAGCTTCAACGCTTTTATTTCTCTCCTTTATATCTTCTGTAACTTCACTCTTTTTGCCTCCTCTCCTTCTCCAGCCCCATGTGGAGGCCACTATTCAGCCCCGAATGGAGTGATTCTTTCTCCTGGGTGGCCTGGTTACTATAAAGATTCCCTCAGCTGTGAGTGGGTGATTGAATCAGAACCTGGACGCTCCATTAAAATCACATTTGACAGGTGGGTGGCATAATTCTTTGATTCTGCATATTTTCAAGACTCTCAGGGCTCTGAACGGGCAGAAGTGTGCAGATTCTTCAGAATCACTATCAATTATTTCTGACAAGCAAAGATTTACAAGACTTGAAGTTTATGGGGATTCACCAAGAATATAATAATCATCTTTTAAATTTCATAGACCCTATAATTAATAGTGGATTGTACAGTGAGGCCGGGTTATATTTTGGTTTATGTTATATGTTCTTGGAGCTGTGAACTGGTGATAGAAGCAAGGCTTTTGAGGATCCTATAAAATCATTTTTCATTGGTTTGAGTTTCTGTTTCAGTTTTATTTCATTGTAAAGTGCATTTAACAATATTGGTAGAGGGCTTAACAGACTGGACCTCTTAAACTTTTTTTCCCCCTGTCTTCCTGCTGCACGTAAACTTTAACAAAAAAACATATACAGAAAGTATACATTTCAAATAGGATGTAGAGTCAGAAGTTTTTAAGGACCAGTTGGTCATCAAAGTGATTCAAGTGACCTTATGAGCTTTCAGTTCAAGCACCTCAAAAGGAATATACTGCTAGAACAACAACATCTTTATGCTTCCTTGACAAGCTCTCACTGTAATGTTTGCATATGAAGGCTGCAAACAGATCCAGCATTATGTGAAGAAAGTGTGTGATGTTCTGATATTGTTGTCTCTCAGATTCCAGACAGAGCTGGGTTATGATTTTCTGGAGATCCATGATGGGCCAAACCTCCTGTCTCCTCTGGTTGGCTCCTTTAATGGTACCCAGGTGCCCCAGTTCCTGTTCAGCAGCAGCAACTTTCTTTATCTGCTGTTTACCACCGATAACAGCCGATCAAATGCTGGCTTCAAAATATTATATGAAAGTAAGTCAGAAACAAATGCATCTGTGAGTTTCTGATTAGGCAGATCAAACTTAAGATAAACGTCTAGTTTTATGTGTGTTCATACTATTAAGACATCTGATTTTTTTTTTTTTTCCAGGTGTTACAGTGGACAGCTACTCATGCCTAGACCCTGGTATCCCTGTCAATGGTATTCGCTATGGACAGGATTTCTCCATCGGGTCCACTGTATCATTTGGTTGTGATTCTGGCTACAGACTCAGCCATGAGGAGCCGCTAGTATGTGAGAAGAACCACTGGTGGAGCCACCCCTTACCTACATGTGACGGTAAGTACCCTGCTGCAGCCGACCTTCATAAACATGAGATGGCATGTTTAAATAAGTAATGAAATGTTCAAATTAATCTCCAAACTATTGTATACAGACTTAGATAAGACTGCCATGCCTTTTTAGATAATGTATGTTGATAACTTACTAACCTGACAACCTAAACATCATCATCCTCTGCTCTGTATAATTGATCATTAGATGTAAGTTAGTTTTATTTTACTTACATTATTATATGATCACTATATTTACCACCAATACATTAAATTCACACAACATTTCACCTGGATGTTGGTGCCGAGACTGTGTGGGATCACATCCTGACATGACATGGCAGAAGGTCAACGTGACTGCAGTCCTGCTAATGATGTCACTGAAGATTGAAAAGTGAAGTGGCCACTTCTCAAAAATGAGATTCCTTTTTACCAAATAATGCATTTTATAACTTGTTCTTTTTTCAGAGAGACTTAACTTAACTAAACATTTCTGAGACAAAATTAAGAATGTTTAGTTAATAGAAAAGGATACAAAGAAGCAGAGGTGTGTGAAAAAGATCAGCGGTGGCGCCCTCCATCCTTAAATGGGGAGCTGAGTCATATAGAACATGTTGTTCTGCGACAAAACCACTGGTTGAATCTCACACGCGCGCACACGCGCGCACGCACACACACCTGGGTGTACGCCGGGGCAATTTGCAGTGAAGGCTGCTGTGACTGATAGGGGATGATTTGAGGAGAAGATTAGAGATCTGTGGCTATGTACTGTGTGTGTGTGTGTGTGTGTGTGTGTGCGCACGCGCGCGCATGTGTAATGTCAGCACATATACGTGTGTGCGCGCATGTGTAATGTCAGCACATATACGTGTGTGTGTGTGTGTGTATGGGGTGCTTTTATCCATGTGCCTCCTGTCACCTCCTCTCCTGTGTGAACCTGTGAACACAGAGAGGTTTGAGGTAAGGTTGACGAGAGCCTGTGTTGGCTGTCACCTCCTCTCTCTTCTCTCTCAAATCAAGGAAGGGGGTGGGGGGCTTGGTCTCTCTCATTCCAATCTTGGTGAAGCAGAAGAGGAGGGGGAAAGGAGAGATGCGGCACTGCTGCATCAGTTTTGTGGCGGCTTGCTTGATTTGGCTTGTTGGCTCATTCACTTATTAACCACATTTGAATTGCACAGTTCCAGGGAATGGCAGTGGTTTCCTCCGAGGAGGCAGTTGAGCATATAAGCATCAAGCACTCTGCCTGGAATTTGTGGGATTGAATGCCATTAGACTGTGTTTACGAAGTATGTTCCTATAGAAATATAGAAACTATTTTCTTCTGTGGTTGGTGAGGAATGGTCTACCCTGATGATCACCTAGTACATGATGTATTCTAGTAGGACACAGGCAGCCGACTCAGCCCTGGAAAATGTTGCAGAAATCAAATGTTGTTCATACTTGTCTTAGAAAACATGAAAATAGCAATATTCCTTAATTTTTTGTAGTGATATGTGAAATTTAAGACACAATGACAAGATTATTGCATCAGCTAAACAGACAGAATTAATTACTAGATTTTGAAAAATACCCAAATAATTTATTTACTGTTTATATTTAAAGAATGACCTCAATAAACCAGGCTGGGGGATTCCGTTACATGAATTTAAATTAATCATAGTATGATTTAAATGATCTTGTCAACCTTTTTTTGGAGTACAGAAATAGATTTTTCAGTGGAACCCAACTTCATTTAAATGAAGGAGAGAATGGAGAAAGACCTCCGAATGGATAGAGGTGGAGGAAAAGACGAGATGGAAGGAGATCTAAAAGAAAGATAGAAAGAGAATGAGAAGGAGATAGAGGGAAAGAAACTGGCAGAGATAGAGATGTAATGCAGTGTTTCAAATTGCTCACATAGCTCAGCATTCAACATTAAGAGCTTCCTGGCAGAAAAGTATTAATAATTAATAGTACTGTGTGTGTGTGTGTGTGTGTGCGCGCACATGCAAGCTTTGTGTGTCAGGCTGTGTGTATACAGTATGTGTGTATTTGTTTAGTTTAAAAAATATTCATACTCCTCACCTTTGTTTCAGGGATGCTGATGTTGTAAAAACTCTGGTGGTTGAGAGTAAAGATACTGATGCTCTGTTGTAGTTCGAGAACATTTTCAATGTCTGACTGGCCTGTTTTATATGGTTGTAGCGGGGTCACCATTGCAGAGGGTATGTACACGTTGTAGTCTGGGCTGCAGTTCTGAGAGTTGACATGGTTAATTGTCATCCTGAAGGAAAGTTCTGCAGAACTTTCAGGTTTGACCTTCTCCCAGCTGCTCTGCCACCATTGCACTTTTGAGGTAATGTTATGACATTTTATAGGTTCATTTTAAGGAAATGACAGGCCGGTCGGCCAGCTATAAGATGAACCAACTGGAGCGAGCAGAAATGAAGCACCTTGCAACACATGCATGCATTAGTATGCATCGAATGAGCAACAGATTTTTGGACCTGGTCTCAACTCTGAGCCCCTCTGTGCGAGCACAGGTCTCTTACTGCATAACAATGTGCACAGCTGAACCATGTGCAGAACTTGCAGGGTCATCCTGAGGCTGTACTGTAAGATTCAAAATGTTTTGAGTAGAAATACCTGCGCTGCTTCGCTGCTTTGAATATCACTGCTTTGAATCACTTAAAATCCAACTGTATTAACAGAAAAAAAAAATTCAGAAACAAAAGACATTTCATGGATGTTGCCCTCTATGCAGCTTGTGAATTGTGCGGTTGTGTAAACTACCTTAAATAACATTCAAGCATTTGTTTTTCTTGAGATTTTATTTCATGTCTCAGTTTTCTGCCTCAAAACAATTTTTAGCTCAGAGACTGTGCATCCCAAAGCAACAAAATCTTGCAAATTGGTTTCAATTTCCCCACACTTCTCAGTAAAAGAATGTACACTTATTGTCCAGATGGTCTCTTGTTATATAACAACAAACTTTGCATTTTAACCAGTGACTCCCATTACTCCAATAATGTCGTTTTCTAAACTTTTTTTTCAAATTACCTGGCTCACAACATAACCACTTCATATATATCTTGAATGATTTTGAGTTGGTTTTATGCAGAACCTATGATTGCTATTAATGGTAAAAACAACATATTTCAATTCCAAACATTCAAATCCAGACAAATATGTATTTACAAAGTGGCATTAAAATGTGATTGATCAAGTTTGATCATGCCCAGTAATACACTCATGAGGACAGTATTGTATGGGATACACTAAATTAACAGCATGGAGCAAGTTTCAGCTAATTATGAGAGCAGAGAAGCTGAAGTGTACCTTTTGTTCTTTTGGAGAGAGGTGCTATCATTCACCTTCAGTGTATCTACATCTAAAAGAGATTTTGTATGTCCGCAGAAAGCTCCTCTGAAGCCCTGGCTACTCAGAGTGCTACCCTAATTATGCGAGAGCTGTTTCTGTCTGGTGACCATGCCACTCACAACATGACACTGTCATCATTGCTGCCTCATTTACTGACCTACAATAGATGTGTTTAAGAGCTGTCTTCTATTTATTAAAGTGAAACAACTAAAAATAAGTTTGCATAATTCAAATACCAGCAATTACACTGATAAATTTCTTTAAACATAATCACAGTATTGTCAATTGCTCAGCATTATGCGCTGTCAAAATACAGTATATAAGGAATGACCAGAATCACCTATGCAGTTAATCATTGTCAGGCTTTAGTTAGTTTCAGGGACATTAAACTATATCAAAATTTATCCTTATTTATAATTCCAGTGGGAGTCGGATTTTACATCATTTATATCATTATTTTATGTCTGTGCAACAGTGGGAGGAATAAATCAGAAAACTGGAATTTCACAGCTGTCAATGCATACAGACCTTTCTACCCACAAGTTTTAAAGGGTCTCTCTGTATCCATCTCTGTCTGTCTCTCCTTCTCTCATAGCATTTGTTTGTGGGTATGCGTGTGTGTATCTACTCTAGAAGTGGTACGGGGAAACATTATCTGTTTTAGCTATCAAAAAAACTGATGCTAACCTCTCTCCTTCTGTCCCCTGTCTCTGCGCATCTTTCTCTCTCCCCCCCCCTCTCTCTCTCCCCCTAATCTGTCTTTCTCAATCTATCCAGCTCTATGTGGTGGGGATGTTAGAGGTCCCTGGGGAACCATCCTTAGTCCTGGCTATCCAGACAGCTACCCTTCATCTCTCAACTGTACCTGGACTGTTGAAGTCAGCCACGGGAAAGGCAAGAGACACACACTGATTCACACTCCTTAATAGAGAGAGACAGAGTGAGAGACAGTAGCAAGTAGCAAACACATTAGAGCAGCTACTGCTATACTGCAACTACAAACTTGTATTACATTTCTTAGTGTTCTTTATGGTTTATAGAATATTCAGAGGGGCATATTTACATTCATATTTATATTTATGGCTTTAGTTAGTGCCAATATAGAGAGAAGTTGGTATGTGATCACTTTTAAAATGTTATCAGCCCATAATTTGAGTCTGCTGTAATCCCACTGTAAAATGATTTGTGCTTTGTTCAATTATTTCATGGTTGCATATTGATGAGCTAGGAATAAAGTAAACTTCTATAGATTCTCTCTGTTATCCATCTACTCATCTGTTTGTGTCTCTAACAGGAGTCCAGTTTCAGTTCAATTCTTTTCATCTGGAGGACCAGCATGACTACCTCTTGGTTACTGAGAACGGGAGTTTCCTGCAACCACTGGCTCGCCTGACCGGCAATGAGTTGCCTAGCAACATCAATGCTGGTCTCTATGGCAACTTCAAAGCCCAGCTACGATTCATCTCTGACTTTTCCATTTCATACGAGGGCTTCAACATATCTTTCTCTGGTAATTTACTTGACTATAGTCATATTGTATTATTATACTGCAACAAGGTCTAGATTCAATTTGCCCTGAATTTAGACAATCCAAGAAGTTGATTTTTCTCTCTTACTTCTCACACTGGATCAATTCAGAGTAATACTGGAGGCTGTATAAAGTTTATAAATCCAAACCAGGATAAATGCAAAACAGTGAAGGTAGACACCTAGTATCAATTTTGCATGAACAGTGTTAAGCATGGCCTTCACCTTAGAGACTCATGGAGGGAGGATCCAAGACACCACAGTAAAATTTCTCTTTAAAGAGAAGACAGCAGAGCAACATTTCTGCCAGAATAAAGACAGTTACATTCTCTTAAAATTAATTGTGGTAAATGATCAGTCTCAGCTTTACCTCAGGTAGTAAAGTTACTAAGGAAATGTTGTTAAGTTAATTTATATAGCACCTTATCACAGGGTGCTTCAAAATAAGTAGATAAAAAACTAACATACATAAAATACAGACACTATAGAAGTATAGGAAACTAAAGAAAAGTGGATATAAAGTGGTGAGTCTTTAGATGCTTTTTAAAGGTGTCCTCAGGTGCCTGATCAGAACATCTCAGTGATCTGGTGATATAGAGCTGAATTAGCTCACTAATGTAGGCGGGTGCCTGACCTTGCAGAACTCAAAAATGATCAAAAGGATCTTCAAATGGATCATCCAACAAATGATTAAAGAGACACCCGTTTTTTCTTCACCTTAGGGATAAGGCTGACTAGAGCATATTATGAACAATTTTATTAGGATTAAATGCTCTGAGGTAATTTCCCATCCTGCTTTTGATTGAGGTTAGGCAATTATGAAAAAATAAAAGTCTTGATGATTGAATTAGATCTGCATAATTGTGGTAAAATATACATTTAATGAGTAACTGGACCAAGTCTTAGAGTCCAAATTCCTGTCAATTTGCTGGTGACAACTTGTGTAGTGCTGATGCACCGTTGCACTATATGCTGTATACATGCTGCATTACAGCTGACTTAATCAACCAGCTGTAAAGTTGGTTTAGTCAGTGTTTAATGAGATTTAGAGGCTAGTACGGAAATGTTTTCCCTCCTTATAAAATGTTGTGTGTAGTGTAGTAACTCTTCAGTGCTACTAAAGAATGTAAACAAAAATATGTATACTGAAGAATGTAAACAAAATAGGACCCAAAACAGAGCCTTGGGGGACACCACGAGTCAGAGTCACCTACATTTGTCATCTTATATCAATCAGTGTACAGTGATAAACACTGTCAAAAGCTGCAGTAAAGTCCAGCAAAACACAGTGCATCAGGATATCATTGGAGATTTTGACAAGAGCTTTTTCAGTGGCCTGCAACCAACAAGCATCAATGGCTGAAAATTGTCAAGAATACCACTTTTTCTAAAACCTTTGCTTTAAATGGCAGTTTAGAAATAGGCCAATAGCTTGTGGTATCGATTCTGCTTTACAGGGAGTCTTGGGTACATTTTGTTGACTTTAAAACTCCAGCAACGCTTGTATTTTGATCTCTTTAGACCTTTCCCATTCTCCATGCACCTCGGGAGTAGGTTAAATTGGGCCGGAAGTCTGTACTCTGCTTCTAAATTTTGGTGACTTCACATGTCCCACATGTGAACAGTTTCACAAAACCCTACATGGCGAAGCCCCCCAATGCAACACTATTGCTGTGTTAAGTGAATGTTTTACTCTCAATCTTCCTCTAAACAGAGATATTTCACCACTGATCTCGAGGACTACCCATAAAACCTTGTGAATAGCTCAAGAAAAAAAGCTTAAAAAAAAGCTTAACAGAGGAGAGAGGTTACACAACATTAAACTGAATGTAATCTGCCATTAAACAACACAAGATGAAAAAAGAAGAGATGGAGATGAACTCCTTGTTGCCTCAAAGGCGGTGTTGTGAGAACAAGTGCTGTCCCAATCCACCCTCTTCTAAAATTAAGGAAAGGGTTCTGGGGCAGAATAAAGACAAAGTCCAAGGTTATATCTGCCACTCATAAATCGAGATCATTTCCTTAACTGCCACTTCCATGCTCTCTTATTGACTCTGGATAAGGAGCAGTTGAATCGGAGTCTACTCTGAGGGACTATTTACCGCGTCCCAGATGGCATAAGCTGATACTCAGAATGTAACACATGGGAGGTGTCACCAGAGACGTGACTTGCCAATCTCAACATGCTCAACAGGCTGTGTCATCCTGCAGCACACTCTGAAATACCCATCACATCATCAGTCTAAGCCCACTGGAAATAAATCCCCTGCTGTACCAAGCTAAACACAAAATCAGCAAGTGCGTTTCAGGACGCAATGGATTCAACTATGTTTGTACTAATTGCAACAAATGTAAATGCGTTCTCATGCACGATTAATTTTAGTTTAGAGTTATTGAATTATTGAAAAGGGTTTCTTCATAAAGAGAGCGATCATGGCCATGAGCTGTTCGCATGTTTCAGTTAACATTTAATGGTTATGTTGTTGGTTTTATTTGAGATATTAGAGTGGATTTTCCAGGAGTTTGAGAGTGATGGGTATTGATTTGTTGCTTTAACACCATTAGTTGAGGACACTCGAATTGCATAACCCCTCACTTACTCTTATGGCACTTAGGCAACACTCAAATTTGAGTGTGGTTCACAAAATCACTAAATAAAACACATATTTTAAAATATATTAAAATTTTCTAGTTATTATATAATTCTACTGCATGTATAAGATAAATCAGCCTAGATCATTTTATTTTCTGGACTTGGTTTTTAGGCAGAAGCGTAGAGAGGGCAGATTTCACTACAGACCCATCAGGGTGTATTTGTCATATTTATTCATATGTGTGTTATGTATTCGACTTCACTTTATTTTCTGCAGAATATACGTTGGAGCCTTGTGAGGACCCTGGGATGCCTCGGTTCGGCAGGAGAAACGGCTACAGTTTTGGCATTGGAGACACTTTGTCTTTTTCCTGCAATATGGGATACCGCCTAGAGGGGGCGCCGGAGTTAATCTGCCTGGGAGGAGGGCGGAGAATGTGGAGCTCGCCTTTACCGAGATGTGTCGGTATGTAGCAATATTTATGCACATTTTATTTTAGTGGTGAAAAGAATAAATTTTTCGAGTTTTGTTGCTTTTTCGTCGCCAAGAAAAGCTTCTAAAGACATTTGACATTTGGAATTGTACATGTCACATTTTCTGTCACCAAGCACTGTAAACTGCAAGTGGTTCACATATAGCATTTTCCTATGTAAAGTGCACCTGTTCAAAGAAATACCAAGCTGTGTTTATGTTGAACCTTACAAACTGTCTTGCTAGCAATTACTGAAATTGTCAAACAGCTGTAATTAGTTTGTCCTCTATTGTTATCATTACAGTGAAGTCACTGTGTATTACCTTCTCTATTATTTCCTGTTTCACAGGACAAATAAGATTAGAATTATATAACAGATGATGGAAAATAACCCATAGTAACCAGTAAACATGTTGAGCTGCTTTGCTGCTGATCTGTAATAAAAAAAAATAGGAGCTGGCTAAGTGAAATGGAAAGGATTTCCAATTATCAACAAGGATGTTCGTTTGCGTTCAGCTCCCCATTCCGCACCTGCGCAAAACATTTATATTGTTACAGTTCCTAATCCAAGTAACGCTGCGCTACTGAATGCACCATCCCTGACCTGAATGCGCGACTGCGCTGCAGCTCAGCGGCACCGGACATTATGTTGTTCAAGTCAGCTGAAGAATGGAGAACAGGGAGAGAGAGGTATTGTGTCACAGTCTAAGATGCAAAGAACATTGTTGTAAACTTTGTGCGACCAGCAAAAAGCTTTTAACCGCGAACAATTCTACATTTATACTTAGGCTAATTGAAGCATCAGCTAAAGCAGCACAGCAACGTGAAACTCCGAAAGAAACTCTGGCCGTACTTCCCGTGATGCTCATCTCATACTCATCGGGAGGGAATGGCATTAGGCATCATCCAGTAATAGCCTAAGTAGAGTAGCTAATATTACTTTTTGAGGAGTAACCTATACCTAGTAGGTAATAGCTAGGCTGTATTATTTCTGAGTAACTGGCCCAACACTGAGTTGACAATAAGGATCGGATAAATTGGGTATGTTTTGATTATTGCTTGCAGGTCTACTGTTTACTTTGACTTTGTTGTGGATTGATCAATCATATAGGCTATATAGGCTACACTTTGGTGTATGAATGGTTGCTTTTTAAGTTGTTCTTATGTTAAAGGTTTTGGCAAGTTATAAATTAATTTCTTATGAATTATTTTGACAGGGTTTATATACCGTGAGGTAACCATGGCAACGGCTTCTGTGTAACCGTCGCGATCCCGTGAAACTGTTGCGGTCATTCTAGTCTCACGCACACGCCCGCACGCTGCCAGAGTTGAAATGTCATGTCAAACCTTTTCGTTTATCAATAGATGAAGACTGATGTGGCTGTTTGATCTGAGTTTCCTGAATAATATAACCGTTTCTTTAACAGTCAGGCCACCAGGTCTTAAACAGGCAGCGACCTTCGCTGCTGTCTTTTATTCATCAAAAATAATCTATTAACTTCTACTGAACAAATGTGAAAGTTAGTAGTTATATTATTTAGTTACAGACTCAATTATTTCATGTTGCATGTTGCACATTTAGAAAAAAATGAATACAAAATCATAATTAGGCTAGAGAGGTTAGACAGGTTGCGATGTCATAGTGTATTAGACACTTGTCTTTGTTTCCCACTGCAACACATCCACCAAATACGTTATAGTCATAGCTCCTGCTTTACCATCCATGTTGTAATAGAGCCGCCGGCAGTTTTATCGGGGTGTGGGGGGGACTCGGTATATTTTCTTGCTTTTTTGCCCTTTGCCAATCACGTGCCTGAAAAAGACTGAGATAAAGTTCTGAATGCTTATCCTTTTATAAACTTGGGCAGCTTCTTTTCAAAAGCTAGGACACACAACATTATTTGCCCTTATAAGATAGGAGATGACACAACATGAAGGTAAAGCAAGTAACTGAAAGAGAAAAACACAACATAAAAGAATAAATACAGTGAACAAAACTAAGTCTAAACTGAGCAAAAATGGTGACAGAGGGTCCGTCTCAACACTGTTTGCCTGGTCTCCTGTGTTTGAGTTAAGGGTGTATTAGCAGTATTCCAGTCATTGTTCTTGACCAAGACATTGGTCTTACAATTGTTCCCTGGTTAAACCATCAGGGCTTACCTACTGTCTCTCAATATTTAAAATAAGACAGATGCAGGACGTGAATTTATGCATGAGTATCAATTCCATGTGCTCAGAACTTCAGCTTCTTTGTAAGGCAGAAAAGTGTAAAATGAGATTTGATTTGTGTGCAGATGTAGAATCAATAGAGGGCAGTAATAAAAGCAAAACAGACAACTGAATGTTTCTGCACTCCTTCACAGGAATGTTTTCAGCAACACTGTGACAAGCGTGGGAAAATACAGGTGCAGAAAGACAAAAATTACCAGCCCATTCTAATAAAAGAGCAGATACAGTATATAACTTTTTAATTTTAGATTGCTGGTGAGAACATTTTTCTCAACAATCTTATTTTCAGCATTGCATGTGTGTTTGCAGTGCCAGTGTTTATGTCTTTGGCTCTTTGTCATCAACGTGCAAGGACTGATAATGCAAAGAGGTGGGAGTGGTGTTGCGTTCTGGTGTTCTACGGTGTATTGCGATTTGCTATATTTAGTTCCTGTGTGTTGTGTTGCATCGCTGCATGATGTGGTGCACATCACAAAGGAGGAGTGAATAGAAGAGGAAAGGGACTGCTGTTTTCTAATATCTTGGCAGTGCAAACTTTTGCTTGTTTGATTGCTTTGGTCTCTGCCTCCATTGTGTAAAGTGAAGTACACTGATCATTTAAAGACACTTGAAGCTAAAGGCGTTTTGCTTTGGTGACCTGTGTTTGTGGTTTTACATGTGCCTTTCTTTACCCCCTATCGGGTCAAACATATTGTTTTCCTAAAGTACTGTCCAGAAGGGAATTGGAGAGGTACCAAAGAGGAGTCTTTGTTTTCACAGATAATCAAATGTGCCTTTGGCTTTTTTTTCTCTACTATTCTATTATTTCCGGTCATTATCTTCTATTTAGCACTTTTGTTAAGGGAAAGGAGACAGAAAAGATGAACAGGAAAAACAAGGAGGAGAGAGAGGAGTAGAGGAAACTTGGGAGAAGCAGAAGAGGAGGGTTGATTGAAGTAGAAGAGGGTAAAGGAGGCACTATTCATAGAGAGGAAGACAGAGAAAGAGAAAGAGTGGGGGAGTTAAAGAGGAAAGAGGGAGAGGGTGGAGAGGTAATTTTCTAAATGGAAACTGTAGCAGCGTGATTTATTGACGATATGACAGCTGTAATATGACTATTACACCAGTAGAGACACAGAGTGGGGGAGAGAGGGAGGGATACTGTAGACAGAGGGCACATGTGAGAAGTGCCAGAGAGAAGGTATCTTTAGGTGAATTACTTTCTGAATTTTACTACCTGCCCGTTCTCCTCAACTGAAGTAGATGACGGACAATGGGTTATTAAATTGCAAGCACACATACACATAAGCACACATTAGAAGTATTCATCCATTTACTGGAATTAAAAGGAATCATCATCTTCTGTAAGATGAAAAAAAATCTTTTCACTCCAAGGACAGCTAGTGTTCTCTATAACTACTCTTGCTATGGGCTAAAAGGTTTGTATTGTGGGACTGAAAGGTTAAGAAGGGGGAAAAAGCTACATGAAGCAAGATTTCTTTCCAATGAGAGTTTTAAATGTTGGCCATTTTCTGTGGCATGACTAATGTTTGCATTTTCCCACATGCAATTTAAATTCTCTTCTTTCTGTGTTTGTCATCAGCGGAGTGCGGTTCTTCAGTTATAAACAATGAAGGGATACTTCTCTCTCCGAACTATCCAATGAACTACGACAACAATCACGAGTGCATCTACAGCATCCAGGTAAGAATTCTGTATATCCTAATTAAAGGGATACTATGCGATTCTGCAGAGAGTTTGTTGATAAGCAAACTAATGAACGCGCATTGCCATGGTAACCAGTCCTACTCTGCTGAAATATAGCAGAATCCACCGCCTCTGCTGTCCGAGAGCACGTTAGCCTCAGTAAGAGGGCATGTTCTAGCAGTACTGTCGAAGGTGTGACAACAAGCCTGACAATATTTAAATATGTATTGAGGCAAAATACTTTTCTAAGCCTAAATCTAAGACACAGAGTCTAGTTTATTTATCGGTAGGGTTATGGAGAGGAGCTTCAACAGTTACAATTAGTGAACAAACATCATCAAACAAACAATATGTGTAAGCTCACAAACAAAGCATCCAAAACACAAGTGTAAAAAACTAGAGTTATTTGAAATAGTTTGTACAAAAATACTGTGACTGAAAAGGGTTGGGAAGCACAGGAGCGACTGTTTATCTCCAGGGCCGAAGTCTAAGCTAACTTTGGGGTTAACCTCCTTCACTTTATTCAACAGTTGGCAGCAACATAGGGGAGCCCCTCTTTAGTCCTGAGAAGCTGCAGTCTTTATTCACCAGCCACTATAACTTCTACTGTACATTTACTGCTGAACAAGCCTTATTGCTGACCCGTTTCTCTCTATTTACCAGGGCTCTGTTCACACCGGTTCACACACGCTCTGTCTATTTCTCCTCTTCCGCACACATACTGACCGCTGCGGCTAAGCTAACAAAGCTAACCAGCTGGGATCATCACAAACATGACAACAGACAGACAAGACTGTAATACTGAAGCTGTCGTTTATGTGGAACAGCAAAGCTAACGTTACTCACCTGTCCAGCAGAAACAGAGCAACCTCAGCATCGGTTTTCATTCCTTTCAAATCTCGTAGATTTATCCAGCATCCAAACCCCTCACAGATGTTAACACGTGTCTTCCCCTCGCCTGGTCATATAACTTGTCTCACAATTCCTCAGACCTTTCTCTCTATGGCTGTTTCTCAGTCATCTTCACAGCTAAAGACCCGTAAGAAGTTAAGCATGTTCGAATGTACCGCTGTTTGTTTACATTCTCTCTCCCACTGCTTCGAGCGCGCCACCTGCTGCTTTGTTTGTGCTCAATTTACAGATCCAGGGCCTGTGTAGGAAAAACGGATTTTTTTTCAGAGCACGTGAAAAACAGAGAGCTACCTACCTATGCGGAAATATTCGCCGAGTTTAACAAAAAGTGTATTGGATAAGAATCGCATAGTACCCCTTTAAGGGTTTTTCATTCACAGTATCACTAATCAATTAGTGGAAGTTAACTATCTTAAAATATTTGTGAGTACATGTTGTCTACTTTGTTGGTCAATTAATCTAATTTGGATTTCATGTTCACTCTAGGTGCAGGCTGGGAAAGGCATCAACATCTCTGCTAGAACCTTTCATCTTGCCCAAGGGGATATACTGAAGGTAAACACATATACACACACATTTGGTGATTCCGCTGTCATTTTTCTTTCCTGACATCTGTCTCTAAAACTGATCAGTTATTATGATAAAAGACTCTATTCATGCCTTTGAAAACTAAACCCGAGCATCACTGGTTGGTTATTATGTTTATTGTGTGTCTCAAGTGCATCTCTGCTGTTTTTATTCCAGATTTATGACGGTAAAGACAACACAGCCCACGTGCTTGGAGCATTCACAGGATCTTCTATGTTGGGCCTGACGCTGATCTCCACTTCAAACCATCTCTGGCTGGAATTTTACAGTGATGCAGAAAGTACAGGAGAAGGATTCAAACTGGTCTACTCGAGTAAGAGCACACAGCTAAGAAGTATAAACCTGTACATGCACACAACTTACCTGAATGTGTGTGGTTTAGTTAATGTACGGTCTAAAAGCAACAGCTTTACACTGGATTTCAAAGTGGTGTGTAGCATTTAACTCTGTGTTGTACAAAAGGCACATTTGGTGGTAGCGGCTATGTTGTTAGAGCACATTACATCTTAGGTCAAACTACAGTGTGGTTTTCTGTATGTTTTTACATTGTGCTATATTGCATTATGATGTATTCTGAAATCTTTAACTTATAACAAGTAGGACATGCTACATGCCTTTTACTTATATGCTGATAAAAATTAAGTAACCCTGGAGTGGACAATGACACCAGAAGAGAATAAAGCTTATCAGTATGGAAGTCACATCAATTCAGCAATTAAATGCCACGTGACAGCTGTACTAATTCCTGACAAATGTAACATACTTGTGGAATTAATTTAAGTCTAAATGGTTTTCATTTGTGAAACCATCACAGAAATGATTGTAAATTCTACCACTGAGATGATCACAAGAAACTTTTCACATTTGATTAACAAAGCTTTCAGAGAGCTCTGATTTCAGTGTAGAATAGAGTGTTATAGGTGCGTTTTGATGTTTACCAAAGCACACCCACGTTTGGCAGTGCTCTCTTAGATGCATAGTTGGAATTAGAAAATCTAATTGTTTAAATGGAGTCACGCAGGGTGATTTGCATAGCGTTTTAAAGTTGCATTGTCTCTCTGCTGAGAGAGTAGAGCGGAGAATTACTTACTCCTGTGCACCTCAGCTTTCTCAAACTGATGCAAGTAGGAGTTAGTTTGCCAAACAAAACAAGACATGGGCTTATAAAACATTGCAGCAGCCTTATTGGTTCATAGTTATGAAAATCTACAGTACGCCTCACTATGTTTATAGTTGAGTTTGGTATAAAAAAATTCAACAAAACTCAGAGGTGCGATTTGATGAATAATGCATGATGATCTTTTAGAGATATAAAATTACAGAGAACAATTTCAGATGGGCAACCATTCACACTATACGACAGGGTGATGGGTGATGTGTTCAGATTGCTAAATGGTAAAAGTACAGCTTTGCAAATTGCCATTTTTAAGGATTTAGACATGCACCTACTGCAGTCTTCCAGGAGATAACTCAAATCTTGGCGCACCTCGTCTTCCAGGTAATACTGCAGATCAAATCCTGGTTAAGGTTTTATGAGGATAAGCTATTTATATACCGCTTTATATCCCACTCTCCAAAATTGTTCACATGAATAAACAGAATATTCTGAATATTACCATGGAAACTGAGCTTAGGCAGACTGTGAAAAACAACATTAAATTGGATAAGGTGCATACATGCTCAAGTATCATTCCTAATATTGGTAAGTCTCATGTATCTTTTCCTGTTTTTTTTAATTAACAAAACAGGATGTGTGATCTCCGCAAGCTCATAAACAGAATACTTGAGTGAGGCAGATAGGGAATATTGCTGTGCATCTTAACAACACTAATTCTGGTTTCTCTAGTGGGTCTTAGATGTCCCTTAGCAAGTTTTTTTTAAAGTACACACTGTAAAGATGTTTCTCTCTGTTTTTCTCTCTCTAGGTTTTGAGTTGTCTCATTGCGAGGACCCAGGTGTGCCTCAGTTCGGCTTCAAGGTCAATGACCAGGGCCATTTCTCTGGGAGCAGCATCACATACAGATGTGAGCCTGGATACACTCTGCATGGGGCTACCACACTGAAGTGTATGACAGGCGAAAGGAGAGCCTGGGATAACCCTCTGCCTTCTTGCATCGGTATGTCTGCTATGCAAAGCTGCACTTTGAAGAGGCCCATGTTCATGTTATTTTGCATAAATTCCTCAAAATGTGATCTGATCTTCATCTAAGTCAAGGGTCTTGACAAATATAATGTGTATAAATAATAACGTAAAATAAATTCTGATCCCTCATGTCTTTATTGAACACGCTCATTCAACATTCAAAATGGCAGTGGAAAAAGTAAGCAAACACTTGTAATCAATAACTTGTTGACCCCCCCGGCAACAATAACCTCAACCAGGCGCTTCCTGCACATCGTTCGGGAGGAATTTTAGCCCATTCTTCCTGGCAGAACTGCTTTAGCTCTGTCATATTCTTTGGACGTCTCTTCGAGTCATTCCATAGCATCTCTATTGGGTTGAGATCTGGGCTCTGACTTGGCCACTCCAAAAGGCGGATTATGTTTTTCTGAAGCCATTCAGTTGGGGACTTGCTCCGATGTTTTGGGTCATTGTCATGTTGCATTACCCAACTTCTACACAGTTTCAGCTGACATACAGACATTCTCACATTATCCTGAAGAATTGCCTGATACACTTGGGAATTTATCTTCCCCTCAGCGATTGCAAGCTGGCCAGGCCCTGATGCAGCAAAGCAGGCCCAAATCATGACGTTTCCTCCACCATACTTTACGGTTGGGATGATATTTTCATAAAGATATGCCTTGCCCTTTCTATGCTAGATGTAGTGCTGTGTGCTTCGTCCAAATATTTCAATCTTAGATTCATCAGTCCACAAAACATTTTGCCAATACCGCTGTGGAGTGTCAATGTGCTCTTTTGCAAACGTCAGGTGTGCACCAATGTTCTTTTTAGTAGTTAGTGGCTTCCTTCGTGGTGTCCTGCTGTAGATACCCTGGTTGTTCAATGTTTTACATATTGTAGACTCATGAACAGAGATGTTAGCCAGTTCCACTGATGGCTTCAAATCTTCATTGTTTCTTTACCTAATTGATGAAACTCCGTTGTGCTCTTTGTGTCATTTTTGACTGGGCGCTCACTTCTTGGTATAGTAGCAACCGCCCCAAAGTGTCTCCATTAGTAGAATGTTTGCTTAACTGATGAATTTCTAAAGTCCTTTGAAATCACTTTGTAACCTTGATCGTAGATCCTCTGAAAGCTCTTTTTGGCGAGGCATGGCTCACAAATAATGTGCTTCTTGTGCAGGACAAACTCCAAAAGTTTGCAGGGTTTTTATCAGTCAAAAGGTGCTGCTCAATTCTCTTATTTGTCGTTTCCTCTCTCCTCGATCCTCGCTTGAACCGGAAGTTGTTCCACCATCTTGCAGGCCGTCCCAAAGCTCTTATTTGCGCTCTGAGGAACGAGGATCGAGGAGCGATCTCTGAGGAGCTATGAGCGAGGACACACCAGTGCATCCTTCGCGGAAGTCTTTTAATGACCGACGCACCCCCTTATTGGGTAACTGTTATATTGATTGGACGCTGCAGCTTATCGGACTGATCTGATGCATCAGGACAGATAACATTAATTTCAAGTGTATCGCTGCACAGTCTTATATTTGATTTGTTTTATGATTCACTGTCACTATGTTAAAATCTGTGTTCATTGTAGGTCTGAACAACAAAAGCCCCACACGCAACTTTATTTATTTATTAGAAAGATCATTCTTTCTTTTATTTCTCCCATCAGCTTTTATTATGGAGACAATTAAAGTCAGAGAGAGTCAGAGAGTCTGTCAGCAAGAAACATGGTTTACATAATTTATCGTCATTTCTATTCAGTCACATGTGAGGCTGGTCATTCCTGTGTTTAGTCCAAATACACGTATCTAATGAAGCGAGCAAAGCATCTGATGAAAGCAGCTGGTGGCTCCGCAAGTAAAACCAGCTGATGAAAGTGTGAATGAAAGCGCTGCACTAAAAAATATGTTGGACTGACATGATGGAATGCAGTGATCGATCGGTGACAAGTGACTTGCAAATAAAATGCAGGCAGTAGTGTTAAAGGATATCAGAAGAGGAAATAAACAGAAAGCCTACAAGTGAGCGTCGATTTTGATATGAGTTACATCATTTCAATTTCCCTGAAACATTTAGACTAATAAATACCAAGACACACTGATCATATTCTGGGTTAATCAAGAACAAATTTACAATCAGAATCACTAAATATAAATGCAGATAATATCAGCATTGTGCCAGTAGAAATGATGCTGTGTCTCTGAGCAGGACGTACAGTAACCAATAATTATTCATGTGCAGGTGTTTGTTAAACAGGTAATGGAGAATCATGCTGCTTTGCACTGATAACTGTGAGACTTTATTAGTACCAACACCGTGCACATGTGTGCAGACACAAACTCCACCAATAGTCTCTACAGCTGTTAGAGCCGACTGACAGCTGATCCAGCTGTGATCAGCGTCATCAGAAACGGACGTCGCTTCACGTGCTTGGTTTCCTTGCGTCTATCCAAAAAGGAAGGAAAAGACGCAAGTGAGGGAAACGTGGATGCAATTAAAAGACTTGAGAAACACCCAAAGTAGTCCACACCTCCAGACTCATTTGACTCCAGGTGTGCTAAAACCTGACTCCAATCAGCTTTTTGAGGTCCTTAACTCAAGGGTTCGCATACTTTTTCCACAAGCACTATGACTTTTTTTGGTTGTTCAGAATTTATTTTGTATTATTATTTTAGACACATTATGTTTGTCAATACCCTTGACTTATATGAAGATCAGATCACATTTTATGACAAATGTATTCAGAAAACCATGAAATTCAAAAAGGTTCACATATTTTTTCTTGAGGGTTCATTGTTGACTTGGCTTTCACTGGTATTGCTGCATTTTTTGCTGTGCGATTTACGTGGTTCTTAATACTTCTACTGACATTACTGGATGTGTTGAATAGCTGCACAGTTGCCCACGGCCTTTCAAAGGTAAAACAGTGCTTTATTCACATTTGCACAAGGTAAAAATCAGGAACAGGATATATTCAGTGAATAAATATCTATTATATACAGTTTATTAGACACATTGTGTCTTTTGAGTGTTTTTCTGTCCAAAATCATCAAGCTGTTCTCAAGCTGGAATATTTAATTTACTGGCGCAAATACACCTTCTAAGTACCAAGAAGCATTACTGTACTACATTGTGCTCTACAACATAGTACAGAGTCACTTGCTGCTTTATGCAAAGTCTCTGCTTCCAGGATATTCATTCAGTAATCTGGAAAGAAAGCAGGTGGGGGCCAATTTCTTGTGGAATAGCCTTGTTGATTTTCTTATGAGATGACACACTGCGGTAGTTTTAAAGTCTCAATGAAATGCCGAGAGTTTACCACCTAAATGCCCTCTGCCCAATTGATCTATTTCCTTTCCTGCAGTGGATGATTTGCTCTTTGTTCCTGGAGACTGCCCTATTGGTCCCCCGATGCTGTGCTTTGTACTCAAACATGCCCACACACATGTACAAACACATCTAGATCAAACCTGTATTTTTTTTATTTTTTTGGGGGGGGGGTGTTTTTGATCAGATGTGTTTATCCGCTTGGAAACGACAAAACCTACTCGAAAGCAACTCTCCTTTGAGTATTAACCATATTTCTAAATTTTCCATTATAACGCCATTACCTTTGTAATTCATTTACCAGACCTTCAAACTGATTATAAACTACAAGCCACAGCTCAGAATATTGATGTCAACAGGTCAATAATGGTCTTTTACCGGTTATGCAACATCAGAGCTCCAGAACTAACACACATGCATACTGTAAACACACATGGCGTCAGTATGTTGGTATATAGTGCCTAACATGCTTTCATTTTAAAAGTATTCTAAACTTATTTGGAGACATTTCCAGTCCTTTCCAGTAGGTATTTGGTTGAATGATTACATTCTCTAATTAAACCCAAACAAATGTTAAGCCTATACAGAGTGACACACGAAATTGCTGCTGCAGCTGTGCCCCAGATGGGCGCTATAAGCATCACATAAGCATTACAGCAAGCCCAGTGTTTTAAGGACCTTTCTTCCTTCATCGCAGCCTCTGAACTTTCTGATTTTTGATTCAGCTTAATAAGTCTTCCTCCTTCTCACTATCAATAATGAAAGACTCATAAAAACCACTGGCTGATATTCTCTGACTTTATATTTTAGCAGTGACACACTGTGACCTCAGCTAACCTCCAGTCTTAATATTATATTGCTTCTTATTATTACTCATAGTGTTTCCTTCTATTTCCCCCCCATTGGTTCCCTCCTTTTTCTTTCTCTTTTGCCTCTTCGCCTCTCTTTTTTTTTCTCTGTCCCAACTCTGAATATTGCTCCTATTACTCGAGATAATATATTCCACTGAAGGAGGGAGGGGAGCCTAAGGGAGGAGGAACATGGGGAAGGAGGGGAAGCAGAGAGGGGATGAAGATTGTGAAAATATATAACCGAGAGAGACAAAGAGAGAAGGGGGAATTATTTTTTGTTATATAACGTGTGGTGGTTTCTTTAGGGATGATGCAGGATCAGCACTTTGTCTCTTCTTCCTCTTCTTCCTCCTCCTTCTTTCTGCGCATGAGAAAGACAGAGGGACGCAGAGAAAGAGAGTTAGCTTCTTTCCAAATCCATTTGTCTCCATGGTGATCGTTTAATCACTGCTCAGTGGCCACTGAGGTGCACCCAGTGGATCTGTTTACCTTGATAAACAATTGTCACAGACAGATAACTGGTTGACTTGTCATACATCACATACACACTTAATTACACACATACACACCCATCAAACGCCTATTTGTTTGGCTGAATTGATGGTATTTGTAATATTGGCACATTTGTGGTGATCTGACAGATAAAGGTATAGTATGTTGGTATATATAAACAGTCTTTAATGTCTCTTACATGTGTGTTTGATTCCGTTAGCGGAGTGTGGTGGTCGTTTTAAAGGTGAGTCTTCAGGGAGGATTCTTTCCCCTGGATACCCTTTTCCGTACGACAATAATCTACGCTGCACCTGGACCATCGAGGTGGACTCAGGAAACATTGTGAGGTAATGTGGGCCACCCTGCACCTCCCCAGTATCCATCCATCCATCCATCGTCAACCACTTATCCTGCGTACAGGGTCGCGGGGGACCTCCCCAGTAGTAAAGTTTAAATAACATGTGGTTACTTAAATATTTTTCTGGGAAAAATAATTCCCACTGAGTTAGTGTGCTAATCTGGATATGTGATTGTGTACGATAAGTGTGAATATGATGATACAAATGCTGAGTATGCCTAATCTGTAATTGCAGCTTGGTTGTACCTGTTTGAACGACTATACTGAACATATTATTTCATATAATAGGTATATTGACATTCGTATGATCCTGTAAAAAATGGTTTTGAAACAAAATTGAAAAATTATCTCTCTTGGGTTTATATACTAAATCACAAACCATAAAACAGTGTCAAAGATTACAAAAAATATATATATAGCTATAGCCTTTCTTTCTTCTGAGCAAAATACATTTCTGATTTGATGAAGAGATACTGTTTACACTGTTAATAATAATCTTGTTTTTCTTTTTTTTCATACAATTTACAGTCTTCAGTTCTTGTCCTTCGACACAGAAGCCAGCCACGACATGCTGAAGGTTTGGGATGGACCACCTGAGAACGAAATGTCTTTGTCAGAGCTTAGCGGGTCTCTGCTACCTGAGGGGATCCACTCCACACTGAACACTGTCACTGTTCAGTTTGAGACAGATTTTTACATCAGCAAGTCAGGATTCGCTATTCAGTTCTCCAGTGAGTAATGTTATTAAAATGAGAAAAGTTAGGGGTTTACCTCCCTGTATCATTTTTGTATACATTTGTCTATAATGCGAGACTGTGATGACTGTACTAGGTTTTCAGGTTGCCAAAGAGGGACCGATGCTGTTTCTCTATGACTCTGAATATGTTAGTGGATTTTCATTGGAGTACAAATCTGATTATCAATCACATAATTAAGAATCCAAATCTGCATAATTGTTCTACTTGAAAACCTCCAGCTAGAAATTATCTTAACAGATATTTCATAATACAGGATAGGAAGCAGTTCCTTTAATTAGTACTGATTTTTTTACATTGAGTTAATGCATTAGCATGATAGTTCTAGATCTCCAGTGAGACACAGATTTGTATAATTGCTCTCCCCTCTTTCTCCTCCACTCCCTCTTCTTCCTTCCTGTCCCCGCTTGGTTTCTCCCTCTCTCTCTGTCCAGGCTCAGTAGCTACGGCCTGCAGGGACCCAGGTGTACCAATGAATGGCAGCCGTAGTGGAGATGGCCGTGAGCCGGGGGATTCAGTGTCCTTTCAGTGCGACCCAGGATACGAGCTCCAGGGGGATGACAAAATCACCTGTATACAAGTGGATAACAGATACTACTGGCAGCCCAGCCCGCCTGTCTGCATAGGTGAAATATCCAGCTTCAGTATATTTATAGGGACATACAGTACAATAGGTGTACAACATACAGAACTGCAGTTGTTTAGGGCTCTCTACCTTGCTCAAGGACACATCAATGAGTGACTTAGAAGAGGGTTACTGAATACATGCATTATAATACTATTTCATTATCCTACCGACCTCACTCCATACTGCTGTTTTTGATTTAAAAATAATGAAAATGGTGTTGAGTGAATTAAAATTGTTGTTTTAAAATTGTTTTCATCCTGCATGGTTGAGCTAGAGTGAATTCTCTAATTTTTGAAGATTTTAGTAGAATGAATGTTTACCTTTGCTTGTGTTCACATCATAGCTCCATGTGGAGGAAACCTAACTGGCTCCAATGGATTTATACTGTCTCCTAACTACCCACATCCCTACCCTCACTCCAAGGACTGTGACTGGCTCATCGCTGTCAACTCTGACTACGTCCTGTCGCTGGCCTTCATCAGGTAACCAGTTTTATTGCTTAACAATCTAAGTCCACTGACATTTTTTTTATAGTGAAACATGTATTTATCCAGTATGGGTTGTGCTAAGCACAAATGGTTTTCAGAAAGGGCTGTAATTGATAAGAAAGACAGTATTTTCAGCTGCGGTCTTTCTAAACCAAACAAATGTGGAATGAGAATGGACTAGGCCATGTGAAAAATTTGACCTTTGGGTGCTAGAGAAGAATTTAGATCACCAAAATCATTAGGATTCATCCTCTGGCGACAATGAATGTCTGTCTGGTACATTTTAAACAGTTTTGGGCTGTTGAAAGAAATAATAACTCAGTATCAGATGATACAGGGTTTGCAAATATATTTTTGTTTATTTTGCAACATATGTCAAAAGCTGTATATCAGTTCTCAAAAACTGTATATCAAAAACTGTCAATAGTAGCTTCTGTTTTGTTTTTTTTACTGTATGAAGGCTTGAAAACCATTTGGGACCATGACACTGTTTTTCTAAAAATGGAAATTATGATATCTACCATTCAGTGCTCTAAAAAAATGCTCTTTAAATCTGCAAAGCTGACATCACTCTCAGGTCCTTTCTGCACATGCTTTCTAGTATGAAAAACAAAAACAAATCTAAATAATAATATTTATGTGCCCCTGCTCTCCCCATCTGCTTCCTGCTACCCCTTGTCCCTATGTGTTTTTTGTTTTTCTTAATCTGTGTCAAGTTTCAATATTGAGCCAAACTACGACTTCCTGTATATCTACGATGGTCCGGATAGCAACAGTCCTCTGATTGGTAGCTTCCAGGACAGCAAACTCCCAGAGCGGATAGAGAGCAGTTCGAATACCATGCATTTAGCATTCCGCAGTGATGGGTCTGTTTCTTACACTGGCTTTCACCTGGAATACAAAGGTAAAATGTTCTGCTTCCTTATATGCTGTGTAGTGTTTAGTGCTGGAATAGCTTCTCAATTTCTCAAGATTCAAGTTTGTATGAAAATATTTACAGCAGAGGGACTCTGGTATGATAAGTAAACACAACTACAATATTATCACAATCAACGAAGCGAAAGCAGCTCCCCGTCATTTATTCAGTATCTAATGATTTATGTCTTAAACTAGATGCCACCTGGAAAAAGACTCAACACACGGATGTCTTTCTCTGATGAAAAGAGAGAAATAAAAAACAGAAAGTAGACACACATTCCATCTGGGAGCCAATTTGTAACCGTCAATTGTTGAAAAATAATGTTAAATTACTCTGTTTGATGTAATTGCATTAGGGGCTGTTATCTCTCTTATCTGTTTTTCATAAGCAAGTTCACTTGTGAAAATACTGTTTAAGGTTTTCACACTTAACATGACAAAATGTTTCAGATGACTCCTGTGATGACAGAATGTCTCCAGGATGTGTTAAGAAATATTTAATTTTCACTCTGAACAAAGACCGCCTTACCCCTAAATGCAAATGTATAAGCAGTTAAGTCTCCTACACTGATTTTGATAGATTTTGATGTAGATTTTCATTGAATGATTGCTCTCAACATTAAGTCCACGCTGAATTAGTGTCTGTTGAAATAGTCTGTTAGAGAGATGAGTTTGATTCACTTGCACAAAAGAATCAACATCGGCTTCATGTGGATTCAGGACTTAAGTCGTTGCAGGGTGGCCGCTAATCTTTTAGGAGGGGGGGCCAAAGCCATAATTTACAAGTTTTCATCTGGCATTCAAAAGCCGGGAGATGAAGTTATGGTTCTTGCTCCGTCTTTGGCAACGGCAGTTAAGTCAAACAGACTGTTAAAAAGGCCAACGGAATGCCTGCCGCATTTGATTATGGGGACACGGACAGGGACTTAGTTATTATTAATTTGACTTATTATTTATGTGTGCCTGTCGCTTTTTCTTTGGCTCATCCCCTCTCTCGCTTACTCCCTCCTTCTCTTTCTCTCTGTCCAGCCAAGTTGAGGGAATCATGTTTCGATCCAGGTGTGGTTCTGAATGGGACCAGGCTGGGATCCGATTATAAGCTTGGCTCTACAGTCACCTTCTATTGTGAGGCCGGATATGTTTTGCAGGTACAAAAAAAAAAAATACCTGGATGGATGGGTGGGTGGTTGGTTGGTTGGCTGGTTACTTCACTGGTTGGTTGGTTTGTTAGTTGACTGGTTAAATGGTGGGTCTTACATTTAAATGTAATTGTTTTCTCAAGGGCTATTCTACCCTAACCTGCAGTATGGGGGATGACGGAAGACCTGGATGGAACAGGGCATTACCTAGCTGTCAAGGTAACACACACTAAAACACAGATTGGACTAAATCATCCCTGCATTCACAGTTTATTTTAGTTAAACAATTGTTTATATTTTATGTATGTGATAATGTAAGGCTTTATGTGTTGTGTGCACATGTGTGTCTCCAGCTCCCTGTGGAAGTCGTTCTATAGGATCAGAAGGGACTGTTTTATCTCCAAACTTCCCCAGAAACTATACTTCTGGACAGACATGTGTCTACTCTATATCTGTACCTAGAGAGTTTGGTAAGTCCATCCACACACACACACACACACACACACACACACAGGATAGTGCACACACAAGTTATTCAACAGGATCTTACCAAGTGAATACTAATATTTCACAGAATTACATATGGTACCTGTATGAATCTATTGTTAGTTATCTGTTGTGGGTGTGCTAGAGTAAAACTATTTCAATACAAAAGCTGTCAGTATTAAAGGGATTTATTCTTTATTCCTAAAAAGATTTCAAATGCAAATGTATAATGCTCTAAAGTTTAGGTGTCAAGACAACAGTCGAGAATGAAACCTGTGATCACAATTTTCTTTGACATTCTCCAATTTTAGTCTTTTACTGTGAAACAAAGTGACATTAAAACGTGTTTGATTTTTAATGGGGAGCCCCCTGAAGGAGCCCTTTGGGGTTTTTAACCCCTGAAAACAAGTAGAGATATTGCACATGATCAAAAAGTGCCCGCTGCCCATTTGTTTTTGATTCCAGGTCAGAGTTTCACCATTGAAGTGACATTCAAAGATGAGGCTGTTTTTATCTTGCCACTTTGATCGGTTGTCCTTAAGTCAGACATAAATGACGCATCATAAAATAATATGCATATTGTAGGGGCTTCCTCACATTAAATGAGGCTGTGTTGGGCTTCTGGGGACATTAGAGGAAATGTGAGTCTCCCCTCACACTTTCTTACATGCGTTTAGTTCTTCTCTCTCCAGTTAGATAGTGTGTGCACTATGTATTTATGCATGTATTTCAGTACCTATGTCTTTTTTTGTTCAGTTGTGTTGTTATAAAGCACACGGGCACAAACCTGGTTTGATTTGATTATAACCTGACCTGAACTGTTGGAATATATTTTATCTGTAACATATTCCAGTTATGTTCATATTAATGCCACAATCAAGTTGAGCATTAAAGTTCATTCTTGACCTTGGAAAATAGTAGTTTCACAAAACAACAATCCCAACTCAAGGGCGACTTACTAGCTTAGATAGGTCATAGGTCTTCATGCAATTGGAGTTTGCTCAGTTGTCATGGAGATGGATTGGTTGACATGCAAGCTCAGTAGCTGTAATATGTGTAGGACTTAAAAATAAAAGCATTAAAGTTTATTTTTGACCTTTATAAATAGTTTGACATTGTCTTCATCAGCAGCAGTGTTGGGCAAGTTAGTCAGAATTGTAATAAGTTAATAAGCATATTCATAAGAGCAGAAATGAGTGTGTTTTTACAAAACATATAATGTTTCTTAACGCCACTGGCTGAAATAAAAAAATGTAGCATGTCACTCCCTGCTTTTTAACTCGTGTTCTCCTGCTTAACGCCACTCTCCCCTGATGAGTGCATGCATCACTGGCAGTAGCGGCCTCCCGGTCAGCGCCAGAGTTTCTTTCTGTAAGTTTCACGTTGCTGTGCTGCTTTAGCAGATGCTCCAATAACTTAGATGTAGAATTTTTTGCGGTTGAAAACTTTCTGCTGGTCACAAAGTTTACAACAGACGACAATATTCTTTGCATCTTTGACTGTGACAAACTCACAATAAGGGCAATACTTACAGTTGTTGAAAGAACGCCTATCTCCCTCGTTCTTCACTCTTCCTTTAGCTTTTTGGCCAGCAGCCAACTTGAACAACATAAGGTCCCGCTTCTCGACTTGATCTGCCGTGCAATCGTGCATACATGTCAACATTATGTCAACGCAGTGTTACTTGGATTAATAACTGTAATATTATTACTGTTGGAAATAGCAATGTCTTACACTACTAGTAAGCTAGCAGGTGCACATTATGTTGGCATTGTGTTGCCAATGTAGTCACACTATAAATATTGGTTAATTTTCAAAATGTGCAAATTTACTTTTGTGTCTCTAATATCTGATAATGACATCACATATTGGCATTTAAATTGTTGGTTTACTGATTATTACAATGGCTAACTCATTGGGTTTGACTTGAGCTTTACAAACAATCGGTAATTGGTGGATATGATGTCCAATTATGCCCTGTGGTGTTATGAATAAATACCAGCTTTCCCTGAGGCTCATGATAGTTTCTGTCTCATTATATTTGCATAGCAGCTTTTGGAATGCCAGCTTCTCAGCTCCATGTAGACATTTTGACTGAAAGGAGCTCACATTTGGTTGGCCTACATATTGTACAAGACACACAGACAGCATCCCTGAACCTCCCACACAGAGCGAGAGACAGAGATTGTTTTGTTACGTTGTGTAAGTGCTTTACGTCATGCCCAGATTTGTGAAGCAGCTGTCATTCTAAAAAACAAAACATGTCTATAATTTGTGATCTTACAGCTATTGAAGGTTACAGGCTCAATGTTGCAATATCAAAATGGTTTAATGATTAGAAGAGAATTTGAAAGCAAACCACTGGACAGGTATTAAATGGATGTTTCACCAGTCATACTAATGGCTCCTTCAGTGTTAACACCAGGTGGGGAAAACCCTTGGCTTTCATCCCTGTGGAGATGCCATACCTCCTGTTGAATGAGGATATGGCTGAGGACACCCACTCAGGCTGCTTATCAGGAGGCATGGCAGCTCTACAGGGATTGATGACCAGGTTTCTACATCTGATGTGAAGAGTTGTAGAATCCTTTCAAATAAAAAATAGATTGGTTTAAACTTTGCTGGACATGTTACAACATGGACTACTGAACCCGGTATACGTGAATGCAGTGCAGAAGGATTTCACATCCAACAAGCCATGTGGTTAACTCAGTGTGGGACAGCACTGCTGTTATCTGTGTGTGTGTGTGTGTGTGTGTGTGTGTGCTTGTGCGCGTATATGCGTGTGGCTTTGTTTGTGTGTCTTTCAGTGTTGGCATTAAAGGTATATATGTTGTTCGTTGTTATCTCAGTAACAAGTAAGTACGTAAGTAGGTAAAGTTTATTTGTTTAGCACCTTTCACAGATAAAAATCACAAAGTGCTTCGCAATAAAATGCAATGCAGAACTACAAAGTAAAATACAATGCATAAAAGCCTCCTTGAATAGCAGGCTTTTGAGTGAAATCTACTGTGATATCTGAAAGTGTGCTATTCCATGTAATGCTTATGAATCTGCGTATGAATTATGGCACATGTGTGTCCCCCCGCCTGAAATTGCTGCTGTTTTGAGACAGTTTAAGATGTGAACTCATCCACCTGCTCTGCAGTATGTCGATATTACAGCAAGGAATGATGGAAACCTTAATCACTCTGATTTTCTTAAAATCTATACATGGTGGGAGCTTTTAAGTATTTCTGCTGACAGGCAGTATGTTGTCATTCTTTATAACCACTCTACAGCATGCCCTTAAACACCTCCTTATGTACGACGATGGCATAACTATAAGATGTAAGTACAAGAGGTTAGAATCATCTACCCTTTAGAGCTAAACTCTGTTCTTGATGATTTGTTGTTTTGCATCTGCACAGGCAATTCAACTGCAATTGAAAATCCCATGTTTTGTTTCTGCTCTGTATTCTTTGACATTACTTTAACATGAAACGAGGATTTACATGAAAGCCGACAGGGTATTTTTTGTGAGTCAGAGCGATGTTTTAGCAAAATGCGGATCATGCTTTCAAAGAACTCCACAGAGAGAAACAGCCTTGTACAAAGTGACCAGTGACCTTCTTATAGCGGAATATCCTTGGCAATGTTCAGATTTAATCCTTTACACCTCAGCCTTTGGGGCCAGAGAGAGGGGGAGAGGGAGAGGGAGATGGAGAAGTTTTGTGTTGCGTGTGTGTGTGTGTGTGTGTGTGTGTGTGTGTGCGCGCGCGCATGTGTGTGTAGTCGGGGGGGCTGACTTCGTTGAGGCTGAAATGAATGTGATTTAACCTAAAGGACATCTTTCTATGTGCTGCAAACAAACAAATTTTCACAACACCTCCAGATTTGCATCTTAAGGCAACTTATGGATGATTTGTTGACACAGTGATCAACAAAGACAGAGGAAATTGTACTGGTTTAAGTAAATACGGGGCCTCAGACGACCCGGGGGGCTTCTAATGCTACTTGCCACCACAGCTGCACTATAATGTTCTTGGTTTAGCAGAGGAATCTCCAGCTATTATAGGGAGGTCTGGGTTTAATTCCTGGCCACTGCAGCAGCCTTTTCACCTTTGATCATGCTGAAACTGAGTAAAACATGGGTTTCTGGCACATGGGTTTGACAGGTTACAACTTGTACAATACGCCTTTCTTTCAACTCTAACTGCCTGAAATACTGTAGACAAGACAGACAAAAAACATGTTGCCCTACTGGCCATATGTTGACAAAAGTAAGTCAGTTTTGGCAAACACCAGCATCTCACACTAGCTGACAACACTGAAAAACACTCTAGCCAGCTGATGAATTGTTCGACTGGGGCGTAATGAAGATGAGGTGGTGTTTTGACTGTTAAGTGTTCTGATGTGTAATTTTGTGCCAGTAGTTGGCTTCAAATAGAAGTCGACATGGCAGCTTAATAAAATTTAAACTAGGTTTTACAAGTTAATTTTATTATTAGAAGGTCAGGCACAGACAGTGGCATGAAATAATACTTTGCGACCATTCAGGTGTGGTTAACTCATCAACTCGTTTTTTTTTTTTTTTTGTCTCCAGTCCTCTTTGGTCAGTTTGTGTTGTTCCAGACATCTCTAAATGACGTGGTGGAAATCTACGATGGACCCACTCAACAAAACACGCTACTGTCTTCTCTCTCTGGGTCCCACTCTGGTAAAGATGAATTGATGGCTTGTTAGCTGGATGGACAGATACACAACCTGAGCACTAACCGTATTGTACGTCTTTAATTCAGATCTTTTCTCTCTTTGACTCTGTCTCTCTAGGTGAGTCCCTCCCTCTGAGTTCGGGAAATCAGATCACGATAAAGTTTACCACAGTTGGACCAGAAACTGCTAAGGGTTTTCACTTCGTCTACCAAGGTCAGCCAATCACAAGTAGCCAAAGTTATTATTTATATTCAAATTTAATATCATTATTGTTATTAGTGGTAGTACTTATATGTATGTATATATGTTTTCAAAATTACTGTTGCCAGAATCATTAAAACAGACATTTTCTGTTATGTTCCCACAATAGCAGTAAGGTGTGTGTAGTGGTAATTACTACCCCACAAACCGTAACTTTCTGGGCCTATTGCTTAGCTCTTGTATTTTGTAGAAGTGGCCATTTTACATACAATGCCACCTTTTCATTTGTATGCATTTAACCTTTATTTAACCAGAAAAGCCACATTGAGAGAGCCATGGCCATATATATCGTCATCAATAAAGTTTTTTAATGGTTGTGGAATCTTCCTTATTTCTGCAGCTGTACCAAGGACCAGCTCCACCCAGTGCAGTTCAGTCCCTGAGCCGCGCTTTGGGAAGCGTCTCGGTAATGACTTTGCAGTTGGCTCCTTGGTGCAGTTCGAGTGCAACCCTGGTTATGTCCTGCATGGCTCTACTGCTATACGGTGCGAGAGTGTTCCAGACAACCTGGCACAATGGAATGACACCCTGCCAACATGCATAGGTAAATATGACTATTCAAAGTGCAGTAGCATCTTAAGATACGTTCTCAGGCATACGATGGACTCTCTACTTACTTACTCTCTCTAAAACAATTCAAAACAAATTCAGACAGTTGATATGCAGATAGCATTTCAATGTTTCCGAGGCCCTAAGCCTAGTTATGCCCACTCTGTCACCCTGGCCTCAGGCTCTTTGGTCTCCTTTCTGCTCTCTCTCCTCTCTCTCAGTTCCCTGTGGGGGGGTGTTGACCTTTCGTCGAGGGACCATCCTGTCACCTGGATATCCAGAGCCCTACGACAACAACCAGAACTGTGTGTGGAAGGTCTCTGTTCCAGAAGGGGCTGGAATACAGGTAGTCCCAGTCGCACGCTGCTTCCTGGCTGACCTATGTATCATTGGCTTAAAAGCTGAGCAAGCAGGATGTCAAGGAAGATAAGATATTATTAGAAGCATGAATGGATGGATGGTTTGTGAGAGAGGGCCCATCCAGAGATAACTAGATAGGATCTAATCGTGAGAGATAATGCCTGATTGTGTGTAAGCTAAACCGCTCTCACGGACAAATACAAAGACAAAGATGCCTCTGATACAAAATGGAGTCTGATACAAATATTTGACAGACACCTCGCTGCGTTTTTTTTTTCTTGACATTGAGTACGTGTGTTCTGTGTCATTTAACTTTTTTGGTTCAGTTTCATTAGATATTTACATCAGTTAACAGATCATGTGTTTTACTTTCTTCCTGAATTTGTTTTTAGAATGAGCAATACAGGTGCTTTTGTTGAAGACAATGAAACATGAGCTAACAAGAACAATCTGTGTCTTTCTCTTCGTCTTTATCTGCCTGTCTAGATACAAGTTGTGAGTTTTGCCACCGAGCATAACTGGGACTCTTTGGATTTTTACGATGGTGCCGACAACCACGCACCAAGACTGGGCAGCTACTCTGGTACACTGTTTTTTCAGTATTATGTACAGTGTTGTACATATGATGGCCATTCTTGCCAAAAAGTAATTTGGCAAATGAATGAATGATTAAGCGTGAGACAAACTGCAAGAACTAAGCATTAGGAAATGATCTTGTTGTAATATAGCATATAGTTATATTAATATTTTAGTTGTGACAATTTTGATAGTGATAGTAGTAAGAGGGGACACTACTGAACTGAATTTTAAAGTAACAAAAAATATCAAAATAAAATTTCAGATGTAGGTGGTTGCAGTTTGATTTCAGTATATAGGGATAAAAATGTTTTAAGGCCAGGGCCCCTTTACATGCATTCATACTCTATGTAACAAAATAAAGAAGAAGCCCCTTGTCTTGTATAGCTTGACAGTTAAATGCAGTAGAGTTAGAAAAACATTGTGTGTTGTGTTTTGAGGCGTACACGATGCATGTGGCCCCCTGCTAAGAGTGCAGTTAAAATGGTTCCAGTCTGAGTCTCCCTGCAGGAGCTGAGGAACACACACAGTGACACCTGCCTGTTTATCTTTGATTCCTTGAAAGACATATGAGAAAAAGTCGTCGCATAGCTAATTGATCCCGTTACACTCTGTAATGCTCTGCTAAGAATAGATATTTCCTAAGCAACTTATGACATGATGTGTCACATTAATTCCAAAACAATACAATGCATTTCTGAATTCTCCCAAAATTTACTACACAATGTGGTTAGGTATATTTTATACCTAAGGTAATGTAAGATGTTTGTTTTAACCCATGACATTTATGGTAGAGTTTAATATTTACAACTGATAATAAAGCAATCATATAAGTGGTATAAACCCTTATTGCAAGTTTTACATTGATTTATCACTATGATGTTTTATTGCTCTGCATGCCTTTTATGCAGCCAGTGAAATGTCTTTTGTGGCAGGTAAAATCTATTAATCCACACACCAGCAGCAGCACACATGCTGTGTCAATATGTTACCCACTGTTTTTTATTATATTATATTACTAATATAGTCAAATATTTCAAAATAATAATAATAATATTTCAAAAAAAAAAAGTGAACTCATAATCCCAAAAAGAGTGTTGTACATTAGTGTGCCATTAGAGTGGCTAGTCCAAATATTGGCACTGATTTCCATGGAAGTGCCTCTTCTCCAGTGCTCCGGCAACTCATATTCAACCAAAAGATGTGTTCACTCTAGGTGAAGTAATTCAAGCAGCTGCCCAAAGGGAGTCAGCATGTTCTGGGAAGTCTTCTGATTATCTAGCTAGCTGTAGTGAATAATCTATGGAAGGGCTTGACTTCTTTATGACAAACTGGATAAGAGGTTACATTATGGGCAATGAAATGACTTTGAGAGTGATTCTATTTCCATACAAAAATTCATTAATGTGTAAATACATGCAGGGCAATGATGCATTTTTTTTACTGTGATTATTTACAACTGCTAATTAATACTGTCATATATCCTAAAACAACAGTTATGGTTAAATCCATGTAGTTAATTATTCATCATCATTCATCATTTATTATTAAAATCTTTTTTTCCCCGATATGATAATGAATGAGATTTTTTCTGGAGTATTGAATGTGACCAGCAGGGGGGCCACAGACTATTCAAAAATGTACTAATTAATTTCCCTCACAACAGGCAACCAATAACATCCTTTGGCCTAATTCACTGTTCATTCAGAGGAATGCCTCTGTACCTTTGTAAGTTTTGCTGACACACCTGCCTCTGAACAACAAAACAGCATGTAAATCAAAATAAGGCTTTGCTCGCTGCTCACTGGCCTCTGACAAAATTTAAAAACTCCACATGTGGCTAGTATCAGAAGATACTTTTACTACTGTTGCATCTTAATGCAAGACAATTACATTTTCACTGATAAAGATATTAGAGTTGGTTAATATCCCTTTACATTAAAGTACATCATCTACTATGTTATTGTGAAGGGCCCTGACAGGATTACACTGTTGCACTGTGCCAGCTTTGCTTCAGTAGTGCAGTCCTGTTTTTTTACTTTGTACTTTCCCTTGCCACGCTAAGTAGGTCAAGCCAACATTTTAAAAGTGGTTTCAAATAAAACAGATGTCTCATATAAAAGTAATTCCCCTCTCCCTCCTTCGAGAACACTTCACAAACAAAAAAACAAAAACAAAATGAAGGTTTGGGAGGCCTTTGTTGTTCCCTTTGCTGTCAGATAACTAAGATCATTTGAAAAATGTGATCATGATCCTCTGTTGCTCTCTTCCTCTCTCCATGCTTTCAGGCACCACCATCCCCCCTCTCCTGAATAGTACATCTAACAACCTCTATCTCAGCTTCAGCTCTGATATTAGTGTCTCAGCTGCTGGATTTCACCTGGAATATACAGGTACCATATTTGTCTAGTACACAGCTTTATCTGTGGCATTGCTATATATACATGACAACTGAAAGTTTTACAAACATATTTATTTCACATTTCTTAACAGCCATTGGTCTGGAGTCATGTCCAGAGCCCCAGACTCCAAGCTACGGAATAAGACAAGGAGACAGATTTATGGTGGGAGACGTCGTACAGTTTTCATGTGAACAAGGATACTCTCTTCAGGTAAAAGTACAACATATATGTTAGGGTGCCACTCAATGTAATGTCCAATTTTTTTCCCCAACATTTTCCAGGTCCCACCCCCTCATTCTGTTCCTTTTATGATGCATGTGAGAAGTTCATTCAGATATATTAATATTTACTGGTAGCTCAATGGGCTCAATGCTTTTATATTTACTTTCATTGCCATAAAATGTTATTTCATTCAAAATTTCTCTACCAAAGTAAATTAAACCTTGAGTAAGTATTGTTATAATTTTAGTTTTTAATCATTTAACTGTTTTCATATTCTGATTTGTGTTAATTATTTGGTTTAAATACTATGTAATCAGAATAATATTTTGGGGTTAGCACTATTGCAGCCGTAGTCAGTAGTATAGTTAAGTCTGTGCAGGGTCGTGAAGGGGCTGGAGCCAATCCCAGCTGTCATTGGTGAACCCTGTACGGGTTGCCCGTTAATCACAGGGCTAACAAGTCATACACACGTTCACACCTAAGGGCAAAGAGTCACCAATTAACCTATGCATGTCTTTTGACAGTGGGAGGAAGCAGGAGAACATGAAGAGAACCCACACAGACACAGGGAGAACATGCAAACCCCACAAAGAAAAGCCTAGGCCTCGATCCACAGAACCTCTTGCTGTGAGGTGACAGTGCTGACCACTGCACCACCATGTTAATCTTAATTATTCTCATTTTTAGCGCCACCTACCAGTTATTTTCTGGTACAGTAAAGAAGGACACTTCAAGAGAGGTCACTTAACAAGAGCTTCTTCTGCAGCTGGTGCTTCTATTTGTTGGAGCGCAGTGCGGACGTATACATTTAGGCTCTCAGAGCTTTCCACCGGGCTCGGTGATCTACAGTCTGAACATTTTCCGGTTTCGCCACCCAATTCCGAATGAACTGTCACATATGGTAAATGGGCTGTATTTGTATAGCACCTTTCTAGTCTTTTCGACCACTCAAAGTACTCATTACATCACACTCACCCACCTATGAGCAGAGACCCAACTGCTCATCAGAAACAGAAATTAACTCATTCACACACTGATGGCACAGCCCCCAGGAGCAATTTCGGGTTTCCAACCTTCCTTTAAGGCGATGACCGTTCTACCCTGAGTCAAAGCCGCCCACTTATGCCACTTCAACACTTCCATAATTAAGGTCTATCTGAAAGTCTATCTGGTTTACATGTGCATGTGTTTCGTCCACTTCATAGAAATCTGCAGCTACTCTGTGAGCTGGAGAACTAGCCTACAACAAAACACATGTAGCTGTTTTTTAAGCTGCAATACAGTCATTCTCTGGACACTGCTTAAGTGTTTATTATTAACTTATGAAGTAACTGTTAGCAGCTATGTGTCTTCTTTTTGAAGAGTTTTACATTATTCTAACTTGTGATATTAAAGTTAATATTACATGATAAAATCGGAAAATGTTGAATATTGTAAAACTTATTAAAAAAAAATATTATTAGAAAACATTAAAATTTTGTCAACTTAGTTTTTGTCACATTATTAACACATTTGGAGGGTGGGAAGATGAAAATTATAAACTTTATTTTTGAGTGGCACCCTATTATATGTGTATACAATCTGTGTCTTTCTTTGTGCACAAATCTATTCCAGCTACTGAGGAGCTGAGAAGAACTGGAGGATCATCATTGCAGTTGTTTAATGTAAAATGATTGCTAGATATGTATGTGAAATCATTAAAGGCTGCTCACCCTTTCTGATGTGCCATCATTCACTCGTTTTATCCCCTGGCTGGACAAACCAAGAACTATTTAAACTGAATCAGAAGGAAACCCTGCTCTCAGGTGGTTTCCCCAGCTCATACTAAACATACAACTCTGGTGTGGTTTGCACAACTCCTGAATAATCTATGTCTCTGGTGTGGTCTGCCCATTTTTTGTGCAGTATACAGCTATACTGCATGGATATTATTATTTGGTAGATAAAAAAGCACCTTTAGGCCAACTAATTTAAAGCGCAATTTCCTACCTATTAAATGATAATTGATTGTGGTTGCTTCTATATTTCTAGGGCAATGCTCATATCACCTGCATGCCTGGACCTGTTAGAAGATGGAACTACCCTGTACCACTATGTCTTGGTAGGTGTTCTTCTACAGTAAATTTGTGCGCGCGCGCACACACATAAATATGCACATGCATGTGGTCCAGTCTGGATATACAGGAGATACAGGCCAAACTTCAGTGCTGCAGAAATGATGCAAGCGGTCTCCATTGCCTGCTCCGACTCTGAAAAAGAAGTTGTTTGATCAATTTACTGTTCTGTGATGAGCTGATTAGTTAGTATTCTGTGCAGAATACGATTAAGCTTTTAAACTGATGCAAAGCTCCGTCAGACTCTGCCATAAACATGCAGTGTGTGCCAGAGAATCAGCATGCTCTGAGGTAAACTAGAGGGAACAAGCCCTGGACACATATCTAGTTGCACAATGGTAATTTATTCAAGAAGGGTATTTATTAAAGACTCAGCATATTAATGTTTTATTCAAAATGACGCAAATTGTCAGGTTGAACATACTCAAGTGTAAAGCCAGTAGCAGTGTCTTAAAAAAGGAGAAGACCTGCATGTCTGCAATACTCAGCGAGGTCAGCCTCCTGCTTTTGATGTGTTTCACTGAACCACTATTGCCTATTTTTCACTCGTTCTATGTTATGTGTGTGTGTCTCCAGCCCAGTGTGGTGGGTCTATGACAGATGTAAGTGGAGTGATTCTAAGTCCCGGTTACCCCGGCAACTACCCCAGTGGATTAGACTGCACTTGGACAGTCAACTTACCTGTCGGCTTTGGTAAGAAACACTGTCAACTTTGTGCATTTCGCTCTCTGTGTATCTGTTTTCTCTGTCTGTGTCCGCCTCCCCCTTCATATATATCCATGTTATCTATAGATTTATTCACTCACCACCTCACAATCAGTGTTAGTGGCTTTTATCCATGTGACTGATGAGTGGCTGCAGAAGAAGCATTTACAATTGCTTTTATTGCTGGCCTCTCGTCAGTCAAGCTTTGCTGATTGCTGTAAATGTCATAAGCCATGCATTTTTTCTCAGGTATCCATCTTCAGTTTCTGAACTTCTCCACTGAGGCGATCCATGATTACTTAGAGATCCGCAGTGGAACCCTGGAGACGGGCTCGGTCATTGACCGGTTCAGCGGTCCAGTCATCCCCAAGCCTCTGTTCAGCACCACCCACCAGACCAGCTTCTTCTTCCACAGCGACTATTCACAAAACAAACCAGGGTTCCACATCACATATCAAGGTAAATGTTGTTTCTACAAGTTTCCTCTCCTGCCTTTTTGTGCACACTGATCACTTGCTAAGCAAAGAAAACAAGAGCAGATGCATGACTGTGCTTTTTTTTTCTGAAAACAGCAACTGTTGCCACTGTGGAAACTTGGTTAGTGGATTTATGCAACTGTCTGACTGTGACTTAATCTCTCAGGAGTGACTAACAACAAAATGATCTACATTGAGGGAATGATAAAAATGTGTCTTGGCATCTAAAGCACTTCTAAAGCACTTGCCAAAAAATTACATTTTTGGATACATTTCAGTGATGAGATGAGTTTTGTATTATTCTATCTGACACTAAAAAGGTTCTGAACAGTTTTATATTTATTATGACAAATCTTGTAGAGACTAATTTGTTAAGGCTAATTCCATTAATGTGCAAATTACAGTGGCTGATGAATACCTTTATCTCATCACGGGAGAACTGCCAAAGTGTTTTAAAACAGGACTATTATTGCAGCAGTCATGTTTGTCTCTTCAGTCATGCAAACCTTTGACTCTAGTAACTTTGGCTGTGAAATGTCACTGTGACTAAAACGTTTAAATGGCAGACTGTTTGATTTCATTTGAGACTACTGTGGCAAGTACAAGCTTCTGTGGTGCATGGTACCCTTGTCAAAAAGTTAATAATCTTAATTTATATCTAGACATCTGCACCTGTTATTTTTTTGTCAGTTTCTCTACAGCATTTCATATTTCAGTGTTTCAGTTGCACACTGTATGAAAATGAGTTCTGACAAACAGCTTTTAAGTAGGAGGAGAACAATCATTTAACATAGAGTAGTTAAGGACAGAATTCAGTCCATTTACAGGATGTTTAAAATGGGTTCAACCTCTTGGACTGGCAGCTACAGCTGGTGGTCGCGATCTTAAATTTATTTTGTAGCATTGGCCCGTAAAGACCCGTAAAGTTTAGCCAAAGTATATTGTGATTAATTGTACCATCTTTGTTTGGATTTGACTGATTGTTGACTGCTTAGTTTGATTGATATTGATTTGTTATTTCTACATTTTGATGTTTTCCTACGTGGTTTATCTAGTAGATGTCTTGTACTGACTTACTATTGTTTAACCAGTGGTAGAATGGATGTATGTATCGTCTCTTTCTGTTAATGGCTTGATTTTACTACTGCTCTTGGACCATTTTTATAATCTAGTCATGGATTATTACTATTTTCCTGGACTAATCTGGGTTATTGTCTCTCAAGCCTACCAGCTCCAGAGTTGCCCAGATCCTCGGCCATTTCGAAACGGCATTGTGATTGGCACAGATTTCAGCGTTGGGATGACTGTGTCATTTGAGTGTCTGCCTGGATATTCTCTGATCGGAGAGGCTTCACTCACATGTTTACATGGAATCAGCAGGAACTGGAATCACCCTCTACCACGGTGTGAAGGTAATATAGGCTGTTGCTATAACTATTACTATGTCAGAATGTGTCTATTTGAATAAGCTAGATGTGAAATTGCACAATGCTGTATTGTGAAGTGAATACAAGCCGTGTTAGTCACTTCCTTGCTGATAGTTCTGCTAATGTTGAATAGCTCACTTTTTAAGACAAACAGTATATATGTTTGCTAAGGGGTTTGGAACATGGGGCCATCGTGTACCCAGATCCCAAGAAAATTAAAATATACCTGTGTACTGGTAAACTGTTCTTTCAGTTCAGAGGAGGAGGGTTTTTTTAGATCATGTATTCCCCTGGCCATCCTAAAAACACCCTCACTTGTGAATGCTTTTTAACAGCATTTCAACACGACAATTTCGACATCATCACTGTGGTGAATATTGCTAATGGTGTTTCATATTATCACTTTCCTGACTATGTTAGAGTATTATTCCGTTATTAAACAGTGTAATCAGTTGATTTTGACTGTCGCACCGAGCGTAAAGTGAGAAAAAAGAAACATTTTAAAGCATATGCAACTTGTAACTCAACACAGCAATGTAAACTGAATGACAATGACTATGAAATTAAAATGAAAAGTGTATAAACTAAATTTGGAGGAAATAAGAAAATAACTATTTTATAGCAGTAATAATATATATTTAAATTTTATTCTAACTTTATCCAAGTTACTGCCAAGTAATCTAATACGTTTTTTTATTATTTACTTTAAGGCTAGACTTCGGAGCACTAACACTCATTCAATGACCCATAAGGACCCTTTTTAATTAAAAAAAAAAATAAACTCTTAATATTCAGTTTTATAGCTCTCAGCTGTGATCGTATGACATCACTGAAAAGCAACACCTACACTCCCAAGGAATACCTGTGGTGCAGAACTGAAATAAAACTGTAATGACAATTTATTAAAGGTATTAAGGTGTTATCCAATGGTCATTACATGACTGATAGAGATGTGTCCTCTCTCAAGCTTCGCAATGGTAATACTAATTTGCTGGTAATTTATTAGGGGTAATTCTGTTAATCTTCTGTCTCACAGCTCTCTGTGGTGGCAACATCACATCCTTAAATGGAACCATTTACTCTCCTGGGCACCCCGAGGAATACCCCAACTTCCAGGACTGTGTGTGGAGTGTTAGAGTTCCTCCTGGACACGGGATTTACATCAATTTTACTGTACTCAGCACTGAGCCCATATATGACTACATAACCGTCTGGTAGGTGTTATTTACTTATTTACTTCTTCAGGTCTTAGTTCTAGTTTTTCCACATCTTTAATTCTTATGTGCTACTTCTTACCAATCCTTTCCTTCTTTATCAAGATTTATTTCACCAAAAAAGGGTTTTTATTTGACTGAATAGCCATTTCATTTGTACCACATATTCGGAAAACTTCTGGTACACACACACACACACACACACATACACATACACATACACATACACATACACACACCTTCTCTCTTTCACACAGGATGTCATGCTCCTTAACATCTTTTCAGAGCTAGCCACTAATTGGCTAAATTCCTGCAAGGGTTACTATGACTACAGACATCTCTCCTTGAATATAAAGTGACATAATGTCCTTCTTGTAATGTTTCGCCCGTCTCTTTTTACCCATACGTCTCTCTTTCCTCCCCTCTGTTCCTCACTCCATCTCTGAGTCTCAGTCTGTCTTATAAGTTATAAAATACATCTTTCTCTCCCTACCTGCCCAGCCTTGACTTCTCTCTTCAATATTCTTTTTTAGGAGAGCAGGTGTTTCAATGGTGCTAAGACACCATGTTAGATAGTGTTCTGCAGGTACAAGGTGGCAGTAGAACCATAAATAGACTGTACAATCTATTTCTATGGTTGCCATGTTGCTGCCCCTTCTCTATAGCTAAAGCCTGTTTGCTATAAATAGACAGCAGGGTGCAGCATCAACAGTTTAGAAACGTCACCTGGCATACAGACATGGAGAGGCAGTGCTAGGCAAGGAAAACACAACAGCAGCAGGGTAAGACATGGTGTGCTGCTGATACATTCTCTTGCAAATGGTGTATTTTTAGACCCAACACAGAAGGACCAAATGTCTGTCTGGTACTTTTGTTAGCCTGTCATAATGTTAGCGCTGTCAGACTTCTAGATTTCCAAGTTTGGCTGTTTCCACAGTCCACAGGAAGCCCTGTGATGATTATAACTAAAAACGTTATCTACCCTGTGTATCTTTTTCCAACAAACACCTGGATGACCCATACGTGTCCAACACTGACTATGTAATACTTTGATAGTCTTATTCCTTAGACAAAGACAGGTACACCAAGACACTGAACACTGTAAGGTGACATTATTTTCTAACAGAATTAATGATCGCATCAAGTGACCTGAGGTAAGTTACAATGACTCTGCATCTAACACTATGTGCCACACTCTCCGGTTAGGTCTAACTTGCCTTTGGGAAAACTTTATTTTAAGAGGTTCTAATTCAGCTGAAAATAAAAATGCAAGGGTTCACCACTAATTGTGCCTCTTAATGTCTCAGGAGCCATTTTTCACAACTGTCTGATTGTTTATTTTCTGTCAAATAAGTAGTTTTTTTTTTTATATTTAAGGTGAAGCAATCAACCAGTAATGCAACAGATGCAACTAATTAGATCATTTAACTCTCTATTACTCTATTGTTTTCTTTGATTTTTTTTTTGATTAATCAATTAGACATGACCAGAAATTTATCTTTACACATTGCAAATTACTAGTTTATTTTAACATAGCTACTAGGTCAGGAATGATCCTTCAGCCTCAATTGATTTATCATTTAGTCTGTCAGAAAATAGTAAGAAATATTAACAAAAACCCGACATGACATCTTTAGATTACTTGTGTTAACAAGATTGCTGGGTATCTACAAACATTTTGCATATCTTTAGCTGCAAATAACAGCTTTTTACTGGATATAAATACTATCAAGTTCAACAGTTTGTTTCTTCAACCATTGGAGTGTGGGTTGTTTAGTGTGTAGATCTTGTTGTGCATAGATGTAGCACATAATTGCAATATGCATCCTGTCTTTCCAACACCAAACACCACAACACTGTTGAGTCATGTGCCGTCCACCCACAGCCGATTCGGCGGACGCCATGAATTGGTCACACAGCATGTTTCTGACCCTGCTGTCAGTTATACGGAAAAGTGAACAAACTGCTGAACTCACGCAAAGCAAAGAAAATAACCACACACAAACACACTCAAATCTCACAGTCTCAGCCACACAGCCACAAAGTTGGTTTCCTGTAGAGAGCACAGTGTCAGTGGCAAAGGTGTGATTTTCACAGCGGTCTCCACAGTCCAGCGCCAGCCAACCTGACAGTCAGTTAGTCTGCTAATTGGTCTCATACTGGGAGGCGTACTACAGGATTTCACAGTAAGAATCATCATATATGTCACAGATGTTACCCCGTGTTGTGCTACCCCATACACTAAAGCCTCCTCTTTACTGTACATGTTGCCATAATGCACTCACAAATGAGTGTTTGCATCAGCAACTCAGGAGTGGAAAGCAATGAATGAAACTACTCTGATGACTCTGAACCACTCAGCATGAATCAATCAAAGAAGGGTATCATTCCTTACATAACATGACAGGTATAATTGGCCTCATCCAAAAACACTTAACAGCAGGAAATAATAATTTCATTGCACTTGATGATGATACTTTTTAATCACTGGTAATGAGACCGCTATTGGTTAGTTTCAGTCTGACAGCTGGTGGGTCGGGCATTAAAGATGAAATATGATCATGACATTGCACAGCGAGCCTGACCTGCCAGTTGAGAGATAACTTCCTGTCTGCCTTCTGTGGTAATTGTGTAACTTTTCATGAATGCCAGGCTGATATTAGTGGCATAAAAAGCGTAAAGCAAACTCTACAACAGGATTCACATTTGTTATTCTTACACTCTGACGACAGTTCAATCAATATTGATAAACTCGAGCATCCCTAAGCAAGAACAAGAGAGCCAGGGCTTTAAACTGTGTTGTTATCAAAAGACAAAAAGGAGCTGCTCTTTCATAAGTGACTTGGAATCTGAGTCTGAATGTTTTATATCTAAATGAGCCTTGTGACATTGTAGTTTGGGTTGTTTTAAGAACGAAGATGAGCACACATCCATGCACAATCACTATGGGTGCTGGCGCTTTGTCACACAATGTCCGACCCCATTTGCAGTCAATTGAGCAGCTCCAGGTTTTGTCTCATAAATATCATCAAGTCTCACCAATCTTTCATTTCTAGCCTCAGGAAACCATTTCCTGATCACAAATGGCTATTTAACTGTCAGAGATGACTGCAATAACTTATTCAAATTATGTTTTGGGTTGCCTTTTCTCTCCCATTGTTCTATAAAGAAAGATCCAATTTTTTATGGGCCTTTAGTCTCTAAGTACCCCTTTTAACACAAGCTTTCTGTATGTGTGTGTGTGTGTGTGTGTGTTTCTCTCCTTGTTTGTTCGTAGGGATGGTCCAGATCAATCATCTCCTCAGATTGGTCAGTTTAGCGGGAACACAGCTTTGGAGTCTGTCTACTCGACCTCCAACATCATCCTCATCAAATTCCACTCTGACTTCTCTGGAGCCGGCTTTTTTGTCTTAAGCTACCATGGTAAGACAGTAACAACATTATCAAATTTGTCACAGAGGTGGTGAGCATATAAATGTACAGAATATACAGAAACTGGAAACATCATTTGATTGTGTTTGTTCAGGTAAAAATGTTATCCTCATTAACTGTATTCTCTGCAGGCTTTGTTGCCCTGTGTGGTAGTGTTAAAACTATAATGCTGTCATTAGTTGTAGCTGCAGTGATGGCATCGATCTGTTTGCTGTTAGACTCTCTTCAACTTCATCCTTATTATGTTCCACTCAGACCTGCTTCCTTTGACTCATGAAGTTTGGTCTCCTGCAGGAACTTTTTACTTTCTGACTGAAGCCGCACAGCCTACCACAGTAATAATGTATTAGCCACAGTGGTGCTATTGATAGTTGTTGTATTATGAATTGAATTGCTATTCTCTGCAGAAAGGTCCTCTTTAGCGTTATTGACCACTTTGGTGTTTGGTCAACATTTCAAAGCTTTTATCAATCTGATTTCATCTTTGAGTGTACTGAGGCCTTTTTGAATGCCACTACTCCTGCTACGTCAATTTCCAGATACTTAAAATGATGGCAGGTTGTTTTACAAATGAGTCGTGCAATACTTAAGCAAATGTTTTGATGTGTGAGTCACTTTTGAGAGGTATTAAAACCCTTTTTTTCTCCAGTTGGTTTCTTGTCCAAGTGTGTTAATAAAATACTGCAGTGAATCCGTGTGATCCTCAGTGATCAATGATGTCAAGTAAACATATTAGCAATGCTGTATGAGATATAAGTGTTGCTATTGTTGCAGGGAAGAGTAGCTTTGCACAGAGTTGGTTATCTTGTAACCTAACCTCTGAGTGAACATCAATTTTGTCACATCATTGTTTACTTCCGGTTATAATTTCCTTTGTTCTAAAGAATCATATTTAATGGAAATAGCTTTAACTTTCAACCACACAAGAAAATCACAACACAATCTAAAGAAACTATTTTTTAGATTTAGATTTTCTAATTACTTTTAAATTAGTTTTGTTTTAATTGGTACTGTAGTCATGCAACTAATTTATCATAAATAAAAGGAAAAAGTAAACCGGCAGGTTAAGATTTCCATGAAACGATGTCCTCAGTGAAGGTGTGTAAATTACTAAGTCTTTCTTTGTACGATAGCTTCCCATAGAAATGTTGTTATTTTATGTTGCCGTCTTACACACATACACAGTCACCTTCCCTCCACAGAGTTGTGGAAATTGTATTTTTAGCTGGTCCTGAGCTGCTCTTTCTCCGTGTCAAAACTGTCTATGCCATTCAGTTTTTCATTTCATTTCAATCTTTTTGCTGTGGTCCTTCGCTGCACTTAGATTCCCTTTTTGTTTTCAAACTCTGTTTAAGAGGAAAATATCCCCATTCATCTTTTTTTTTTCTTGTTTCGCCTGTCTGCCTGCAAACATCAATCTTTAGACGCTTTTGCTTCTGTCTTTTTTTTTTGTCTGCATCCATCTACTGTCAGTGTCAAAACATTTAACTCCAATTATCAAGTTTGCACTGCATTCTTTGACTTGAAGATGTGAAGAATTGTGAAGAATCCCTTATGTGCTGACCATTAAAAGGGATAATGTGTTGTCTTTCATTGAAGAAAGCTTGAAATGGTATTCTCTTACCTTTTTGGAAAAGCAGGAACGTCTGCATATATGTAGTATAGTAACTTGCATACATTTAAGAAACTCTCATAATGTTTGGAAGCAGTCTAGTATGTAATCTCTAATGTCTATGAATATGACATTGTCTAACATTTAGATATAGATATACTATAGTGTCACATTATTACATTGAAAGTATACATTTTCATTAGTATGTGTATAGTCCAGTGTTTATGGTAGGTACCTCACATGTCATTACATAAACATAGCCAGATTTTGTATGCTTAAAGTCATTACAATGTCATGGGCAAATCATTAAAAGTTAATACCATAATTTATTTTGAAGTAAAAGATACCAGGGTTTCTAAAAGTTAAGAAAATGGTTTCGGATGAACCTCGTGTACTCTTGAGAGCCGTCATAATGCTTTGTCATCAAACCAAAAATACTTTTTTTTTTCTGAAAACCTTTTTATTTTTGCAATGCAGTGTTTTCACCAGACAGTAAAGAAATGCTTCTTATATTCCACATCCTCGTCAGAATTGTTAAGTTCTGAAAAGTTGTGGTTTTTTTTGGATTGTTGGAAGTTTTAATTTGACAGAATGGCTTCTAATGAGTCTAACTTTATGTACTTTTTTTACCCTTCGCAACACAGTTTGTCATTCCTTGCCTGAATCTCCCATCCCACACACACACACACACACACACATCCATGTGAATATGCATGTACCACTGTATCTTCCACCATCTCCCTCATGGAGCTTGTATTTGCTTCTCCTCAAAAGTTTCTGTTCATTGCTCTTTAGTGAAAACATGTCAAATAGTTTTGTTTAGTTTTTTTTGTTTTATTTTAGCAGGCTTTCCTTATGCAGACAGATGTCACGTTGTTAATGAATTTCTCGTGGCAGGTTTTAACTGTCAGCTGTCACGCTCACACAGGAACAGTTCCATCTGATGGATTCGAGTTTATTTTCAATTTCTGCGTTATTGGAGGATGTGCAGCAGGGAGTGACAGGGGAAGATGGATAAGAGGGAGCGGGGTGACATGTATGGCAGTGGTTATTAGCATTATTTTGTCACTTCTGTATTATTAGACAATAAAACAAGAAAGTCTGGCAAGAGTGAAAGGTAGGTAACCACAATGTGAGCGGGTAGGACACTCTATTTCAGTGTGTGTGGAGTGTAAAGATGACTTAAATTATTAGTTAATAAATGCAGAATTTGTATTTTGTCAGCAGGAAATTGTCAAAATAAGGGACAACGTTCCTAAATTTCTTCTTCAGTGTACTTCATTGACACCGCTGATATTCAGAATGTCACAGTTTGCATCTGAGACAGCTGCTAAAGTGCAATTTTAAATTTGAAATGCCAAATAAACCCCAAAGGAAGCATCAATCCGATGTTTGGGGATGTTTATCTATGTCATTGTCTATTTGTTTATGCATGTGGGTCAAGGTTCTGAATGCAAGTGCTTCATTACGGAGACAAGGACTATACAGTGGTGGATAATGTTGTCATGGACGTGAGACTGAGAAAACTAATGTGACATGAATGTGGAAGTAGCTATAAAAAAAGGTCTTGGAGCTTAGTGAGATCAATGACTTCTCACAGTGAACCTCTCCCCTCACGCACAGGCGCATAGACGTAGCTGCACACACACATACACATGCACACACACAAACATGCACACACATACTGGCACACACGCCTAGACCACAGAGCTTTGATATGCATGAGCGCAGGAGATACTATTGGCAGGTCTCATTTTCATGTCAATTTCATCCTGACTTATAGCCCTCAGCCCTTCCTACCTCTCCCTCTCTCTGTCTGCGTCTGTCTGTCTGTCTGTATTCAATCTCTCTCTCTCTCTCTCTCTCTCTGTTAGTGAGTGATCTATGGTCATGCGGTAATATTGATTACAGCCTTCAGCTCAGTAGCTGTGAAGTCGGTTCCTTTTTTATGATTCAAGGCAGTGCTGTATCTGTGTAGCCGGCCTGTTTTTGATTCCATGCTTTGTTGACCTGACCATCTGAACTTAAAAAAGTGAAGTCAAACTGAAACAACAAAGATTAAATAAAACAGAATAAACCAGAGAAACCAGGTTGTGTCACTGTTTGGTTTTCTAAAGATTTCTCGCTGCAACTCTCGGGGCAATTGTTACAGGCACAGACAACTGGATGCTTACACATTAGTGCACGTAGACCAGCAAGTTCCATTTAAAACATTTAGAACTGACTATATGCGACTTAAATATGTGTAATACATGACTTTGGAAGCATTGGAAAGAAAGATTTTCCCCTGTCTTGACCAACCCAGTTTAGGTTTACTGACCACATTTCCTCTCACACATTGTTATCTAAGGTCCCTCTGTTTGTCCTCTCTCTTCACTCTGCTGTGTCTGTTCTTCTAGCCTACCAATTAAGGGTTTGCCAGCCTCCTCCAGAAGTGCCCAATGCTGTCATGCTGATGGAGGATGGCGAGTTGGAGATAGGTGAGTTGCCTGCCTGCATGCACTGCCTCTAGATATGTCAATTTGATGGAAGGAAGGACTTGAGTCTTGTGTAACTTCCCAGTACCTAACATGGGAACCAATATCATCTTCTCCATATTTTTTTTTGATACTCATTTAGTGTACACAGTGAATACGGACATGCAACACTCAATGTAAATTCACTTGGTTTTGTCAGTGCAGATAATGATACAGTGTACATAGTGGTGGAGGAAGTATGTGGAGGAAGTATTTAGATCTTAACCTTAACTTAAATAGATAATAAAAATAGCCACACAATACTACACAACACAAATACTCCACAAATCCTGCACTGAAAATGTTACTCTAGTAAAAGTACACAAGAATCATTATACATGTACTTAAACTATCAGAAATAAAAGTAAATGATCTCTCTGAGTGCTTTATGATTATATATTAGATTATTAGGTTATTATTGCTGATCCATTAATGTCTAAGTGTGATTTTATTGTTAGAGATGGGCAAGGTGAAACTGATTTTAACAAGTTTATTCACCGCTGGGTTGTCTTTATTTGTTTTTCCTGTGTATTGTTTTTAATTGCAAAGTATATTGGGAACATGCTGCATGGTGATTCTGCACTTCAAATAAAATTTAATGATAAGATGATCATATTTTTTCTATGTAAAATCTTAATTTGTAAAGTGACTAGAGTAGTTGTCAAATGAATGTAGTGGAGTAAAAAGTACAACATTTTTGTCTGAAGTGGAGTGGAAGTATAAGGTGATCCAAGTTAAGTTCAAAAACCTCAATTTAGTGCTGAATTTTCATTTCACCACTGCCTGTATACTATATCCATATATACTATATATATCAACATTGCTTTCTAACCACTGATTTTGTGACATGATCACCAGGTGACATCATCAGGTACAGATGCCATCCTGGATTCTCATTGGTTGGCAGTGAAATTCTAACATGTCGCCTAGGAGAAAGACTACAGATGGATGCACCGCCTCCAACATGCCAAGGTGTGTGTATGTGTATGTCACTACAATAGCAATAGTTTTAATGAATATTTCAAATAGTTGATATTGACAACACCGAAAATAACAAAAATAGTGCGTACCCGTTTAACAAAAGCATTTCCCTCTCTTCATTCTTCTGTCCATAGTCCAATGTCCTGCCCACGATGTGCGATATGACTCATCAGGCGTCATCCTGAGCCCTGGTTGGCCCGAAAGCTACCCTAACCTCCAAATGTGTTCGTGGAGCGTAACTGTAGAGAAAGGATACAACGTCACCATTACTTTTGAAAGTTTCCACACTGAGAGAGAGTTTGACGTGTTGGAGATTTTTGATGGTAAAAAACATGCTCAAAAGCAGACGCTGACATGCAGAATTCAGCTAGAGAAGTTCAGTATTTGTTAGAACACACACACACACACAGGGACACACTCTTGTATCGAAGGTTTAAAAGTGTTAAGAAACTGGACATATAATATACTCTATACTCTATACACAGAACAAAATAACAAATGCAAATTGTTTTATCTCAATCATTGTCTTTGTCTCTCTTTCTTTCTCTCTTCCTGCTTTTCCTCTGTCTCTGTCTTGATCTCCCTCAGGTCCAACAGCCAACAGTCCCACTCTGGCGACGCTGAGCGGTGACCTGCCAACACCCTTTAACCTCACAACCTCTGGTCACCAGTTCCTGGTCCGCTGGTCTTCAGACCACGGCACAAACAAGAAAGGCTTCAAAATTCGCTATGTTGGTGAGTACCAAAGTATGTATCCCAACTTTATTTTACTACTACTTTATATCATCATAATGCATGTTAATAAGGAGGTTGACAGAGACAGACAGAAAGAAAACTGCTTTGGCAACGTTGTTTAAATGAAACATTCATTCCAATAAAGCACACTAAACTGAACTGAGCTGAAAGACAAAACACATTCTGAGTGAAAACGCTAGGAGGAGTTGTTCAACCTCAATGTTGTGTCACCATATAGACAATAATTTGTGCAGAAATTGTGAAGGTTTTTCAATTCGTAATTTTGTGTGGAGAAAGTCCATTTAAAAAAAAGATTATCAGTACCTTTATGTCACCCATTTTTTTGTTTCTTAATCTTTAGCTTACGTTTTACTACCTCACTTCTGTCTGTCTCCTGAAGCAGTTTACTAAATTGCATTATGGGTTAGTTCTTAACTTTTATCATACAAGGAAAGCTTGATGAGCACAGATGCTGTTTTACAGCAGTCTTTGCATTTAGGCAGTCTTGCACCTGGGCCTGCTAAGTATAACTTTAGGCTGACAGGCATTAAGCACCTTCACTTGGGTAATGAGGCTTGAGGGCTTCATTCAAGGGCTTTTTTGACAATAAAGGGAGAGGAGACAGTATTTCCTGTTTAGGTTGCTTTTCCACTATACACCATCTCGTCAGGAGGCTGTAGCTTTAACCTTCAAAATACCACTGTTCTGTATGATGAATTATATGCTGAATAAGAACAGAAAAGCCTCCCAGAACTCTCACACTGAGAAACCTCCTTTGGTAATGTAGCTGTGATTAATGTGGGCAAGGATTGTTAAATATATGTTGTAAGCGTACTAATATCATGGGTCAACTTCGTAAATGTTTGTGAAATTTTTTTCACTTCACTACAATTTGTCCGGTATTTTGCAACAAGACAAACAAAAATTCTAAGTTTTTAATTACAAAGAGACAATTCTAACATTATGATGAAAGTTTCCTCATTATTAAGACATACCAACTTAATTTGTTTTAAGAGTAAACTTTGTTATTTAATTATAAAAAATGCCCTTGTATGATTGAAATCAGCATTCTAATACTATAAGTTTTAAAATATACTATACTGAGCCTGGATTGGATCTGATGAGAGCCAGCTGGCTGCTTTGCCTGCTGGTTTGTTGAAGCCAGCATGTAGGGCACTGATTCAAAACCTTTAGTGCTTTTTAAAAAAGCTCTGTTATAGAGCTTTAACTATATAAAACAATTTTTTTTTTTCCAACGCAAGGAAAACACAGTAAAAAGGAACAATGCTCACTCACTAACTCTTGAGTGGTGCTTGGTGATTTTGGCTCAAAAAGCCACCTCACAGATGATACTGCACCAGTGGCAGACTAGAAGGACATATAAAACAGACGAGAGTTACAGGCCAGGCAACTTGCCCAAGTCAACATCTAACTGGACACAAGCCTGGGTAATCTTTGCATGCTATGACTGAGGAACATAATGAAACTGCTACTGGTAATTTATCATATGAAATACTGACATCAGTGTATAACAACCCATATCTGCTGCCATATTCAGGATGCCCATAATCTATAAACTTAGACAGTGCTTAACTTAATGGCAGTGTGTCCGGTGATGTCTGACATCTGCTGTCACTCTGCGCATTGATTGTACAATATGAAAGCTCTGCCGAGAGAGACTTATTATTTATTTTATTTAGCATTCATGCAGCTTGTCGGATAGAGTGCAACTGACTCAAACACTTGCTTTTTTAAGACGTGCTGGAAAGGTATAATCAATTATGAATGTGGTCATTAATATTTCTGAACTTTTTGTTTAGTTTAGTCTAACAAGTGTTTTTAGATGTTGTACTTGGATTGATCCTACTCCATCTCATGCCTCTAATAGCGCTGTTTAAAATACACAATCAAAGCCATAATTGTGGTCAGTGAAAATGATCATTTACTGATAAAAAATTATACATTTGCCATTAGTCCATTTTGTCTGGGCCTCCTATTATGTCATGAAAATAGTAGTGACTTATATTAATGAATGTTTTAGGAAACTATCACAATCTGCAATTCCATGACACCAGACTGCAAGTCAGTAACACTAAATCCTTGTAAGTAAGACATTAATTACAATACAGTTAATGGTTATAATAGTTTACACCTGCATGCAGACATAAATTCAGTCTCAGCAGTGATGACTGAGGCACAAACATCTGTTTTGTATTGTAGTAAAAATACTAAAGTTATGGTATCACTGATTACTGTTGCCATCTGCCTTGATCTTTACTGTTAATTAGGTTTGTTTTTCTGCCTTGTTGCTGTTTTAGTGGCAGTGAACCATAGTACCGCACTATGTGAAGTCACATCAAATCTTTTAATTCTGTTTCCTCAACTCCAGCCCTGTACTGCTCAACCCCAGACTCTCCGCTCCACGGCTCCATCTCCTCTCAAAGCGGCGGCCATGTTAACAGCGTGGTACGCTGGGCCTGCGACCGGGGTTACCGTCTCATAGGCAACGCCACAGCAACCTGCCGCCGCTCATCACTCGGCTACCACGCGTGGGACTCTCCTGTACCTGCGTGTCAAGGTGTGTTTGTTTGTCTGTGTATGGAATGTGTGTATACTTAAAGCTAAACTGAAATATTTTGACGTTCATTAGAATAAAAATATTAGCATAGTTTTATTAGCTACAACTCATGTAAGCTAGCTTTGTTATTGATGCAGATTCCCAGTGTTGAAACATAAGTCCTTGCACCTAAGACATTGATTAAAGAAGATCTCTCAGATTAGCTAGCGGTGACAGTGACTTGTCCTTCCCTCTGTGTCCTGGTCCTAAGGCTGAGGTGCAAGATTAAGGTTGTGATGCTGGAATATTGCAGCTCCTTTATTCTGCCATGTTACCAATACCATTTAAATTGAATGCTTATTGACCTGATGGCCAATAAATTTAAGTTTATTTCTAACTTAATTTGTAGCTAATGTACCTAATACTGTTAAAACAGTAAAACTGACAGATTAGATGTAGGTTATGCTAGAAAACTTTTTTTTTCGTTTTAAGCACAATTTATTCTTTTTTCTCTAGAGTAGATATATTCTACATTCAAGTGAGTAAAATGCATGATGCATTGTTCATATAAAGGGGGTTACAATATGTGAATGTCACATGTAATTGGTACCCATTTGCATAGAGAAAATTGAACTTCTGGTTAGTTAAAAAAACAACTATTATTTTCACCTAACTGTTAGTGGCTTTTCTTTCTCTCTCTCTCTCTCTTTCTTTATGTGTATATTCAGAATATACTATAATGTGGCCCACAAAGACCTAATGATATTTTAATATTCTACCTGCTATTTTCTAATCCCCATAGATCAAATAACCATAGGAAGGCACAGCTCGTAGCTGGTATTGATAGAAAGTCAAATGAAGGATGTATAGCAGATTGTCGACACTGTGTAATTACACGGTGCGGTGCTCTACAAACCAGTCTATTTAAAACCACAGTGGACTGTGGAGCAGCATGTTCAACAAGATGGATGCATTTTGTTAGAACTAACTGGAATTGGATATCAAGCATCTCTTGATTGTATATTTTTAGTTTGATAGCTTCATTGTAGAAAATATTTGGGCTTGTTTACAAATATACAAAACACTCAGTGGCTTTGAATCCCCCAGAAACATTTTAAACAAAGTGCGCATCAAGCTTCCCTACTTGACAGACCTAAGTACGCATTAGGGTTTCTGTGTCTTCTTAACCAGTGTGTATTTGTCCTCCCCTAGCTGTCTCATGTGGGGCACCCAAGGCTCCTATAAATGGCGGCGTTTTAACAGCTGACTACTCTGTTGGAACAAGAGTTTCCTATTTTTGTAACGATGGGTACAGACTGTCCAGTAAAGAGCTGACGTCAGCCATCTGTCAGCCTGATGGAACATGGAGCAACCACAATAAGATACCACGATGTTCTGGTTAGTAACACATAGATATCAATGGAATACCAACAATATAAATACCAAATCTCATAGAGTTACTAATTTGGACATAATTAATAGTAAAGGCACAAATGCAAACACTGTCACTACAGTGGGGATTTCATTGCATCAGTTACAAAAAACAAATCATAAAATGAAAAAAGGATATACTCGTTTGTAAGCAACATATAATTACAGCTATGAGTGGCAGCCATGTTTGGCTAGGACATTGTTATTTAAATTGAGTCATTATTATGCATCTGTGAGATATTTTACCAGGGTTTGGCCCCACTCTCATCTGGCTAATTACTATCTGATACAAGTGGCAATTGTGTTTTTAAATTTTTTTTAAATGTAAGCAAATTTCATGAGGCTTTATTTTATCTTTACACTCTTTCTATCTTTGTAGTGGTGGTATGTCCCAGCATTGGGTCGTTTTCTTTAGAACACGGCCGCTGGAGGATTGTCAACGGCTCGCACTATGAATACAGAACTCGCATTGTGTTCACCTGTGATCCAGGATACTACAGATTAGGCCCTGCCCACATTCAGTGCTTACCCAATGGTGTGTGGAGCTGGAGAAATGATAGGCCGCACTGCCAGGGTGAGTAACAAAGACATATGATGACTACGGCAACCAGAAGACAATATCAGCAATGAGCTAGCCATTAATCACATATATACTGTATATAGAATATATAGGCATTGGGAGAGTAAGTATTTACTTTGCCAAATTTGCCATTACCAGTAGATAATAATGGGAATCATTTACTCTTTCATATGTTTAATAAAAATTAGGGGTTATTTGGGGTCTGAGCAGTAACTTGTCCCACCAAGAAATGGCACATAACCCCCTGTATAACGGCAAATCGTTGCTTTTACACTTCACTCTCTGCACGGATTAAACAAATCGAATACAACAGAATAATTAGTGACCTTTAGAGGTGCTAGCAGGCAGATTTTGTTGTTATCTTTCGACAGTATCTGGCTAAGTGTTTCCCCTTGTTTCCAGTCATTGTGCTAAGCTAAGCTAACTGGCTTGACTGTATCATATTTAATGGTTAAATGTGAGATTGGAATGAATTTTCTAATCCAACCCTTAGACAGAAATGTCAAATTAAGCATTTGAATTCAAACCAAGAGACCTCAGCATATTTTATGTACTTCTTAATTACGTCTGCCAGTTTATGAGCCATGACAACAAAAATTACTGACATCAGGCAGCACTTTGGTATTTATAGTATGAACAGTTGTGAGTATGGAGCAGGGGGTAACACAACTAAAAGTGCCTTTTTTTAGCAGAAAAAAAATTGCTTTAAAAGCTTCTCATTTCAAACGTGCTGTTTGCTAAGTATAGGTGTATTATGTGTTTTTTTTTAATTTAATTTCTAGTCATACATGTAATGATGACTGAGTTACTGTACAAAGAAAACATTTTGTTCTTCAAATCCATGCTCTTCCCTGAAAGACCCTTTTTATTTTTGTAATTTCTTATTTTTCTTTGGGGATTCCATGACATTTTGAATCGATGTTTTTTTTTTTCTTTAAAAAATGCTGTGACATTTGAAAATGTACTGTGATTTTCTTCACCAGTCATTTCCTAGAAATGAAAGGAAAAAAAAACTATTGGTACCAAATTTATGGGACAGCTCACCGGCATTGGTAGCATTCCTCACTGAAAGCAATTAACTCTACCAGCTACTCAAATTTTCTGCTTTTAAATTGCTTGTCTTCCTCTATGTTTCAGTTATATCCTGCGGTGAGCTGCCATCTCCACCCAATGGGAAGAAGATTGGTACTCAGACGTCATTTGGTGCTACAGCCATCTTCACCTGCGAGCCCGGCTTCATGCTGGTGGGGTCAGCTGTCAGAGAGTGCCTGTCATCTGGGCTTTGGAGTGGAACGGAAACACGATGTTTAGGTATATACCTACTAGAACCACTAATGTATTCAAACATGCAGTATATATTACAGTGTATCTAGAAACTGTCATTTTCTGACTTAAATTTAAGGCTTAGGACACACACACATATACACTCACTGAAACATCGATAATTGGAAGGGGAGTTTGAAGGATGTGATTTTTCAAGTCAATCTAATGAGGACAGGTACCAAAGGTACGCACTGTATGTGCCCTCCATCTCTCATCTGGCTGCCCAGCTGCTTCCACCTGACCTCGTCCACCTCACAAGCAGGACTATCATGAGCAAGCTTCTGCTGATCCTTCGGTTTGAATGGTCTTTTTTTTGTTGTTGTTTGTATATAAGGCAGAGAAAATAGCTACTTTCTTCTGTCAGTGTGCCAGCCAGAGGTAACAGATGTTATGACACGGTGCTGTCACTTCTTCATGAAGCCTCAGTAGAAACAGCGCTTCCCAGAATACTTCACAGACTGAGGGGGATATGAGATGCAATTTATAAAGGAAAAGTTCAATGAAACTTAACCTAGACTGATGAGGAGGCATCATTCTGTCAAAAAATAAATAAATTGAGCCCTAAAAAAGTGCTATAAACAGCATTTTTGTTCAGTAACTTTTCTTATTATCCTTCAAACTGGAACTCACTTTACTGTACTTGTTTTGCTTATTTAAAATGATCTGGTTGTAAAATGACCATTTCACAGTCGATCATAAAACAAATCAGTAAAGACATTTAAAAATATTTGTATTAATATTATATTTCCCACTGCCTGCATACAAGTTGAAGCACACTTGAAACTGTGTGGTAACTTTCTGAAAACAAGTTGAATTTTGTGTAAGTTCAAACTCATGTCCTTTCTTCAGCACACAACTTTCTGCAACACATTCAAGATAGCAAAGTGTGACTCACTTGAGTTATGCCCTTTAACGCCAGTAATCAACACCTCAAAGACAATGTGAAAAGACAACGGTGATGTAAGGCAACCTTTTCTCTTCCCATTCTCCCCCACTTCCCTGGCTGTCTTTGAAATTGTTAGCATTTACTGACATCAGGGACACAGTGCAGCTTTTATCTTCCGTAAAGAATTAAATAAATGCTCAATCCAAACTCTATGAGAACAGAAAATACACATGTCCTCTACTTTGTGAAATGCTTTGTAAAACATCATGCATTAGCACTGTGCATTAAATTGACCACTGGGATTGAATCTGATCAGTAAAGAGGCCCACAAATCCTGTTTAGTTTTTTGTCACCAGTTAAAATATGATTCTTTCAAAGAACAGTGGCATATTCATATTAAATTAGATCCTTTGAAGTTAATGCAAAGAACAGCGACACAGCTGTGAAACTGTAATAGGGGGTAACTGACCATCCGAGCCTTAACCGTAAAATGACAGGCGATCCAATTTATGACAGAGTTACTGATATTTTGTGAAGATAGAGTGCTTGTGGTGCTCCCACTTTGATGTTTCATCGGATGTGTTTGCTCAGTCACAGGTCTCATACACAGGATAAAACAGGTTCCAAGCTGCAATTCCCATGCTTTCCAACATTTTAATGTCCCACAAAATATCTGTTTAAAATTCCCAGGCCTGATTAAAATATAACTGGTTTGCTGATTGTATGTATGCACGAAGATGTTTGCAAAAAGTCAGCACAACAACAATAGAATATTTAAAGCAACATTTCGGAGACAAGCTCTTGGACAGTGTTACCCATAGTCTGAGTCCTCTGTGTCTCTGCCTGTGTCTTTCAGCTGGTCACTGTGGGATCCCAGAAGGCATTGTGAATGGCCAGGTGATAGGGGAGAACTTTGGTTACCGTGATACCGTCGTCTATCAGTGTCTGCCTGGCTTTCGACTAATAGGCTCATCAGTTCGAATATGTCTCCAAGACAACCAGTGGTCTGGACAGCTGCCCGTCTGTATATGTAAGGAAAACACACAAGCGCACATGCACCCCTGATACACCGTAACTAACAAATCATCCCAAACCTTCTTCTACACATATCTGCCTCCTAGACACCTAGTGGTCTGAACAGCTGTCAACAAAATACAAACACTCACATACTGTACACACCCACATACAGACTGCATTAGTCTTTACCAAAACCCTGTGTGACCCGAACCCTGTGTGAACACACACTCAGCTATACTCACTAACTCACACTGACTAGCTTGGAAAACACACCACTTTACATGTCCATGTATGAAAGGTTCATTAAACACACTCAAATGAACAGTGTGTGGGTTAGTGACACAAATTCCAAAATCTTCTATCCCATTAATGATGATGATCACCTGCAATCAAAACTAGTTTTATATGCATTGATACATTTCACTGTTTGTTAGATACCAAATTATTGTCATTTTAAATAGAGGCAATTTGAGTATATGGTTTATTGTCCTCAGCATTTTCATTAGAATTTTGTTTTGTTTTAGAAATTTATTTTCTATATTGTATTTGTGGTGTTTTATTTGTGGGGTTGAAGAATCACTATTAAACATCTTATAAATAACTTTGGAGGCATAGTAATGAAAATGGCCTTATGTCTGACAAATTAAGTCATACAGTATTTGTAAGGTGTTGCAGTGGGATTGGCATTGGAGCCAACAAGTCCTGATTGAGCAAAGTAAATCAGCCAAAGGAGGAAAATGGTCTTGGAAACTTGGTTCGACGTGGTTTTCATTGATAATGACGGAGAAGAGTAGATCAAATAGATGTTTGCCAACTGTCTTAAAATTAGAAATACACTGATGGTCATTGACATCCTTCTTTAGATCAGGACAAGGCGAGTGTAGCCTTGGATATGATGTGATCTAGCACATCATTAAAAAGCCGCCTGAAGTCATATCTTTGTTATGGTTCAGTAAAAATTCAGGGAATGTTAACAGGAAATTACCCTTTGGGGTTTATGCGATTGTGTGAGCATTTGCATATGTATGTGCTGATGCGTTTGTTAGAATTATTTTCTGTCTTCTCAAAACTCAAACTCAAAACGAAAAGACAATGAGAGCAGAAGACTCTGAGCTTTACAATTGAATTTATAACACCAAATGACAATTGAAGGCAGGGTTCCTTGTCATTGCATGCTTACACCATGTGACCAACACTGAGTTGCAGAATAATCTAGTTTTATAAAATGAACAAACAAAGACCTTCATTTTTTGTCTTCCTCTCACTTTTTTTTTTTTAAATAGTACTCCACCAATTTAACATTGCACTGTTAACATTATCGGACTCACGATGAGCAGTTAAAAGAAACATTAAAATGGTTGTCTTTTTTTATTCCACTTGTTCTTCTGTCTTGTCAAAACCTGGCACCTACATTACCCACAATGCAACTTGCGATTTGGATGTGTTATAATAATTATAATAATAATCTCTATTTATAGAGCACTTTTCAAAACAATGTTACACAGTGCTTTCACAACAGCAAAGACAATAAAACACATCAAACTAATAAGATACACGGTAAAAGCAGGAAGAAACTTAAATTACAGAAAAAAGAAAAATAGATTAATTATTAAAATCAACTAAAATCAGGAAAGGCTCTCCTATAAAAGTATGTTTTAAGAGGGGATTTAAAAGAGTTCAGTAACTCGTTTTATTAGTACCAGCCGATGTAGCTGTCTCAAGCAGAGATGAGGAGCAGCTTCAGATACACGGACTTATCCACACCCCCGGGTTTTTTTCATTTTCAAATTTGTAGTCTTCAGGCTGACATTGGTTAAAGTCACATCATTTGAGCTTTATACAACTTTTTTTTCACACAAGTGGTAGTACTACCCAATAACTGAAAACAGACATATTGAGTTGTGCTCGCCACTAGAGGACCTCTTTTTCTGTGAAGTGATAACTATAAACGCCTGATAGGAATACTGACAAAATTGATTTTGTCATTTAAAATAATACAGATATTTAATCAGAAAAAAATTACTAAATATTTTGTAACAGCAGTGTAGCTAACTGTAACATTGTTTATGAACACAGCACCGAGGTCTCCACCAAGGGAGTTTGTCTGGTAGAGCTGATAAACCCCAGTCAAATTTTATCCAAGGGTGGAAAAGTCCAAATTAAAACAGGGCAATACAATCATTTAAGCTAAACCTTTTGTTCAAAAGTGATTCCATACTGAGTAAAGCCTGCTTAAGGTTTGTATTTAGAGAAATATCTCTGTCTTGATGTATTCACCTTTTAGTCCGGAGGTTCTGCAGATTCACGCCAGTGCTCTTATATAAAAGGCCAGAGGACCTAACTGCCAGTATGGTCTGAATGAGATAAATAGCTTTGCTTGAGGATAAAATAGAAAGCTTTGACGTGCCCAGGCTACTGTGAAAATCTTCTAAAATTGGTCACTTGCTGTGAGTGTCCTGAATGTTTTTAGGCAGCAACTGGGCACAGTTAAGGTGGTGATGATGAGTGCCATCTCAAGCCAATTACGCCTTTTCCCAAAAGAGACAGCCAGTTTGTTCACTAGATTAGAACCATGTTTAAATGACGGAGGTGGTGACATACTGTCTGCATTTTCAGAGTAGAAGGGGCATTAAAGTGAGTTTATTTCCTCTATGAAATTTTTTTTGACTATGACCCTTATATCAAAAAGAAAGGTTCTGTGTAGTGACTTTATATCAGATAGTATGTTTTTGTGAATGTACGTGTGTTTGGGGTTTGCATGCATCTGTGTCTATGCGGTTAGGATAATGTGTATCCATCTGTGTATCTGGTGTTTCTGTGCTATGCTGATTTTATTGAGGTTATTCATCGAGTTATTGAGGGAAATCATTTTACAGCCAAATTATACTGTAATTATGGAGATGAGAGGCTCTTGTTTAGAGACACAAACACAGAATGATGATGAGCGTATGTATGAGTGTGTGTGTGTGTGTGTGTCGCTGCAGGGCATGCTGACGGTGTCAGATAAATTTGTATCTTAGGCATGCAAACAAACTTTTGATTCTCACTGATCAAGTGGAAAAAAGGCCATGTCTTCTTCCCTTTCTCTCCTGCCTTCTCTTGTCTTGATCGTCTCACCTCTGCTCTCCTCACCTCACCTCAGTTGTGTTTTTCTTATCTTCACTAGTCTTCTTCTCCTCAAGTACTCTCTTTGGTTTTCTCCCCTTCTACCCACCTAGTCTGTCTTTCTCCTCACCTCTCCTCACCACCTCTCCTCTCCTCTCTAGCAGTAACTGTAAACTGTCTGTTTACACAAACATCAAAACACCAGTGTCAGCTCAATGAGGACAAGTGGCACACACAAACTTCTAAATAACCCCAGTGGTTGAAGTTAACAGGAGGGATAATTATGGTGCACAATGGCACAACAGAGAACACTCAGAGCTAACTCCGTAGATGGCGAGAACTAATATTTCCAAAATCATAACCCTAAATTGAGACAGCTATGTCTTCTCAGTCATATGATAAATATCTATGGATAACTAGGAATGGCATAGCTGTTTGGTCCATATCTGTCCTTCCTGTGTTTTTTCTAGACAGACAACTACATGGCCTCTGATCTTCTTGTCTGCTTTAAATCGTGTCGTTCTGTGGCTTTCATATCAATCAATCAATCAATCTCACTGAATTGGATTTTTGTAATGTAATGATAAAATGAGGGAATGGGTTATGAAAGCCAAAAACAATTACCAAACATAGTTGCATCTAAATCACATGACTGGTCAGCTGTAACTGTGTGGGATGGACTGCTAAAATGCTGTAGCACTGCTGGATAGGACTACAGAAACATTCACCCAGGATGCAGAATAAAGTAAATCATAGCCATGTTGAAAGTAACTGGTCAGTAACATGTCAATTATATATTGCATATTTTGTAAAGGTGTCGCTGTTAAAGAAAGTCCTGTACTGACATGAACCTGGACACCAAATGTGTAGTAAACTGCATCTGAAAATGCCCCATTTACTCTTGATTGAATAGCATTTAATGAAAGTTTCACAGCTGAGGCCATCTGAGGCCCAGCCTCCATGATTTGTTTATACAGCCAGTCTGGCTGCGCATGGATGTTAGTGCATGTGAGTAACTCTGTATGAAACTGTTAATCAGTGAGAAGAGCAAAATAACAGCTGTTTCTTTTCTCATCCAACACGGTGAATAAAGGATTTATTTTGACCAAACCAGATTTGGTGACTATTGAAACAGTGAAAAGACTAACAAAGACAGTGTTTGTGGATTTTATTTTGTTTCTGTCGGGTTTTGAACCTTGCTCAACTTCTCCCTGTCGTGCCGCTGGGAGACTTTTGAGTCTTGAAATGTGGGGGTGGAGCCGGGCTGTAACTTCTTGAGTGTTTGAATCTGTATGTGTGAACAGGAAGTAACACATTGTTGGTCTCTTGGTGTCTCTTCATGGGATCTAATATTGATTAAAATCCTTTAAGCTGTGCCAATATGTTATGAGCGATCTCAAGTAGATTTATAATAAATGTAATGAGAAATCTGTATGCAATTACATGTATCCATGACTCACGCTGTCTTCTTTATAGCGATAAGCTGTGGCCATCCAGGAAGTCCCATATATGGTCGTACGGTGGGAAATGGATTCAACCTCAACGATGTGGTCAGCTTTGTTTGTAATCGGGGTTATGAAATGGAGGGGCCCGCACGCGCTCAGTGTCAGGCCAACCGCCAGTGGAGCCACCCGCCCCCAACGTGTAAAGGTGGGGAGAAAAGTTAAGTGTATTCACCCCTAACCTTATTTCTCCCTAACCTTTAATACCACCTCAACTTTTATCTTGATTTACCCTTACTTTCTTTCCCTTTAGCAACCATCCTTATTCGCCCCCACCCTTTTCATTTCACAACATCTCTGCCACCCTAAACCTAAAACTAATTTTACCTGGACAGGAAAGATACATTTCTTTTTCTAAAAATCACTCTTTTGCCTTGACATTTTGAGGTAGATTTAATCCTCTACATCCCTCTAACTTTCTCCTGGCTCCAGCCTTGTAAAAGGAAACATTTTGTTTTCAGTGACACATTAATCTCGAGCCGTGATGGCTCTCTAACAATCACAGCAACAAGCGTGCACGGGCTATCAGCATTCTGCCCATTTAACAGAATAAAGTGCCAATGAGTTGTGTAAAATTAAAATTGCAATGTAATGAAAACAAGCCCTTAGACTGCATGGGTGCCGGATCCAGGACATACAAACCTGCCTTCATTATAGCATCACATAACATTTGCCATAACTACCCTTTTAAACACCAGCCCTAATCAGTTTTTCCTTCTTCCCCAAAACCTCCTTATTATGCCCCATATTATTTTACAGAGCTGTAATCCCAGTGTTTTTAACTGGGAAAAGCAAGAGGGGGGAGAGAAATGGCCCTCTCTGGTTAATGCCAAATAACACATGCTTTTTTTTATCTCTCTTTTTGTGTATTTGTGTGTGTCCGTCTCTGTGTCTCTCTGTGTATAGTGGTCAATTGCTCTGATCCAGGTATCCCAGCCAACTCTATCCGACAGAGTAAAATAGAGCATGGGAACTTTACCTTTGGCACCGTGGTTTTCTACGACTGTAACCCAGGGTATTACCTTTTTGGCTCACCTGTACTGACCTGTCAACCTACTGGACAGTGGGACAAACCCCTACCAGAATGTATAGGTTAGTTTGATCCTTCTGTTTCTGTCATTTTACCATGACATTGATTGGACACAGATGATGGTAGAATTGACTGTTACTCTTGCGACACCTGTTAGGCTTTCCATTCTCGAAAGGCACATATGTAGTTTGTAGTTTTACGATATTCTTAGTAATTTCCAAAAGACTGGGTCCTTGGTTTCAGACAGAGGAAGCAGGTTTGTCATTTCCAGCTGATGAATTGATTTTGTCGACTGAAATGACAGCTGTATCCTCTGTAGCTAGCTGGCTAATTAAGCTAAGCTAAGTTAATATTGTGAGTTGGCTAAAAACTTTTGGATCCAGATTACTTTAATTTATCCCACTTAAAATGAGAATCCTGTCAAAGGAGTCTTAAATATGTGCATGATGGCTAAATACAAGATATTGAGATAATAGTCAGATAATAGACTGATGATAAAGAAACAGTGCTGTTCCTCTGTTTCACTATGTGCTATGTTGTATTGCAATGTATAGCTAGTAAGTTCTAGTATTATAAATAAGTTAAGGGAAATTTAAGACGAGAAATTTTTACATTTCATGTTTGTCTGGTTAGCTTACATAGTTAGAATGTTTTCACTTTAAATGTTACAAGAAAAAGGCTTTTAGGATGAGGGCTAGCCGATGTGCCATAGTACTCCATCACCAATTCAGAGCTGGCTCCACACAGTGGTGAAATACATAATAATACACAGTGGAAGTGCAAGTCATGAACATTTGATCTGTAACCTCACAAACTAATGTAGGTGGGCTAGTTAGCAGTACATGCCATAATTTTCAGAAATCAGTGTTTCTGCATCTTTCCCTAATCATACACATATGCTTTTGTTTCTGAATCTGTGCCTCTTGTTTTTGACAGCATTCACTGCAACTCTTGCAAAAATGTGTTGAGTTGAAGAGCTGTCTATGCTTTCTCCCCCACCCCACCACCCGGGGTCTCTAGTTGTAGACTGTGGTCATCCTGGCTCTCCCCCTAACGGTGTGCTGAGTGGAGATAAGTTTACATTTGGTTCAACGGCTCGATACTCCTGTCTGGGCGGAAGACAGCTGAAAGGAGAATCATCCCGGACTTGTCAGCTCAATGGGATGTGGAGTGCCCCTATGCCCTTCTGCTCAGGTAACCGTTTTAACCTTTATTGAATATATAGACTTTCCACCCTATCAGGAAGAGAGAGATAGATTGGACTTGTAGATGAACGGCGAGACATCTAAAATATGTGGACTCAACAGAGCAGGTCATGCCTTTATATCCTGCAGGCGCACTTTCTTAACCCTTTTGGATTCAGTCGGAGGGATAATGGGAGGGATGGATTCTATATAAAGAATATATCAGTATCTATCTGTTAAAGGGGCTGTGGAGCATAACCTCCCCCTACACCTACATATACCTCCGCCCTGAACCCTTAACCATGTGCATTTCTGTTCTGGTTATCTTTTTCAACTATTTGTAAACCACTTTTAGGTGTTACTGCAGCAAGTTTGACACTTTCATCTTCTGATTCGCTCTCACACATTTGTTGTTTTAACTCCTTAAGGGGTACTGTGAACTGAAGGGTAAAAATGCAGATGAACAGACGAAGCAATGAAATATTAATAATTAATAATGAAATCAATATTTAACTAGTTAAATTTATGCATATGTGCCCTGTGCATTTTCCTTAGCATTAGCTGTATTGTTTTTTTGTGGTGAGTGGATTTTTAGGCAGTATTGTGTGCTATAGATGCACTACTGTCATTGTTCTGTAAACTGCTTTAAAGAAGCATATTTTCTTCCTGCTGGATTTACTGTATATGCATAACTCACCACTTATTGAGCTAGATTGTCTCTCCAGACAGAAAGCCTCCTTACCTTCCATCATGTATAAACAAATCGTCTAAGTTATATGGTTCTCAGTTGGCTGGCTGTGGGCATGATTATGGCTCTCCACACTGAGAGCCTCCCAGCTGCTGCTTATATAACAAACTGACTGAAAACACATTCCAGACGAGTTGACTAAGAATACATTGTTATTTACAGCAATTGCCCGGGGGAGACGCAGGGTGAGGGAGGGTAATAGTTTAAGAAGCAGTGATTCATTGTGTTTACCTGGCAGGTCTGTACTAGAGCACTGCTGAGATAAGAGTCCAGCCTGTGGTAGAAGTTCTAGGTCCACAATACTGCCCCATGACTGTTGATAAGCAAACTGTGTTTCTAATGGGATGTTGGTTATGTTACCACATTTACATTTCAGGGGGCATAAAATATTTTAACCAAGTAGGTACAGTGTCCAGACCTGAAGCCTCATATTAAATTCCTCTTTTCAAATTTAGACTTTATGTTAGATATTTGTTTGTACTGCCAGACTTGGACTCAAGTCAGACTTCACAAAAATGAGGATTTGACTTCTACTAGTATGCTGTGAGCCTTGACCCGCTTGAGACTTGACTCCCCAAAAACATGAGGTTCAAAAGCAAAAACATAGTAAAAGCACATATCAACTTTTTTCCTGGTAAAATTCAATAAAAAATTCACAAGCATTCCAGTTATTAGGCCTATGCATTTAACAGCGTTGGTTGCAAAAACAAACCATTAAAAAACACTGGCAGCACAGCTTTGAAAGCAAAATGTTCAAATTCTTCATCATTCTGCAGACTTGAACTTATTTCAGTTGAATTGTTCTTGCCTCTAAAATCTTAAAAGAATAGTCCAGCATGTTGGGAAATATGGTCATTTGCTTTCTTGCTGATAGTTAGATAAGAGGATTGATATCACTCTCATGGATGTCCAATAAATGTGAAGCTTTAGATTAGCTCAGCACAAAGACTAGAAACAGTGGCAAAACGCTAACATTGCTCCCTCAAATATAAAGCAAAATTCACCTTCCAGCTTTTGCCGAGCTAGAAAGGTGTGGTATAATGGGAGATTATGTGCTGCAGACCCAAGCTACCTGTGTCCCTCTGCTTCCAGTCTTTATGCTATGCTAAGCTAACTGGCTGTTGGCTGTGGCTTCATATTTGAAGCTAAGTGGTAAGCAAATAAGTGTGTCACACTCATATCAAACTATTCCTTTAATGTTTTGGCACTGCAGGCTAAGTAACAGCTATTTAAAAAACACATTTTAAAAGAAATGACATCATGTTCAGACAGTTTAATTTGTCCTCCCTCCCTTCACTTCTCGACCACCTACAGTAAGTCCCTGTATCAGACAAGTGAGAATGTTGTAGCCGTGTACTTTTTCTTGTCCTGCTTTATGAGAACTTCTGCAAACCTGGGCAAAGGAGCTTCAGCTCAGTAATCCGTGAATTTAGCCAAGCCAGAGTACAGCAGATCTTTCTATCGGATAGATGTTCGTGTGTGTGTGTGTGTGTGCGTGTGTGTAGATAAATGTGTGTGTGACTGATTAGTGGTTATTTCAAAGTCACCTGAGGGAAACAACAGAGATTAGTTTTTACAACGCTCTGTCCCACAGAAACATTCAGGCACACACACACACTTGCACCAGTGACATCAGGTAGATTGGTTGTTCTCCCTGTTGAGACCAGATACACCTGAGGCTGCATGGTGACTTTGGAGCTGTATGTGTGTGTGTGACTGTCCCATGGGAGTTGTGTAGATAATAGTGTAGTGTCTCTGAAGACGAATGTGTGTTTGTGCCTTGACTGGTTTTTGATTTGTTCGCAATATTCAGAAAGAAAAATCTTTTATCTTGTTATAGACCTTTTCCTCACAAATAATGATGACATAATGTAACTTTTTTTTTATTTACATCTGATAAACAAATTCCTGAGGCATTACAAAAGAAGTTATGTCATTCTATGTTGAGTCTGTGGTATGTGAAAGCTCAATTTAGCTGAAAGCCTCTAGATATTTGCAGTGTAATATAAAAGAGTGAATGTGAAATTTGGTTATTTATCAAAAGTATCACAAAAACATCGCAGACACAATTGGGAAATTCTTAAGAGAGTCATTTATCACACAAAGTATTTTGTTACACACCTTGAATCAATGGTGAATAATGGATGTGAATGGTGTGACAAAATTTATAATTACAGTAAAAATGGTATGATGTAATATTCATTCATGTTCTGTATGCTATACAAAACCAACATTAATCAGGTTTTGACAGTAGTTATATGCACACATAAACCAATGCAAATTTTAGACCATTAATAAAACAGGCAATGGTGACCAGAAATATATCCGTAACAAGGTATTCGTCCAGGCAGGTACGTGTTGGTGACCGTGCGTGCGTGCGTGCACCCAGGAATGTTCTCTGTCTGTCAGGCAGAATGTGCTGACCAGGCGGCTCTACAAGGGCAGAGGGAGGATCGCACACACACACACACACACACACACACACACACACACACACACACACACACAGCCACCCATCTACCCACCAGCACACATACATACACTCTTAAGGCAAACATATGTCTGTTATCACCAACATATGGGTGCAGTCCACGACCATTAATAAGCAGCCATTTCATACTTGAGTACCCTGGGAACGTGATTTACATTAAAAATGGAAGAAAATAGTCAACTCACACTTCAGAGTTCACTTTATAATGCTGTCTCAATACCTAATCTATACAAGTGAAAAAGAATATTGTTTAGATAAATTTTTGATTTTTTTCCTCTCCTCCTTCATCTTTTTTCTATTGTGTGTTTAATTAGATAAATTAAAAGCCATTTTAGGGTTTGAAATCCATAAGTCTGTGTAAAAATGCAGCTGGTTTGCAGCAAGGATTCTAGTTTTGAGGTCAGGGACCTAACGCTGTCTCCTTGTTTCTCTCTGTAGGTGACACAGCTGGTTCCTGCGGCGATCCTGGCATTCCCTCACAAGGTTCGAGGGAGCAAACGGATTTCAGGATCCGTTCCAAGGTTCACTTCAGCTGCTCGGAGGGTTATGAGCTGATTGGTTCTTCAGAGAGGATGTGCTTCCCTAATGGGACCTGGTCCGGCACACAGCCCTTCTGTAAACGTAGGAGGAGACTTTGACTTAACCTCAACCTATCAGACCCCAGCACCTTGATACCGACCCAGTTATAGATTCACCCATGCACTGCACAGTCTCCTTAAATAACCATAGTCATGGAGCTGAAACTCACTGAGATGCACGAGGCTTTCTCTCTCTCATTCTCTCATTTTCCCCCAGCTGTCCAGTGTGGTAACCCTGGCACTCCCAGTAATGGCAGAGTTTTTCGTTTGGATGGAACAACATTTTCTCACTCGGTCATCTACTCCTGCATGGATGGCTACTTGCTCACCGGCGCCACCACCAGGCAGTGTCAGGCCAACGGGACCTGGTCAGGGGCGCAGCCCAACTGCACCAGTAAGTTACCTGCTGTATGTTTAGCTACTTTAACAATATCTGATGCTCCATAAGTACAGTACTCTGCAGTACATGTTTTGTTTAAAATTTTGAAAGTGAACTCATACTTAGGGTGACTTGAAGGCTAAAGAGCAGACTGTCAGCTTTATGTATTACATACTACAAATAATCAGAGTATTAAATCCTTGCTTTGCTATGGCATAAAGTCTGCAACCCATAAACATCATCAAACTCCTGATGTGTGATTATAAGGTTTCCTTTCCAGCCTTTTGCGACCTTATTTTATGCACAGTTTTAAATTATTCTGCGACAGTATAGGTCTGAGTAATGAAATCAGCCTCAAATCTCCATGCTCCTGTTACAGACTTTATAGGGTGACATGAATAACCTTGATTGTTGTTTACTTTACTTAATTTGCTTTTTGAACTCTGTGGGAAAGTTCCCAAGAGTAAATAATAATAAAACATAACATTATGTTCCCACATGAAATGTGACTAAAGCCATGGTTGAACAAGTGTTAATCAGTGCTGCATGTTACACAGACTACAAAACCTGCATGTGGCGATAGATACAACAGCTACAGGTATATAGCTAACAACATACCTTGTTAAACACATGAATACATTGTGTCCCAAGGTGAAATTCACTTAACTTGGGACTCTGCATGAAGAGAGATCTAGCAGTATTTTTATGTCCTACAATTTTCAGTGACATTCTTGACTTCAATGCACTTTGCAAAGAAATAAGCTTTGAAATGTCCAGAAGTACGGAACAAAGAGATAGAAATGCTGACAAACCACATTTCTTCAATATGGGGTCCTGGAAGTTTATAAGAATCCCCAGACTTAAAGGAAATAGCTTTTACAGTAGATTACACTACATCTATTAACAGGCATGACAGGTTCTGGGGTGGGTTTAAAAGCATTTAAACTGCCTATTAGACTATGAAGGACAGTGCTTTATAAGTGCAGTCAGGGGAGTCCTAATGCTCCTTAAAAGAGTCCCAGGACAACCTTGGCCATTTTTAATATCACTGTTGTTTGATTCATGAGAAGTTAAGCCCATAACTTAATCTGGAGATATCATATAGTCCGATCACAGATTCGCTTACCCACTGTCATCTCCGCAACTTAAAATTACACTAACGGAGAAGATAAGCACAAGTATTATTAGAGGTGTGACAAGACACTTAGCTCACGAAATGAGATGAGACATGATATTGGGTTCACGAGTATCAAGGCGAGGTGAGATTTTAACACATTTTTTAAAAGAAATCTTCAATGCTGAATTATACCAAAATTTCTGACATCAAACAGTTAATTTCCTGCATTCTGGTGATTTTTTTCTGCATCAATTTATGGTGGAAATGTTAATTTATGTAAAGGCTAACACAAAGTTCAGGTGACGATTCCAAATATTATGGAATATAATGCAGTAAGTCTCTTAGGCATTCTGTGTCGCTTTCAGATATCTTTTCTACTGTAGATCAATTTCTCTCATGTAATATCATTCCTGCTGAAGTTGACGATGGATGGATGGATGGATGGATAAACCCTTTAAGATCTCATCACACATCTAGTTAGTATAGATGAATTTGCAGAGACATGATTCTTGAAACAAAATCTTTTGACAGTTATATACTTACATGAAACTTTTTGGATGTATATTTTTCAGAGGGTTATTTCTATGTATCTAATGTATGTAGGTAATAATGTACTGGAAGCTTGATGTCCTCAATCAGAATCTGAGAAAGCCTTGTCACCAGCCTTGACCTAGGGACAACTAACAAGGTTAGGCTAGAGGATCTCAGGTTATGACTTGGAGCATAAGGTGTCAAAAGCTCCGTAATATAGCTGGTAGCTGGTAGCCAGACCATGCTGGACATTAAAAGTTCTAAAAAATAATCAATCAATTAAAATCAACCCTGAATTTAACTGGCAACTAGTGAACAGGGGCAAGAATAGGGATAATATGGGAACTGTGATTGGTCTTTAAAAAGTTTGAGCAGCAGCAATCTGCACTTGCTGAAACCAAGCCACTGAGAATGGACTAAGGCATGTCAACAGTGCATTGCAGGTCTAATAGTCCAGATCGAAAAGACAAAGGCATGAATAAGACTTTCTACGTGGGGAAAAGAAAAAGCTTTATTATTATTATTATTATTATAATACTATAACAATAATAATAATACATTTTATGTGTATATATGTACTTTACCTTTAAAACAAATCTCAAAGTGCTACAGGTAAGAACATAAAAGCAAGGTAAATGTATCTATGGAAAATGCATTTCCATAGATGCACTGGTGGGTGAGGAGGGAGACCTTGTATTCAATCCTAGCAGGAACGGGAAGCCAGTGAAGCGAATGGACAATGGGTGTGATGTGGTCATACTTTCGCACTCTCATCAGGATCCTTGCGGCACTGTTCTGAACATTCTGCAGTCTCTGCAGACTCTTGTTAATTTTGGTAATATTTCTTAGGTGGAAGTAACAGAATTTAATGAGATTGTTGACACATGGTTCGAAGTTCAATTGAGATTTGAATGTGACACCTAGCTGAAGATTTGTTATTGGTTGCCGGTGGACCAATAAACGGTTGTAATCTGCTTGCTAAGTTATCAGGGCCAAAGATTAGTACTTTAGAGTTTAGCTGCAGAACGTTACAAGTCATCCATTTCTCAGTATCAGTTACACACTCCGTTAAACACAACGTTATCTGGCTTAAAGGTTAGATTTGTGTATTGTCTGTGTAGCAGTGATAGGAGAACCATTAAAATGAGCGATGTGTCTCAATGGAAGTATATAAAAGCAAAACAAAATGGGACCAAGAATAGATCTCTGAGGCACCCCACAGTGGAGTGCAATATTCTTTACCCCCCTTGTCTCACACAGTACCTCTTTCACTACAACTCTTTTTCTCTACAAATATATCTATCCTTATCATTTGAATTAAGCTATCCGAAAGGGCATACAAGCAGGAGTAATTATAGTAGAGTAATGAGTGCATTAAAAGTCCAATTATCTCATGCCTGTAAAGCAATCTTAATCTTGTCCATCTCCATAGTGATAAACTGCGGGGATCCAGGTGTGCCAGCTAACGGCCTTCGCTACGGAGAAGACTTTACGATTGGTCAGAATGTCACCTTCCAGTGCCAACCAGGATACAGAATGGAGGAGGATGGATCATCTGTGAGGACGTGCACCCAAAATGGGACATGGAGTGGGAATATGCCTATATGTACAGGTAAATTGTTTATTAAATGTACTTATTATTTACAATTGTTGTAGTAATCTTACAGTACACTATTTATACTGTTAAACTACTCAAATGCTTTTCTTTAAACTTTTGGGCTATTCTTGACTATCTTCTGTGAAGTATATTATTACCCCCTCACTAACACAGAGGATGTAACTGGTATTTAAACATTTCCCATGTGTACGGGCAGTACAGTACAACTGCTGGATTCATAACTGGGCTCTAAATCAACCCTTGTATAAATCTAGGTACATAAAGGCTGACACAGCAGATTCTGCTCACCATGCAGTCAGTGCCTTTGTGAGGAAAACAAAGATATACAAACAAATCAGATAATATGAGTCACATGAACATCTTGTAATTGCCGTAATTAGTTTAAATTGTGTCTGTTACTTGGCTTGACTGAGAGTCTACAAGAGTAAATCACAACTATTTGCATTGGCAAATTTGAATAGCTATGAAATAATAAAGTAATTTTCAAATCAGTAGTTGTAATCAATGATGTAATCAACCGTCTCCATCTCTCTAAATCAGTCAATTTACAGGACAGTGATTTTGACTGAAACAGCAGCATCACATGCAGCTGCTGAAAACCTTCCCCCCCCCCCCCTCTCTCATATATATATAGCGGTGACCTGCCCAGCTCCCCCTGCCATCAGTAATGGGGTACTGCAGGGCAGTGACTTTGAATGGGGCAGCAGTGTGAGCTACAGTTGCTCACCTGGATATGAGCTCTCATTCCCAGCTGTCCTGACCTGTGTGGCCAATGGCACCTGGAGCGGCATGCTACCACAGTGTTTACGTAAGTACACACACACACATATAGACACACTCTCATACACATGCATTACCAGGTATAAGCGCACACATTGCATGTTATTATTCTTTATGAACCATCAGTTACAATTGGAAGCAAAATTTACATTTGTCCTTGAGAAAAAGTTACTACTTGTCGGCAAAGTTAGCACCACATACTGAAATGAGATTGTGTATGTTTGTGTGCGTGTGTCGATGTGTGTGTGCAGCCAAGTTTTGTGGCGACCCAGGCACTCCAGTCGGTGGTTTCAGAGAGGGCCGGAGTTTCATCTACCAATCAGAAGTGACCTTCAGTTGTGCTGCACCTCTCATTCTGGTTGGCACAGCCACCAGACTTTGTGAAAGTGATGGTACCTGGAGTGGCACACAGCCACGCTGTATCGGTAAGTTTAACCATTTGTGTTCACTTAACGAACAAAACAGGGAGTACATTATAGAACAGATAAATATTTTCCAAATATCAGTGCTTCCTTTTAAAATCATTCAAACCTTGCATTTTTATGTGCACTTTTTGCAGTTTTAGGTTCACTTAATTTTTTATATTCATATGATCACTCCATCTCAACGCAAAAACTTAAGTTGAAAATGACTTTGGATCTTGGTAGAGCTGGATGTCATTTCAAATTTTGCAGTAAGGCCAAAACAATATCTGAGTTTTTTGGGGGGTTTTTTGGTACTGTAGTTTGAGAAATATGCAGATGTTTTTGCTGCAAAACCAGTTTCACAAAAGAAGGAAAAAGTTATCAGGTGTTAAATGTGTCTTAACATAAGCAGCCACACAAGAACATTGTGTAATCAATATAGCATAGTCTGTATTTGGCAAAATTTTGATATAAATCATTATCGATCTGATAAGAGACTAATCATGAATCTGACATTGAATGCCAGCTTTTGGTACTTGACAGTTTTCAATTCTTGGAGCTACACATACATTTTTATCAATACCAAAAAAAGATTTGAAACCCAGTCCCAAAGGTCAACAATCTTGAAATACTGTCAACTGTTTCTCCAACTGCAGTACTACTGCTGCACCAAACATTAATCTAAGATTTTACTGATCGTTCCTGACTATATCCTCAATCATTTATCCCCACATAAGCTGGAGCATAGCCTGGTATCCTCAGGCAGTGGTGTCTCGTTCACTTCAAAGTCAGGGTTAAAATTAAAAGGCTGGATGGTGGAGCCCCCAGACTTTTAAAATGATAATTTATCAGGAGGTAAAATCATCTTCTTCTTCTAAATAACATATCAAAGCAAAATATTGTTTTTAATGTTGTGTCTTTGCTGTGCACGTTTTCTTTTGATTAGTATTATTTTGTTTTTATTTTATATGTTTACTTCCCTGACTGAATATCTGTGTGGGTTAAATAACTTAACGCATTATTTAGTTTATGCTAGACTGCACGTTTATTATGACTGGTTTGTGGCTCACTGGGGAGCCTGGACTCGTGTCTGATATCCCCCTGCATAATGATCATGGCAATTAATGACCTATCGTTATGGAGTTGACGGCCACATTTCAGTTTACTCATGGGTTTGCTGCGCAGAGCAGCCACTGTTCTGTCAAAGTTAAAGTTACATAGACTTATTGGAATAATAATGAATAGTGACTGGGGGCTCATCTGAGACAATTTTGTAAATGAAAAAGGAGCCTGAGGAGGACAGGCCTTAAAGGATTCTGCTGTTTCCAAATCTTCCTTAAAAAACTCCTGCTGTTTTCACTGTTAGATAGATTCAGTATCTTTGATTATACATATAGTAATCATTTCCAATCTTGTTTGAAGTTGTTTTGCCAACATTTTTGGACTTGATTGTATCATGGTATCTGTATTTCCTGAATAGTAAATACTAGCAGTCAGTAATATGTTAGCAGAAGGACAACAGAGGCATTCCTTCTTCTGTTTCACAGACTTCACATGATAAGTTTCTACATGTACAATACGTACAGTGAACACTAATGAAATGTATCTATAAATATGAATTCCATAATTGTCAGTAAATATAGGACTTTATTAGGGCTGAATGCGAATAGTCAAAGATTCGATGATTCGATAAAAGGAGCCTGGTTCAACACACAGAGCCTTTATAACGACGATCGTACCATTTTTTTTTTTTTTTATTTCTTGAGACGCTCTGGTTGCTATGATACACAATTTCCTGGCCCTTGCTTTGCATGAAGAGAAGTCTGAAACATGAAAGGACAGACTCTCTGGTGGGTTTATGAGATTTTGCGGGCGAGGAAAGAACTCGGCGAGTAGGTATATAGTAGTATCGTTTTGTTCAAGATCGGATGCGCTCAGTGTGGTGTTTGTCCAGTCCTCCTGCACTGTGATTGGACGGCTGGGCAAAAAGTGACAGTGACGAGCGCAGCATTTTTCCCATAGTTGAACATTTTTTAAACTCTCTGCGACCGGAAAAAAACACCCCAGCGCCTAGCGTGCAAAAGACGCTCACTGCCTCGTCACGCTGCTGCCGTTTTTACCATGTTATAAAAACACAGCGCTCCCATTACAATGAATTGAAAAAAGACGCTGGCCTCAGCAAAAAACGCTTTGGTGGACATAGGCCCTAACCATTGAATCTACAACTTAAGATGTAAAGTTCAGAATTTTTTTCAGTGCTTTCCTTGGTAGTTATTGAACAATTTGATATATAAACATAATGTGCTCGCCCTAATACACTGATTTCCTTGCCTCTGAGAGAAAGGTTATATACAGTAGTGTATCTATGACACATTTAGCCAAAATTCCAATTTCTAAAACAATTACCATTCAATAAGTTATGTCTAAAAAGTGGGGCTCTTATATAGGAACGTCTTTTCAAAAATTATAGAGAAAGTGCCTCCTTAAAAGTGAGACAACACCAGGGCACGCTGTAACTTACAGTATTTAGTGAAAGGTTTCTAGAAACGGGCATCCACATCCAACTTCAAACAAGCTGCTGCTATCTGGGGATTAAGAAGAAAATGAGAAGGGATATTCACACACATTACAAATAGTCCCACTGGGTCTATTCACCACCCAATATGTGATGTTTAGAGCACCACTTCACAGGTCTGATTCAGAGCAGGTGCTTAAACATCAAGCATGGTGATGAATTGTAATAAATGAGAGCTTTTGTATAATGCGAACAGACACTTGACTTTTTGTTGCTTCATAGCGCTTGATAAGGCATGGATACAGTACTTTACAGCTGCTATAAAGTCATACGTTCCTCGTGAAATAGGAAACTAAAAATAGAAGGCTTGCTCTGAAGTGTTACTTCATTGATGTAGACTTAATCTATAACTACTGAAAAAGAAGTAAGTACAGCATAAGTTTGCTACTCGGGAAAGGACATCTTTCATTTCTATATACATATAGATGTGAGACAATGATACACAAGCATACACACAATCATAAAGTGCCTCTCAGTGCTGCTTTATTATTTTTTTCTACTTTGGAAGTGAAGTGAGAATGTAATGTTAAGCGTGGGGCTTTGAGTTTGTGTGTGCTTGGGTGATTTATTAGTGTGTGATTGCAGCTGTTCGTTAGTGTGTGATGTGTATTACTATGTGACTGTAACAGAATGAGTTTTGAGCTGAGGCAGCCTGCTCTTTAAATAAGACAGACGATGGAGGGGTGTTGGGGGGAGTGGGGTGGGCAGCGAGAGATACAGTGACATGGAAAGATAGAAAGAGAGAGGAAGAGCGCAGTTAGAGAGGGTATAGAAGCGGTGGAGTCAGGGGGCAGTGAGTGGGGGGAGCAGTTAGAGAACTACAGGAAAAAAGAGAGAAGTGGAGAGTGAATCTGTCATTTCGGAAGCTGTATTGAATCGCGCTGTGCGTCAGGATGTGCTCTACATGCTGATGTTCCTGCCACACACACATACGCTCTCTCTCAAAGCAGGTCCTGCTTCGTTTTCTGATAATGCACTCCTGCCCCCTGCTGTCATGCTGGGATATATACCCTGGGACATATACCCTGTTGTTACCATGACAACAGTGGAGAGAAAAGGAGAGTTGAGAGAGAACATATAATGCTATTGCTAATCGATCTTTCCTTTAGATTTTGGGTAGAAGTACTCACACACTTGTGCTGTTCTTTTCAGAACCGACCAAAACCAGCTGTGATAACCCAGGAACGCCACGCTATGGCTCCTTAAACCGAACATACGGTTTCAAGGTAAGATATTGCTCTTGACCAACCAAACTGTATATCTACCTTCTTTCCCAAGTAGTTAACTTGCTAATATCAGAAACTGTTGTTGTGGTAAAAGGCAACTTAATAAACTGTCTAATTACAAAGAAAGAAAGAAAGAAAGAAGGAAAGAAGGAGGGCAGACAGTTGGTCTGACAAAACAAGACGTAAATGTGTCAACAATTGGCTCGGGAAAATTGAGTAATTGATTATGAAAATAATTGTTACTTGCTGCCTTATTTTGCAGAATAGGCTTATACAAAGAGGCATGAATATGCCTCTTCGTATAAGCCTATTCTGCAAAATTTAAGTTGAATTCAATTTTATTTATATAGTTTCCTATTCATAACAGAACTTAGGTCACTGCATTTTTCATATAGAGTAGGTCTAGACTGTACTCTTTGTAATAGTATTTACAGAGACCAAACAGAATAGAACGGTATAACATGGAGGTGATGATACATTTATGTTTCATTGTAGATATCCTTATACATAATTATGACATTAAGTCCCTATTTTTCATTTGATACGCAGAAAAAACAAAATATAATTTAAATAGTTATCGTTTACTATTGCATGCATTTGCAGTTGCATAGTTATTGCACAGTAATCACCAACATGAATGTCAGTCTGTATTTTTCCAAGGCCCCACCCATTATGCTTTAAATAAGCAGACGCCATGTCATTTGGAATGAACATTTTATTGTATGTGGTATTTTTATATTTTATACTTATTCATCTGTTATGACAGCCCCATCTAATAAACTAAATTACAGTATTGGTGTAATTTTGTGTCATTGTCTCTCTCTCTCTCTCTCTCTCTCTCTCTCTCTCGCCACAGGTCGGAAGCGTGGTGTCATTTCAGTGCCAGCCAGGTCATTTGATTCAGGGCTCTTCCTCTAGAACTTGCCAGCCCGACCTGACGTGGAGCGGAGCGCAACCTGAGTGCATACGTAGGAAACACGCATCCTATATACTTGTTAACTTATCGCCCATCCTGTCTGTCAGACTCTAATTCCAGTGCACAAATTCCTTCTCCACCCTCCAGCCCATGCCTGCAAGCAGCCGGAGAACCCGCTCCATGTGGACGTGATGGGGATGGATCTGCCCGGTTTTGGCTACACCTTGGTGTACAGCTGTCAGCATGGCTACTTCCTGGCGGGAGGTTCTGAACACAGAGTCTGCAAGAGTGACGGCACTTGGACAGGAAAGATGCCTATATGTCGAGGTTAAAAAATATCCCTTTCTCTATATATACACATACACACATATATAGTAGATCTGGTTTTGAAAAATTAAGTATGAGTGGACAGGTACAAGTTTTGCTCAGCACGCGTACCTGGCCATCTGGAGTAGGGTGAGATTTCCTGGAGGGCTGATCGCTGGTCTGGCAGCACTGATAAAAAAAAGAAAAGTACAATACCCCGTGGTGTTTCATCCTTCATTAGATTAGCCTGACCAGGTCCGTACAAGTATGGTTATGAATTCATCACATCCCAGGAGTCCATTTTCCTTCCCCTACCATCTTTACTGCATACACGGAGCAAACAATGACAGGCAGGATGTGTGGAGCTTAAACCTGGGGAACCGTAGCAGGTACATTTACAAGTTAAGCATACTGTAAAGAGTGTTTATGGATTAATATGGGGTCACTGGAGGTTCTCTTTGGTCAACAAGTTACTAAAATGAGTGTATGAGTAGCATGTCTGCATACATAAAATGCCAGTTTAAATAAAAGCTTAAATTTCTAAAAGTAGCCTGCATCTCTAATACCACTTTTTGATGTTTGTACATATTATGAGAAGTAGGATGATGGTTGAACTATCTGTGTTTTTTCTTTTAGTCCATTCTACCAGTGTCTTCTTGTGATGTATAATTGAGACAAAAATGAGGATTGTGAACAATTGACCCTTTTTCTGACCTTGTACATACTAGCATACAATACTCAATAGTTGCCAAAACAATCTCACCAGAATGTATTTTTAGTAGCATTTCTGGAGCTTTCAGTTGTATCACACAATCTTCATCAGCAGATGGAGTTTGCCCAGCTGCCATGTCATTCTGCCATGGAAGTACTTCTTTTCCGCATTGGCTTAAAAGTTTCGATTGAAAGTTTCCTGACCTTGGAAATGGTTATAGACAAATCAATCTCACCACAAGGTCCTTTTAGTAGAGGTTCTGCAGCGTTTGATTGTATCACAGAGACTTCCATCAATACTATTGCAAAGTGCAAGGTGTAGATTCCCCAGGATGGACATGCTATGTTAATTTGTGTATTTTCCTGCACATTAGAAATGATTGAGCTAGATTTTTTTTTATCCATCAAGAAATGTTAACCGATGAAGATATGAACCCACCCTTGCACAAGGAAAAACTACGAGCTTCAACTTTCAAATCATTCCACCAAGACGGTCACCCTTTTGCCCTGAGGTGGCCTTTAAAATTGGAACACTTTCTGATCCAATTTGAGATTCTAGGACAAATACCTTCTACCTTGCTTGCCTTTACTTGTAGGCAACAATGGCTGCATCTTGAAGCGATGATAGAAGCTGTTCTGAAAGATCAAGTGCCTTAAGGCCACTTTTAAAAGCATCTAATATGCACACCAAATTATTGGTCATGAACTCTATTTTCATTGCTGTGCCTACAAATAACCATCAAAGAGGTTTATTTTGTGTGACCCTTTTTAACGCACTCATTTTGTTAATGTGTGACAAATAGTGACCAACATTGCATTTTAATTTGGTAATATAAGTGCACTCCCTGAATAAACATAGCTTCCTTTGATATCAGCTGATGGGTCTGTAACAAGAGCCAAAACCAAAACATTTTAACATCCTTTCATACTGCGTCCATATAGCTCTGTTTACGTGTTTTAATAGCACATTATCTTTGACCCTGTGTGTGTGTGTGTGTGTGTGTATAGCTGGAGAGAAGAAGAAACCTGTGAAACCAGCAACAGGAACTCCCAGCCCTAAACTAAATGGTCAGTTCTATTACAGTCTTTTCTATTCCAGGCTAGAACAGCCCTGTTGTTCCTTGTGTATTCTTCACTTTTCTTTTCTATTTTGGTTTAGTTTGGTCTTGTCTACTGTAGTATAATAAATGCTCCTCTGCTCCTTTTCACTCCACTCTGCTCTGTTCCACTGTGTTCTTTTTATGTTCTTGTCGATTTTATTGTACTTTACTACTTTCCATTGTAAATAATTTATTTTTCCTCACTACACTTAGAAAGGTAAATGAACTGCTGTGATGTTCTGCTCGTCTCTGTGCTGCCGTTTTATTCAGTTGTCTTTTTTTCGGTTCTGTTCTGTGTTGATCTGTCCTATTGTGTTGTAATTTAATAACCCCTTGATTCTAATTGCACATGAAAGACTTTCTATACTACTACTACTGTATGCACACGTTCCTGTGACTATAAAAGCAGGAAGCAGCCCTTAAATCTACTGCAAGATTCTGTGTACAGACAGCCATGAAATCTTGTTTCTTACCACATGTGGATAAAGGATTATAACTTCTGTATATCTCCATTTTTGCTATTTCCAATACAAATTAGGCAAATTTTGTGGTTTGGAGTCAAAATTAATTTGTCTGCAACATACCCAAACTGCAAAACATTTAATATCTCACTGATAGCCCTCTGATGTAATGGATGAAGAGTTGTGACTATTGATCAATCAATGTTTTTAGTTTTGACAATTTAGACTGTCATGAATAAAGTTTAGCAGTCAAATGTTAGCTTCAGCTATAAAAAGACATGACCATGATCATTCTAATTTATATTTAATTGGATTCTATGCTATTTTATTCTGTTCCTTCTGTCTTGTTATGTTTAATTCTGTTCTATCCATTTTGATTATATTCAGTTATATTATATGATGTTCTGTTCTGTTGTATTCTGTTCAGTTTGGTTCTGTTCCATTCTTTTCTGTTCAATTTTAATGTCTTCCGATCTATTCTGTTCTCTTTTTTTTTACTCAGTTCTGTTTGATTCTGTTCCATCCTGTTACGTTCTATTCGCTCAGTTTGGTTCTGTTCCATTCAGTTCGATTTTAATCTGTTCCGATCAATTCTTTTTTTATTCTGTTCAGTTTGATTCTGTTCTATCCTATTATGTTCCGTTCTATTCGGTTCAATTCAGTTCTGTTTGATTCTTATCAGTTCTGGTTGATTTTATTTTGTTCTGTTCTATTTTTTTCTATTATAATCTGTTAATTTCCATCCTATGATGTTCAATTTTGTTTTGTTTTGTTCAATTCTAATCTGTTCTGTTTGATTTTTTTCTGTTCTGTTCTATTGTAATCTGTTCTGTTTGATTCTAATCTGTTCTGTTCTGTAGTTCCAGATGACGTCTTCGCTCCTAACTACATATGGAAAGGTTCCTATAATTACCGTGGGAGGAAGCAGCCTATGACACTGAGCATAACAAGCTTCAACTCCACAACAGGGAGAGTCAACGTTTCCCTTAGCAACGGCAACATGGACCTGCTCCTTTCAGGCACGTTATAATATTTATACTCATACCGTCCATACTGTATATCCAGTAGAGTATGTGTGATTTTACATGGCAGAACATGCCATGGTCATTCTGTGTGCCATGAAATGTTGCAGTACTTCATGATGTTGTATTGATCCATTGGTCACACAATAAATAAACACCCATCCATTCTAAGTATTATGGAGCTCCTATCATCAACACATTTACTGTACTCTTAGAATCATTTGTTCTGTTTCCTAATGGTGTCTGGATTTCTTTACTTTCCTAGAGCTATCATTCTTCTTATTAATGTTGTTATTGTACCACCCCCCCACCCCCCCAACTCACACACTTAGTCACACACAGACCTCCCAAGGTCCTACAACAGTGTCAGCAGGGGGTTAAGACCCTATTAAAACACAAATCCTGTTGAAGTTAGAAGTGGTTTCTGGAGTAGCAGAGTGCACAAACACCATATCACAAAACCACGCAGCTCTCAGACCTTTAAACTGCATCTTCTGGCTTAAAGGAGAGGCTTTAGATCAATAACACTGCACTCACACAGGCACCAAAAGGCCAGTGGCCAGTAGCACACAACTTCAATGTACTGTTTGTTATTAAGAGTAAGTTTTCCTTACCTAAGCACTATACTTAATGGAGTAATTCAACATTTTGGGGAAATATGCATATTGTTTTTATTTCTGAGAGTGAAAAAAGAAGAGAACATCAATCTTAGGTCAGCGCAGGAGTCAAGACATGTTCAACTTAGATTGGCAAAAAGACCGGTGGCAGGGGGAAACAGCTAGCTAAAAATATGGCTGCCAACATGTATAAAGCTGTCTTATTTACACAATGTAGTATCTTGTTTAGTTAAACTGTATATTTGGGGTAGTTACAGTACATGGTTGAAATATTTCTTTAAACTTTTTTATTTTACTTCTTATCAGTGTTGATTTGCAATTGGACATGATAGAGCTAATGATCTGTAACAACCGAGCCATTGTTTGCTGTTATATTGTAAACCAGTTGTTTACTCTGTCCTCTCTAGGAGTGTATAAGGCTTCTGAGGCCCGGCTGTTACTGCTGATGTACCAGGTGAACTACGTGAACCAGGGAAACCAGCTCAAAGATTCAGCCATCTCTCCAGCCAAAATCATAGATGACTCCTGGACCATGGATGGATTTGTAAGTCTCAGTGGATACTGAGCAGTCAACTTAATTAGATTCAGTTGAGCTAGATTAATTTAGAAGGGCTAAAACGTAATGTCACATAATAAATGCTTCACATTGTAGTTAATCAAAAATACAAGGCAAACACTTTTTGTACTAACCTCTTTTTGTAAAGGCATTTTACTACAGTGTTTTGAATTTTAATAAAGAAATCCAGGTCAGTCAGCGTGAGACATTTCACTGTGCTGCACTTGGCATAGTGTTTAAGCAGAGTTCATTTTGCAGTTTTCTTATTGGTTCAGATGATCATTACAAAACACTACCAAATACTAAATCTAAATTAATCTAAATGCAGTGGTCATCATTAAATACCTGCATGTCTGAAAACCCATGTTTATAACCTACAATGTAAGAGCATAAACACATACCACAGGCCATATTCATTGTCTAGAACTCAATTGCGACAGCTTGTGTAAATGTAACTGTATTTGTCAATCAAATAATATATTAATCAAAATTCAGAAATATGTCTTGAATTTGCACATTATTGTGTTGACACAAACACAAAATGTATCCCACCTTTCCCCCTCTCCTATTTATCTCATGTTTTCTTCCCATCTTTGTCACATCCTCTTTTCCTCTCCAGGTGTCAGCAGAGCCTGACGGTTCTAGTTACGTATTCCAGGGTTTCATTCAGGGAAAAGACTACGGACAGTTTGGATTGCAAAGACTGGGTAATTGTCTCTTAGGTTTAGTAACAGCACCGAATGATGAATGCATTTCTTGTAAGTCAATTTGGACTATAAATGATAATTGACTAAATCTGGTGAACTGCTTGTAAGAACCTTAGTAATGGAGAAAGTGATCAGGGAGCTTTTCTTTGCTGGCAACAATGACCTTATTGCTCATGCTGAGTTGGCCTTGCAGTGGATTCTGTCTCACCAAGAGTAAAAGCTGCTCTACAGACTTGCTGGCTGAACTCTCAACCTGCATCCAAACCCATCTGCAATCTCCATCAAACAGTTGAAAGCAGTCTCTCCCTTTTAAGTTATCAGTAACTGATCTTCAGTGATGCCAAAATTGGCAAAAACTGGCCAAAAACTAAACATTTTGGGGATAACAACAAATTTAACAAGATCTGAAGAACACTTCTCACATCATGCAAATGCTATGAAGAGAAAAAAAGATTGTGATCCTCTAGCATCCACTTACTGGTGGGCAGGATCTCTCTTGCCAACCCTGTAAAGGCTTCACTGTCAGAGATATCATAATACTGCACAATACTACTACAACTACTAACAATAAAGTGAAGCTACTACCGGAAGACTTTTATTTTATACACAGAACAACACTGAAGGAAATGTTTGTTTTAGACAACAAAATCACACTTTTGGTAATGTTAAAGCAATAACTCTCCCTTGAACATGTGATCAAATCTAAATATGTGGACAATGACGATGCATTTCCTTGCCTGCCGCAGGTTTGAATATGTCAGAGAGTCAGAACTCGCCACCCCCTCAGCTTGGTACCAACAGCAGTTCTGTGGCTATCGCTATTCTGGTGCCTTTCTTCGCTCTAATATTCACTGGCTTTGGCTTCTATCTCTACAAACAAAGGTATGTGCTAAAAAAAAGCCTGAATGTGTATCCCATTTATGTTAATCTCTGTTAAATTTCAGTATTTTAATAGACAAGATTACGTTCCTGTCACTGCATTGTTGCTTCACTTCTGTATTCTTGTCAAACAAAACGGAGAAAGGCATTGTTAACATTTTAAGAAGCTGTCTGATTGATGAAAACAGTACCTGCCTCAGTGATTTGGTTGTTGAGGTGTTAAGAAACAGCCAAGTCACTGTCTGTTGCAAACTGTGCTACAAAATAGTTCTGTTCAGGAGGTGTTAATTGGATTTTTTGGAGATATAATTTAAGCACAATTGACTGGTGTTCGCATTGTTAACAGATGCAAATAACTTCTGTTCTGCTGTTAATATCTCAAAAAAAAAGCTTGCTGAAGGAATTAGTTTTGGATGGGCTGATTGGAATCTCACTAGGCTTCCTAAAAAGCACAACGCGCTCTCTAATCCTTCTTAAAGCTTGTTTACTACGCCTCTACTCCCAAGACTGCATTCACTGTTGTCCACTGGCTACCCAGTTAATATTAATATACTGTTACAGTAATTTTATCACTCTAATGGTGCGTTTATGTTTTCTTTACTGTTGTTTTTACTTCACAGAACCACACCAAAAACACAGTATACAGGCTGCTCAGTCCATGAAAACAACAACGGCCAGGCTGCCTTTGAGAACCCCATGTACAACACCAATGCCAAGGCTGTGGAGGGGAAGGCTGTTAGATTCGATCCAAATCTAAATACTGTCTGCACCATGGTCTGAGGATTGATTATCTTCACTTGAACTTAATGACTCAGATATCTAATGGGACCACAATTGGTAAGAGGCTGTGGAGCTTTGACGCAGACCTCACCATCGTCAGCGACATGGTCTATTCATTGATTACAAAAGACCTTCAGTCCCATTTCAGAAACCTAATCTCCCCGAGCAGAGGGAAAAGTGTCAACTTGAAACCAAAACCCAGCGTTGGTTCCTTTGACTTACCGCATTTTGTGTCCACAAATGAAATTTAAAGAAATGTGAACACAGAATGTCTGCTACCTTTGACGGATGCAACACAGCCATTCTGAACTCACAGTGAGATGTGACATCAAGTGAAAAAAAAAAAGGATGTAACCCAACGCAAAACTTTACTGGTTATTATCCATCTCTGACCCCGAAGACTCAGCTGGTCATGGATAGTATATAATTTGATTCTAAACCAGACACAGCCATTATACTTCAGCCTCTTATTTAACCCCGCTTACTGTCTCTAATACCGGTCGTAATGATTAAGCCATGACCTGCTCGTCGGATATCATGACATGTCACCGTACCCAATGCCGAAATTTTGTATTTAACACAGAGCTTTGGAGAGAAGGACCCGCTCTCAGCTCTGTGACCGTTGCTTGGAGAGAGGAAGAGCACATTATCAGTGCTCTGGCCATGGTTATACATCGTGGAGATGAACTGCACTATAAAAATGGGCTGATTTAATTTATACCACATTGTCTCCCCAACTGTACTGAACAAATCCTCATTGTGAGGAACGCAGGAGCAAAATGGCCACAGATGGGAAAGTGTGACATGGAGAGGATGTCACAAAAGACACTGAAGAAGAAAACTGTTTCTGAAAATCTTGGTTCAAAACTGACAGTTAAAGACACTGTCACCAGCAAACCATCAGTAAACCAGACTGGCTAGTTGTGAATAGCAGCCTATTTCTCAAATGACCACGGACTACAAAACCCTAACAACCAGGCAGGACAGCCTCCTGTCTCCATGACAACCAGAGAGGCTGGTATTACTAGTCTCTTGTCTTTTTCTATTAAAACAGAATCTAAAATGGCTAATGCTAGCAGACAGTAGCAAAAGTTGCTTTGAAAGGAGACTAACTCCGAAGCAAAGGATAAGGGCAGCCCTGGAGATGGAGCTATAATCCTAACTGAACTGGGATTAGAAGCAAAACTAAAAGCAGTCTAAAGGGGAGCCTGCACTAACAGAACAAATGAGAAGAGACTGACTCATCTAATGGATAAACTGCTCTTCCCCATGCAATGGATAAGAGAGGAGGCCGAGGAGACGGAGACTACTCTTAACTGAACTGGAAGTAAAGTAAGGTAGTCATCAAGAGAAAAAATTTGATCTTAAAATCCTACCACAGCCAATCAGAGTCCGTCTAACCTGAAATAAACTACTGAGAGAAGTCGGCATTCTCTCTACATAATGAATCAGATCAGACAGAATATGGCCTTGAGGAAAGAAGTTCCTGATCCTATGAGTTTAAATGGATTCTGATGAGAAAGACACCGAATGGATACAGAGGACTCTGATGGACTTACAAAGAAAAAGACTTTGAGAAACAGAGAAAGCTCTGGCACTAAAGCACATTTTACAGGAACACACTACCCGTCTACCCACTGAGAGATGGACTAACCCAGGGACAGACAGAGAGGTTAGAGAGAAACTGACAGGATGAATGACAAACAGAAAAGATGACGGGTACACACACTAACAGAAATTTGGAGAGACAGAGAGCAGACGTGGTATTAAGACCAACAGTTAGACACATAAGGAGATAGACAAGTTCAAGAAAGACAAGCAGGGACTTAAGGCTGTTGCGGACCGCCGTTCGTCGTCTCCACTCCACAGACAGATTAAGATTAACAGACAGACAGACATAGATAGGCTGTCTGAAAGGAGAAACAGGAAGACATACATTGACAGAGAGGCTAAAAGAAAGACAAACAGGGTGGCAGCCCTACGATTGTGGACTCAGTTCCACTGTAATTCTGCACTCTGCGAGTGCTTATCTTCTTTCTTTGTTATTGCTGCAGAATCTTCTGATCTGTAAATCTATTGCATATATATTCGGGAGCATTCACCACCTATATTTTTGTGCTATATATTTACCACAGGGGAGGGGCTGAAGGGGAAAGATGGATTATAGCGAAGAGTTTTTAGAAAAAAATAATAATATCAGAATTAAATATATTAAAACTATGTGCTGTTCACAGAAGTCACAAACTGTATTTTGGTTCCTTTGTAACATGAAATTGGTTTATTTTGTGTAATGTGAAGTTCCTTTTACCATCACTGTCTTTCCCACTGAGGCAATCACGAGTGTCAGTGGTATTGTTGTTGTCATTGTTGTTGAGATGCAAGGTTTGCCCACAGTAGTCATGCTCTTTAAAGTTAATGTTTCATCGATTATTCATCACAGATGGCAGTTTCTAAAGCATTTATAGATGGGGTTTTTGCTATGGCTGCCAATTTTCCCCCCTTTTGCTAGACCGTTGCGAGCCCTCCATAATGGTCACCGTTTTGACACAGATAATATTTGATCACCTGGAATAATGGCACTGTTTTCGAACCTAACTGGTGATTCGATGCCACAGAGATTTGCACATTAAAACGCTGAAATAATGTTTTTGAGCTACAGTCCAGAGATGTCGGCAATGTTGTCAGGGCAACACAGAAATCCCAGCCCTCACTGGAACCCACTTGTTTGATTGCACGTGGCCAAACCTTTCTCTGGGTCTGACTCTGGTTAAAGGTAATGTTTCCTTTGTCTCTGGCAAGATAAAAGAAGAAACACAATCATGGTAAAAATTAATCTTAACAATAATAATTCATAATGTTGATAATTGCTGATGAACTGCCCAACATGTAGCTTGTGGATAGAAAATGTTTGTTGTACCTGAAATGCCAGTTCATGTTTGCATTTCTTCGTCACACATTATGGGATTTTGGAAAAGTGGCTTTTAGGATATTTTCAATGGATTTGTTTGTGAAAAGTTACTAAAAATTATGATCTAATTTAGTTGCAAAATATACCCATTTAAACCTTGTTTATTCATCAGATCTGTAAATCTTAAATGGTCATTACCACAAGTTCACCTCCAGGTCTTAGTTCAGAAGTTCCTCCCTGTGTTAAAGTTGTGTTTGGTCTCAAATTAATATTGAAATGTCTAAGATCACATGAATTCTGTTTTAAGGTTCTTTTAAAACTTAATTTGCCCTTATACTGAAATCCACATCAATCATTAATTGGTGCACACTTTATAAAAAAAGAATTTGTACTACCTTTGGCACTTCCTAAGTATTGCACACTAGATTTGAATTACGCTTTTAAATTGTGTACATTGCATTTCACTAGCTAAAGTGAGAGAGTGACTTATTTCAGAAACGCTGAAGCGTTCAGATGAACTGACCATTTGGGAGAAGATGTTTGATTTCAAGTTAACATTTTAGTAAATTCAAACACAGAACCAAGGCCACTGAGATTCCCACTTGCTTTTGTTTCATAAAAATATAGCCTTATAATCTCAGCTCAATGGTCCTTGGCTGGTAGCTATTTTTCAGATCTGATCTGCCACCTATTCGATTCAGTTCCGTACAGCTGGCAACCTTCACTGTCTCTAGCCCCTGTAAGACACTGGAGGCTGTTGTTGCACGCCATTGGCCTTTCTGATGGTTTCATCTGCCATCAATGAACTACTGCTAAAACAAAAGAAGATGTTTGATTTTTGTGTGAAACCATGCATAACATCCATATAGTAGTGTCATATTGTAAGGGCCTGAAAATGCACCATATACTTGTACCTATATTAACTGGTCCCCACACGACAGGAATAGACGTATCAATGAGCACGACTCACTGTTTTTCAGCTTTGATGCATTTTTTTCAAAGTCCTTGTTTTCTTTTAAAGCGTCTGGTTTAAAGGTTTAAAGCTGAACTTAGTGAGTTTGGGTCCCACACATGATGAATACCCGTTGTTTTTAATGAGTCTGGGTGTCAGGGTGGGCGAAAACATCTACTTTGTTTTAAGAACCCCTGCTGTCGTCACCACAGGCACCGACTGCAACCAGCTGACAGAAAACTCCTTTTAAAGTCATTATTGATTTAAAAGCAATGGTAGCTGCGGCTTCCTTGTTTATCAATGCTGCGACTGTCCCGCACTGCATCGCTATGGTAACATTGTTTCTTATTACAGTTTGGATTGATTGTTGCTGCTGCTGTTGTTGTCGTTGTTGCTGTTGTTGTGTTGTTTTTTTTCGGTATGGATCTGACACAGTGCCTACCAAAAACCATGGGACCCTCCCTGTCATCTACACACACACATATATGCTTTTTCAAACACATACACGTGTGTACACACACACACACACACACACACACACACACAAACACACACACACACACACGTCCTCCCCTTCATCAGATGTCATTTTTTTCTAAGCTTCAGTCTATTTTGCCACAAGCTTTTCCTACTGACTGACCGCAATAAGACCCATGTGATTTGAAAGACTTAAAGCTGTTCCTGCCTGGGGACATTGGAAATATTCACCATTTGAAAAAAAACAAAAATATATAGAATAAAAAAGTGTTTTGTACAGAAATATATTTTTTATGATGAAATTATTTGTAACATGTATGAATCTATTATGTAAATTTTCAATGCAATGTAAGATTAAAAAAAGGCTAATTGCTTTTGTAAAAAAAAAAAAAGTGTCTTCCTTTACTGTGTTTTTACTTTAAATGACTTTCTGTAAACTGAAATGTTGTAACCACTTTAAGCTTTAAAATTTATATGTCACCTGTACAGTGCCCGTCCAAGCTACAGATTATAAATATGTTGAGTATTCTAAGCTGTAAAATCATGTGGAGTTTAAAAGTTGCATTAGACTCTGATGTGATTGGAAAACTAGTTTCAAAGTCAGGGAGTGCCTTGTAGGGGAATTACTGCAGGCACAGGGTGTATAGAAATATAAATAAATCCAGTGTAGCTATCTCACCTTGAGATGAACTCCCTAAACTTCTTTCATTCATTCGCAGTTGAAGTCCTTATCACTGGGAATGCAACATTAATTTTGCCGATGCCCCTGCGCCCGCTGGTCTGACTTTCTGCAACAAAAGTGGGTAATAGGAAAGCAAAGTTTTCACGTACAACAGATATTATAAGCCTTGTGGAAGTGCATGTCTGAATTTTCTTTCAAGTGTTCACAGTGCAAACCCATCAATGAATGAATCATGCTTTCTGGAATCCACATTGCATCGTATCATTATGGACAGAATGTTTTGGTCTGACTTTGAACTGGTCAGAATCAAACAGAGCAGGTCGACCTTTACAACTACCCACAAGCCCTGAACATTTAGTTGAAGCAGTCATTACGCTGGAAGATGAGACGAGTGACCTTATATATTCTTTGAACACAAGTTGCTGTCATAGGTGACCTGAAGAGACACCAGTAGCTTCCAGTCATTTGCTGACCAATTAGCTACAGCTATATTTCACATTTTCTGTAACTAATACCTAGAATTTAATGACTTGCTTAAATCTCAAGCAAACACTAAATGGGTTTACATGTCCTTGGTTGCCACTAATAATGAATAGCAATGCTGAATACACATTCCCATCAGTGCATACATCAGAATGTCCAACTTGAAATGTACTTAATGTGGCCCATTTTAAATGAATATCACAGAATTACAACTGAAATTAAATGTGCTTATGACTTAGGCCTGTTTATTTTATATATTTTTATTGATATAAATGTTCACAGCCCAGCTGATAGCTTCCTAAAGGATCCAGCAGGTTAAACAGGCAAAGCATAAAATTACAGTAAGTGAATCGAGCTCTATTATATTTTTTTGGAAATAGATGATCAATGGGTTGATCTATTTATCCTACAAAATACTCTCATTCTTCACCTTATTTAGTAACAATCCAGTTTAATACTTGTCAGCTTTTCTCTTCCATATTTGAAGGACATCATTTCCTGTGCACGTGGTAATGTCTAGTGTGTTCCTGTGCATACAGCATTTTAATATTGGGTAGGAAGGAGAGATCCAACCAATGAAATCTACCACCACAGAGAAGCTCTTACTGAACACCAATAAAATAAATGGTTGCGAAATGCCAGCAAGGTAGATTATCAAAAATAATGTGTTTTTTTATGCGATAGTGTTGAGGAATAACACGTTTAATCATTAACACACAGCAGCTGGAAACAAATGTGACCACTGGTCGTTGTGGCATTTGAGAAGGCAAAGCAGCAAAATGTTTCATCACAAAAATAATTAAAATCAACAAGGGACCCAGGCAGCTGAGGTCACTCTCAGATAAACTGGGAATTAATTAAGTTTGTACATCATTACCCAGGGAGATCTGGACAAAAGCTTTCTATAATGAGGAACGACTGTTTCATACAGGCTTTTAAGAAAGGGAGCCCTGTATGGCCTTTACTGACCCCTGTTGATGGCCAGCAGGAATTGCATCAATATTAACTGAACTTGAGGAAGTATAATAAATCACAAAATTATTCTCTAACTCAAATGTAGGTTCACGATACATCACGCCTACATCAGCCTATATTTTGGGAAATACCAAGCCCGTGGCATTTTAAAAGCTAAAATGACCTACTGTGTTTTTTATTGATTGACATGTCCATATAATGCAATGTTTTCCCTTACATGCTGTCATTTGGAGCTTTATCTCCAAATCCTGTATTGTAAAGACAGGTTGGTACAATGTATTTTTTCTGACCTTGGAAACAGCAGCTAATAATACAATCTCACCTCAGAGTCCATTTATTAGCTGTTCTGGAGCTTTTACCATATCATATCATGATCTCCATCAACATGCAAGCCCTGAAAGTACTTTTTAACGACTCTACAATTTCTTGACAACTAAGCAGTCTGCATCTGCAGATTATGTCAAATGATTGAAATTTCCAAAGAAGCTATTAAATGGATCATGTTGCCTTGCTGTTATTTTCTTATTAATTGAAAAGTCCTCTTAATTGTTCAGTTAATATTATAAGTTGTTATATTAATATTTGTTCTGGATAGGTTTTTTAAGAATCTCGAGTAAAAAGCTGGAGAGCCACAAACTTGCCGGTGTTTTGCCTGCCTGCCGAGAATTGCATGCAACTCCAAATACTGTTTTAAACGCTATAATATTCCTTGTGGGGTTCATCAATGGTGATAAATTACTCGAAGTATATATTTTATGAACGTTTACAGTATTTAATATTTTAATACACTTAGTAGAAGTATCATTCCATGACATTCAGTAAATATGTGGTGATAACCGCGTTTCATCAATGAGCACAGCACAGTGTCTGAAAAGGACCAATCTGGCAGATGAAATTTTGTAGGCTTCCTGCCGAGATTTGCATCCACATCTTTTCTCTCTCTTTTCTCAGCATTAATGACCGTTATCACCCGCGAGGTGCATGCAATTTTTTATTTATTTTTTCCCCAGTTTATTTACAATTCACAATTGTACAAAATGTCGTCAGGAAGTTATTTGCATTTTTCAAAACCATACAAACATAAGAGAACAGCAAGGCTCCAGTAAAAAATAATAACAATACTAGTGATAGTAAACTTTCATGTTAGGTCAACTTAGGACACAAAAAAATACAAAATCTAAATAAAATAGATAATGTGCCTTGATTATAATTTCATAATTATTTCCATTCATTCAACAGTTATTGTTCAGCTCTTCCTTCTGTGTCACCATATCTTTACTATGTCATACATTGTAGTTTTGAGAGTCTTGTCATGAGTTACACATCCGAAAGGTAGTAGATTTTTTCATTTTCCAACAAACAACCAGAGAAAACAAAACAAAAACTATCAAGTTTTAGCTGAGAGGACACATATTGGTGATTGTATATAACTACAGATAAGTTACATTGAGTACTTGTTATCACTCCAGACCCATAACAGAGGTAATCCAGGTGATATGTATCCATTTATTCTAAATTAAACACTAAATATTGCAGCATAGTGTGACACAATTTTTGCATTGGCTGGTGTGTATCCGACAGTACTTGTATAGAAGATGAATAAATCTTTAATTCATTCCTGAAACAATTACACAGGTTTTTGCTTCTTCCATGTGCATATGTGAATATGGTGTTTTCCCATAATTATGATAATGTTGACCATCTCACATATTTCCTTGGACAGGTTATCGTTGTATAGTAAAATCTGCTGTGCTGCAAAATTATTTATGTTCTTTATCCTGACATTAAGCCAGTCTTTCACGTTTTGCCAGAACTGTAATGTAATTTGACATGAAAAGAAAAGATGTTCTCTTCCAGACAGAAACAGCAGAGGTCATCCTCAAATCTGAATCTTTTTCCTCAATGTTTCTGCGGCTGGATAATACCCATTAATAATTTTAAATTGCATTTCTTTTATTTTTGGAGAAATCGGCCATTTCAGGTATTTTAAATATTTATCTATCATTAGTAATTTATTATCTATTATTTTAATATTTGCTTTTTTTGCATAATCATGAAAAATTTAAGAGTGAAGGCTTTGCAAATAGCTTTATTGTTGCACTTCCTATCGCTGATCTTTAAATGTGGCAAGACTACTTGTACGTTTGATTGTAAGAGCGTGTTTTGTATTAGGTTCACAAGAGGAACTGGTATTACTTATATATTATTATATATATATTCCTTATATGAGCACTGCATTTTGAATTTGTCTTTAAATGTATTAAACTGAAGAATCGTACCCCTGTCATCCATTAGTTCTGTTACAAAAATAATATTTTTGTCATACCAAATTGGGTTAAATAAGGTTTTCCTATTAATTGTTATTGTTCTGTTGTTCCACAAGGTGGAGCCATGTGGAGTAAAATTGTGGGAAAATATCATCTTCCAGTAGAGTAGTACTTGTTTATGTAATTCTTACACCTTCACAGGTAGTTTATTAATTTCAAAGTCACATTTTAGCAAACATTATAACCCCCCCATTTTCTTAAATATGTGTTTGGGGATATGAAACCAAACTGAGTCAGTCTGTTACATAAAGGCCAATTTATTCTAAACACTCCTACCATGGATTCAAAGTCTAATGTTTTCAGACCTCCTTTGTTATTTTCTGTGACCAGTTGTGATTTTTTTTATATAGTGCGTTTTGTTAAGTTATATATTACAGAATTCGCCTTTTTGATGTTTTGGGGAGAGATATATAAAGCTTGCCATGGATAAACCAATTTTGAGATACCCTCAGATTTGGACAGCAGATTTGGACGAAAAATTGACAGATCTCTCATCAGCCAATGATTAATTTTTTTTTTCATTTTTTCTAATTTTTCATTTATATTACTTTTTACCTCTTTCTTTTATTAAGTTTATGCCTAGATATTTATCTTCATGTTTAACAGGGATGGAGGACATATCTTTGTCTGTGCACTGGTACAGTGGTAGTAATTCACATTTGTTTAAATTTATATTTAAGCCCGATGCCCTGGAGAAGATAGAAATTATGTTTAAAGTTTTCCCCAAGTATTGACTTATCCTTTAAGAAGAATACCGTATCATCTGCAAATTGACTTAAACGTAATCAAAAACCTTAATCCCTTTTAATTCTGGATGATTTACAATTAGGTAGGCCAATATCTGAGTACTTAAAATAAAGAATTATAGTGATATTGGACGTCCTTGTCTTATTCCTCGAGACACTTTTATTCTAGGGGTCAGTCC